GAATATTCATGCAAACAGGAAAAAAATCAAGAACCCAGCTAAACAGGTTACAGGGGAAAAGAGATTATGCAACAGAGAATATAGAGCAACTCATGCAGAGTTGTAAGATAACTGGAAGAAAAATTATATCCAAGAAACAAACATCCTTCAAAATGTTGTACCTACTAACCTTGCAATCTGATAATATTTTTCAAAGCCAGAGACCATCAACATTTGCTTGAACAGCTGAGGGCTTTGAGGAAGAGCATAGAACATTCCTGGCTTCAAAAACCATATTGGAGGGCATCAGGGGAACATGAAGCTCTTATTTGAAGAAGTTTCAAAAATTCACTGCAGAATGATTAGACCTACCGCCAAAAAGCACTAGATATATATTTATGATACTCAATAGAGTTGTACTTTCATAATTGTCACTGTTTATAGTTAAAATAAACCCACCAGAGAATGCAAAAGAAATGTAGAATGTAGTGTATCCCCACAAGAACGTAGGCACAAGGGAAGTCTTACAAAAAAAGGTTCTTACATTTATTTTTATTGCAGTTTTCAAAAGTTAGTTCTAGCCATAAAGTTTTTCTTTTAATTGGAAAAAACAAGGAGATAAAGGAAATTAACTACATCCATCTACTGGAAGATAATTGTGCTTAACGATGGTAAGACAATTGATATTTGAGAAAGCAATTATTACACCAGTGAACCCAAATATGATTTGGGTAATTAGGTCTTTGAAAGTTGCCACAAATAAAAGTGAACGAAAAAGCACTGCGCATTTTTCAACAGAAGAAATAAACGTGTTATAATTGTCTGTTTAAGTGAAAAATAGTTACAGACAACTTACCTGAACTCTCGATGGGACAAGATAGTCCCGAGCACCTTCTGGTGTAGACTTAGATAAAACTGGAGTCTCAATCTACCTTGGAACATGCGGTAACTTTGGATCAGACACAATAGAAACAATAACAGATACAGACATTATAGGCATTGCAAGGTACTAAGATATTATTAGTCATTGTGATGTCTTATATTCTAATGACTCGCTGTAAAGGAGATACAACAGCAAAGAAGGCATACATGACCCATCTATTTCAACTGATCCAAGTTATTTTAACTAGCAAATTGTACAGGAAATGATTAAAAAAAATTTCATGTACAAAGCAAACAAAGCATACATGCACTCTGTAAAAAAAAAAAAAGATGATTAAAATTGGAATTAGAGCCCTAAGCCCAAGGTGCAACATGACCTTCAGGCATTACATCATGAAAGCAAGTATCTTGCTCTCTCTACTGCAGGCACTGCATCGAAAAGAAAGTATTTTGCCGTCTTGCAAATTTCCGTTCATCTATAGGACCAGACTACTTGGATATATTGCATTCCATAGTGGAACAAAATGAGAAGCATATAGCCAAAGGCAGATTATGTTAGAGGTGCAAACTCAGCATGAAGTAATTAATGAGTATATAATTGGTATACAGCATACCTCAACAAAATCATGTCTATCCTCCAAGTATCGACGAATATGCTTGACAACATTATGGCGCAACCTCAAGTTTGACTGCATTTGTGGTCGGCGTAAGTCCAGCACCCGGAATCTAGACATTTACAAATATGGAAGTTAAAGAAAAAGATTGGTCCTTAATATATGGAACTTAAAACCCATAATATAACTATATTCAAGTACAATGGTCGCCTGCTGTGAAAGAAGACATTGAGAACAGGGAAAAGTGCTTTAGGCAAACTATTAAAAACATTATACAAACAGATTCAAGCATAATGGTCGCCTAAAATCTTGAAAGAAGGCAAAGAGAACAGGTAAAGGGCTGGCAAACACAGAAAATGTACATCTTCTGGCAAGGATGGTTAAATCTGGAACAAATTTGTGGTCAGGATTGCAGAATGTCATGACATGGTATTGCAACAGAGTAAAGGGTGGTTTAACAGCAGTATGTAGTTAAAAACATTCCTATACACTAGCATAATCCAAATGATGGTAGAAAATTCCAAATTAAACTGAATATGACAGCCTTCATAATGACCGCCAATATATCGATCTAGTGAAAAAATATTGGAACCTTGGAAGAACAAAGATCCATAGAATATAGCAATGGCCATAGTTCAGCGTAAATCAGTAACTGGGGTGAATGATTAATAAACAAAGAGATTGCAACCCTCACGGAGTGAATGATGTGCCATGTTTCACAGTATCTCCAAAGCCACTATTCACAGGGTAAACATGTGACTCCCCAGAAAATGGGTTAACACCTCAACAAGTTGTGTCCCAGTAGTTAGTGTCGTAATGCAACCTAAGTATTATTTTGGCACCTAAAATCTTATGCACAACTTTGAATGTGCAATGTAATCCCATTTATGCATGTATTCAACAAGCCTAATCAGGCGTTAACCAACAATCAACCACCATATTTGAGGTATTCAATACTAGTATTTCTTTTCTTCAGGATACTTAATATATGAGCATAAAAAGAGTGCAGATAACAATGTATTTTACCTCAGTCTAATTTCTTCTGGAAACTTCTCTTTTACAGTATCAGCAGTGGTGATTGGAAAAGGCAATGAACGAGTTACTGAGTTCAGCACATATATATTATCTGCAGCAACCTGCATAGGTCAGCATGTAATATCATAGTTAGAGAGCATTTTGCTGTATGGAGGAACACAATAAAAAAATTCAGGAAGTCCGCAACAATGAAAGAAAAGAAGTGTTAGAATTACAAATAATGTTGCACGGGCTATTCCTTATCCTATATATTAGCTCTTATAGCATCTATGTGCTCCGTACATATGAACAGCAAACTTTAAAAGTGTGGAATTTCTGTACTAGATAGTTTGAATTTCAAATTCTTCACTTGACATATCATCTCAAGCTTCTCTCTCTAAACTGCAAAATAAAGTAACATACAACCAGTCAATACCTCTATAGCCCCAGTCTTCATATCTGTGTTGATGGCTTCTGTTGGGCGTGACCGAACAACCCCCTCGACCGCAACCACTGACTCTACTCTTAGTTTGTTCACCACAGCATAAACTTCTGGATATTCTGGCAAAGTTGTCACCTACACAGAGAGAACAATTACCGATAAGACCATGCTATCTTGTAGATGTTTATCAGTCTACCAATCACTACAGAAAGAAAAAACAAATCAACTCCCCCATAACATTACAAATTGATGCGATTATATGACTTCATTTTGCCTTCGTAAGTTATTAGATCACTCAACATCAGTTTATTGGGAATTTGTAGCTGCAAACGTTGCTAAAACCACTCAATAGAACAGGAAAACAGTAGGTAATGTCAGTGCTACAAATACTATTATACTCCCTCCGTTTCGAAATGTTTGACACCGTTGACTTTTTAGCACATGTTTGACCGTTCGTCTTATTCAAAAACTTTTGTGAAATATGTAAAATTATATGCCTACATAAAAATATATTTAACAATGAATCAAATGATAGGAAAAGAATTAATAATTACTTAATTTTTTTGAATAAGACGAATGGTCAAATATGTGCTAAAAAGTCAACGGCGTCAAACATTTCGAAACGGAGGGAGTACGTCATTAACTTGACAATACAACCGACCATTCCCGATGACACATATTGAGCAATAAAAATGTGGAACCACCAGCTGTTACAAAGTACTCCATCTAGAGCATTAGCATGTAGATTAATTTAATCACTAACGAGAACGATCAAACAACAATACACATGCGTGCAACAATTAGAATCACAGGCTCGCAGCTACTACATATGGGCAACAAACAAAACCGCAAAATTATCAGCACCAGTCTATCACTAACAGCGACTCACCTGGACCGTGCCGGATCGGTCACGAAGGGTGAGGAAGGTGAGGCCGGCGTGGGCGCGGTGGAGAGCGACCCAGCCGCAGAGGCGCACGCGGCGGCCGGCGTCACCGGCGCCGAGCTCGCCGCACAGCGCGTCCCTCGCAGGCCACTGCAGCGGCTGCAGCCTCTCGCGCTTCGCCTCGGCCGCGGGCGCCGCCGCTTCCTCCTCCGGCGGCGGGGTCGCCGCGTCGGTGGCCGCTAGGGTTCGGAGCGGAGACGGCGAGCACGAGGCCGACGAGGTGGAGGAGGCGGTGGAGAGCAGTAGGAGGCGGCGGAGGTGCGAGGCGGTGGGGCTAGGGTTGAGCGGCTTTAGGCGGGAGAGGAGGGAGAGCGGCGAGGCGCGGAGGAGAGAGGAAGCCATTGGATTGGGCTCGGAGACGGTGGGAAAGCGAGCAGAGGAGGACAAGGGCTTGGGTTGGGTTTTGGAGGAAGACGGGATGGGATCGCCTTATCCTCCTGCACGAATCTTACAGCACAAGTTTTTCGCCTGCCTGCAAGCACAAGCAGATAGAACCATCGCCAGAATTCGAAATCAAAAGCTCTTCGACACCAAAATCAAAAGTGAATTCGCGCCGGAACATTTCATGAGAAACGTAGGAGTACTTCTCAGCTTATTTAATCCAAAGTAAACTGCACGACCACCGTGCTTCACCAAATTGGAGCAGCAATAGGCGTCAAAATTGTGCTTACAAATTCAGATCCCGCCAAGGCAGAACCAAATTTTGAAAACTGCACAAATCACAAAACGCGCAACACCAGTAGCAGGGGGGAAATAAAATTGGCGCGATGTAGAGACAATTTTTTTTTTCAGAGCGCGCGCGTTCATCAGGCGAAAAATTCGTGAACATCGTGAAGTTATCGCTTCCACCGTTCCAGGCGCATAACATCAGGACAACGAAAGTTTTGAAACCATGAAATCAAACAGCGCCCAGATTCACTGCCAGACTTCACAACAAATTCAAATTAAACATCGAAACATGCACTAAATGAAAATGAAATACAGCCCCAACGAGGCTCTGGATAGGAAATTTAAGACAAAATATTCAGAGATTTTCAGATAAGCAAAGACAGCGCAGGAGCAGGAGCAGGAGCAGATTATCGTACAAACCACAGGATTGGAGGCGACAGGGGAATAATCAAGAACATGTAAAAGGCAAGCAGATTAAGCCATCATCATCATAATTACTACTTTACCAGATCCAGATAACAATATTGTCCTAAATCCACCAGGATATTTCTTACATGAACCCAAGATAGTCAAAAGCCAGAATAACTACAGCACAGTACCATACCATCCAAAATTCCAACCTACCACAACTACCATTAGCAGCAAGACGAGAAAGGGGCCTATGAGCCTAAGCGGAGGTGAACTTGGTCACAGCCTTGGTGCCCTCGGAGACGGCGTGCTTGGCAAGCTCGCCGGGGAGGACGAGGCGGACGGAGGTCTGGATCTCGCGGGAGGTGATGGTGGGCTTCTTGTTGTAGCGGGCGAGCTTGGCGGCCTCGGCGGCGAGCTTCTCGAAGATGTCGTTGATGAAGGAGTTCATGATGGACATGGCCTTGGAGGAGATGCCGATGTCGGGGTGGACCTGCTTGAGCACCTTGAAGATGTAGATCTTGTAGGTCTCGACGCTCTTCTTCGCCTTCTTCCTCCCAGCGCGGTCCTTCTTCCCCTCGCCGGAGCCCTTCTCGCCCTTGCCGGCGGGGAGCCGCTTCTCCGCCTTGGGCTTCTTCCCGGCCGGGGCCTTCTCGGCCTTCTCCGCCGCGGGCTCCTCCTCCGCGGGCTTCTTCGCGGCCGGCTTCTTCTCCGCCTTGGGCGCCATGGATGCTGCTCTCTTCTTCTCGGGAAGGGGAAACGGTGGTGGTTCTTTTGCTGTGTGTGGATCGCAAGATTTGCGGTTGGGAAGAGGAGGAGACGGGGCCGATTGGTTTTATAGAAGAGGGGATGTGCGCCCTGATTGGTGGAAAGCATGCGGCGCGGATCGATGACGTGGAAGGATTCGTGTCGTTCGCCGCTGTTTGCGGTGAACGGGTGGGATGCGTTTCGGCGCGGATTGCTGACGTGGTGAAATATCTGGGCGCGAAGAGACGAGCGCGGGGCGGGATTTTCTCGCGCGTGAGCGAAATTGTGGAAGGGCCCATGGGTCATAGGGACGCGACGATTTTTGTGTATCGAGAATTACAATTTTTTTTAGAGTACTGGATTTTTTTAAGTTTTAATGTATACATAAGAAATTTTGACCAAATATTGATTTCAAAATGTTTCACGATAAATGCGCAATTCTATAATAGATTCTACCATGGTTTTTATGTGGTACTATTATGCTATTATGCAAAGGCGTCATGCTGAACTCTTTATTGTTGTAAAATTCAAGTCAATAAGGTTCTGATAAAATTCTTGGGTGAAAAATCGATTAATTCATTTAGCCACTTTATTTGGCTTTCCAAGATATACTAGGTGTGATTTTCTGTGAGGTTCTAGACCGGGCTAGGCAATAACTATATCCGCTTCCAAATACTTTTTTATTTGTTTGACAAGCGTTGTTTTAACTTCGATCATGGCTATTTTTAAGTGATTAGACTATGATGAACAAATATTAATGCTTAGGTTAGGCTTCAACACGCCCTAATAATATGATATATTATAAGTATTTAATTTTAAAGAAAAAACAAATGGTCAAAGTTTAAATATGAATATTTTGTGACAAATAGAATCTTGGAACAGGTGGAGTACAAATGAAATAGAATGGAAAGCTTGATGCTAAAGGCACTTGAGACATCATCAAATGTGAATCACTTTTCAAAATGAAATTAAAAACTCAGTTAAACATTAGCAGAAAGTTGATTTTGACATAGCTTGTCTTTGGCCTACAATATATTAAACTATGTTTGTTGACAAATATATCAACTCATTGGCAATTCCCTATTTTTCAAGTCTAATTTAATCTACTCAACCCCGATATCAATATCCTCCTCGACCCAGCTTTGTTCTGCCAAGTGCCAATGCCTTGGCTTCCCTCACTGCTGCTCTTGAGTTCGCGACCATGTAGTCGTTGTCGCTTCAGCTGCTCGTGTTGATCTCTTAGCTCGATGCTGCAACCAAGATAATTGCCTTCACATTCGTTTATGCCATGCGCCACTAAAATTATTCTAATAACAAGAGAAAATCCCTTGCACTCCCCTGATATTTGAGTCGATCTCTAACGTGTCCTTCAGTTTTTTTTCTTTCCATGGTATAATTATATTATTTTTTTGAGGAGAACGACGGTAGGAGATCTGCCAAAATTTAACATTAGGAGAGAGAAATTACAAAGTAGCACAGAGGTTCAGAGGTTACAAGCCAAGGAATGGAAAGATAAATACAGCTACAGGAAAAGCTAAAAAAAATTATTGGGGTTTAAAGGCCAAGCAGCGCATATCAATAGCTTGCTTGATAAAATAAGCTACTTCAATCTCTGAACAGGAAGAGTTTTGGAAAATTCTTCTATTTCTTTCTAACCAAATATTCCAGCAAGTAGTTAGAAGAGTTTCCCTGACCAACTGCACATCCTTCTTAGAGCCTGCAAATTTGGTTCCAGACCACCATGTTGACACATCCAGGACAGGATTTATTCCGACCGAAGTCAAGTTTTGGAATTGACAAATTAGGGTCTACACTTGTCTGACAAACACACAATCACTGAACAAATGATTTGTATCTTCAAAGGCACAACCACAAACGCAACATATCCAATTGCAAGGCCAATGCCTGTGGAGCAGATTTTGGGCAGTCAAGTTTTTTGATGGAGAACTAGCCAACCAAAGAATTTTATTTTTGGTTCAGTCGGGGATTTCCATAGAGAATCAAACTCATTGGTGGCAAATGAGCCTTCGAACTGGAAAAGGTAAGCACTCTCAATCGCGTGAGAAGTGGCAGATTCAGATGTTCTCCATGGTATAATTATGGATTTTGATTTTTGGTCTCTTTCCATATTCTTTTCTTTAATTGGCCATTTAATAGTTATGAAAAGTCCATTTTGGCATCAGCATGAAAGGAAAACATAATTTAGAATTATCTATATGAGATTATCATGTATTCAATATTTTGTTGTGTGAGGTATTATTCATGACAAAATTTGTTTTGCACATAGACGATAGAGAGTTTAATAGTTATTCCTTTAATTATAGCAAATCTAAGTAGTGTGTTTTTGGATGATATATACAATAGATTTCAATGCGCCCTATATGGGTAAGGTATACCCTCTATCCTACTACTTATGTAATTTTATGGATACACCGCACCTTCGTGTGTATGGTAAAGCTCCATATGCAATAAGGAAATCGATAAGAGATTATGGAAATAATCCTCGCGGGCAAGTACATAACAAAGATCTACTCGGAAAGGATTAGGAATATACTATATCGTGCAAGGTCCTAGGTCTTCGAGTTCCAGGGGATTCACGGTGTAAATACATACCCTTAAGGGGTCCAAGGTTTTGAGTCATAAGCACAAGACACCACCACCATAATCTCGGAGGACTTGAAGCCTATTCACCGATAGATCTCGTCGAGCTAATCTCAACAAGGATTTCATCGGTAATCTCATAATCATTTGTTCTCTATTGTACTATGTGTTTTTCCATATCAATCTCATATAAACTGTAATAGGACTATTATCTTGCGAGGGGCATGAACCAGTATAATCCTTGTTTTTTGTTTGCTTGATGTTGAATCGTGTAGATCCTCATACCAACGTATCCCAATACCCTCATCATCCGGTCTACGGGTATCCCCCGTCGACAAAGGGTAAATTCAACTGGAATAGGACTAGATTCTATTTAAAAAATATGTGTTTGCATAACCGTGGGTACTAAGATATCAATATTGGAGACATTCACAAGTACACCAGAATAGCTTCAATTCTTCACTAACTATATATTCTTATAGTTTCCTCGCACTAGATTATCTCATATGTTAATTCAATCTATCTTTTCTAACACGTATCTACGTTATCTTATTAAAAAAACTAATATAAATACATAAAAGTATAAGTTAAGGTTATAGTTTCTTTGATGGTAAAACAAGTAACAACAAAATAAATAATATATATAGTTTTTTAATAAGATAGATGGTTAAACACTATGTGAAAAAATCAACGGTGTCATACATTTTGAAATGGAGGGAGTATATCCACTAATGTATTTGGGGATACCATGTCATTGATCATTGTTCTCGAATGACAACTGCTTCACGTCGAAAGACGTGGTAAACTCGGTGAGTGGTTGGAATAGTAAAGCAATGTATTAATTGATAAAAATTTTTGGGATCTCCCCATTACATGGCTCTAGGAGACTATTTATAATCCTAGTACAGGCTTGTACCCTTTAGGATTTGGTTAGTACATGTGAATTTGCATAGTTACCCTTACCGTAGGGACATTACAATGTGTATACAGTGTCTTTTGCATTTATGGGCCTTGAGGCAACCCCCTTGGGCCGGCCCATTAGTTGTCGAAGGGCCTCTATAGGCCGCTGGGCCTCCTATGTCCTTAGCCGAAGGTATCTACTACTTCGGGGCGATGGCCTTGTGCTTCGCCCTACAACCTTCGCCCGTGGTGACTCTCCAGTTGACCGATGAGCTTGGAGGTGAACCCTTCGGTCTCCATTCCATGGCTTCGCGCCAGTCTTGATGGCAAAACCTACTTGGTTCTTTGTCATTCTACTTCGCCCAAGGACTTTGGCCCTTGGCTTCACTAGTGGCACATGTCTGGGACTTAGCCAATCCTCGATGTTTTGGGTGGTTTCGGTAGGTCGGCCGAAGGCCCTCATGACATACCTCCAACACTTACAGATATAGAATATTGGAATAGAGTATACCAAAGTACCAACCTATGTTGTGCCTTAAGTTATCTCATATATTTGAATTTCATTTTATTTTGTTACAAACTTAAAAGCAACACCAATGGTTCCCAAAATGGTAGAGGGATGGTAGTGCGGAGAGAGTGACGTGTAAGCGAGGAATCAAGTGGGAGGGATGGGGGAGTGATTTATGTTTCTATTTCCATTGGTAGTATCGAGAGTCAATTTGTACTGTTCCATTTTTTTCTTACCTAAACCGCTTATTACCAACTAAATAATAAATTATGGGTTAAACTTTTATATACTTATCCTTAACGAGTCAAAAATAAATGTTGTAAAATAATCTTCGATGAAGAAACCATAAAATCAACTATAAAATTAAGTTTTAAATTTTAAAATATGGCTTATAAATATAAGCATAAACGAAATGATGGAAAATAGATGTCTTTTAGAGAGAAGAATCTATTCACGCCTCAAACTTTAATTAGGAATTCCAAAAACATAATTTTGGATGGTTTTTTTGTTATCCGTTGGACATGCTCTGATTAGGGATACTGTTAGAGCCACAGCAATAAAACTATTTTCTTTAGCGAGGAATACAACTATACTAAAATCATGGTATTGAAATCACAGAGTATTTTGGGTAGTGATGCTCGTGAGCCTATCTGACGTTGATTCATGATCTAACGGCCGTTCTGCACTTACTGCAGTCATCTACTGCTAGGCATTTTGCTCATCTTCACTGTCAAATCTCAATCGCTCGCCGTCGCCCCCCGCCCGACACACCGGCGGCCGGCCTGTGCGACGGCGATCCTCACCACCACCGCCTCCGATGCCTCCGCCGGCACGCCGGCGTATCGCCGGCGATCCCAACTCCACGTCGATCACCTCACATGCCGGCATGGTTAAGCTCCTCGCCGACATCCTCCACCACACCCCGCCTTCCACCTGGCCGTCCGCCCTCGCCGCCCCGCTGCTCCGCGGCCGCCTGGCCGCCGCCCACGTCTCCTCCCTCCTCCTCCTCCCGCCGTCGCTATCTCGCCCCGATCTCTCCCGCCGCTTCCTCCTCCTGCTGCCGCCCCACCTCGTCTCCCCGGTGTCACTGTCTCTCCTCGCCCTCTCCTTCCTGTCCTCCTCGCCGTCCTCCTCGTCGTCGTCATTCTCCTCCCGGCACGCCGCCTCCCTCCTCCTCTCCCTCGCGTCCTCCGCTCCGTCTTCTTCCTCCTCATTCTCGTCTCTCTCCCACGCTTCCTCCCTCTCGGCCTTCCCGCCAGGCGCGGCCTCCACCGCCGCCGCGCTGCTCGCCTCATCTTACCTCCGCCTCCGCCGCGCCCGCGACGCCGCCGCCGTTCTTGGCCTCTCCCTTTCATCGGGGATTACTGTTAACCAATATACCGCTTCTCAGATATTGTTCTCTCTTGTCAAGATTCGGCAGTTCGCTCTTGCCCGGGACCTGTTTGATAAAATGCTCCAGTCCGGTGTTCATCTGGATGAGTATGTTTACACGGCAGGCATTCGAGCTTATTGCGAGTCCAGGAATCTGGATGGTGCGAGAGGGTTGGTGGTAAGGATGGAAAGCGAGGGGGTCAAGGCCAGCGCTGTGCCTTACAATGTATTGATGTATGGCTTATGCAAGAATATGCGCGTTCAGGAGGCTGTGGAGGTGAAGAATGTCATGGTGAACATAGGAGTGACAGCCGATGAAGTGACATACCGTACTCTGGTCTATGGTTTTTGTCGGATGGAAGAGCTGGAAATGGCACTGAGGATAACACATGACATGATCAGGCTTGGTTTTGTGCCATCAGAGGCTAATTGCTCATTTATGATTGACGAGCTACGCAAGAAGGAGCTGGTTGAGGAGGCATTCAGTTTAGCTTGTAAATTGGGTGATTTGGGCATGGTACCAAATGTGTTTGCATACAATGCATTGATTGACAAACTGTGCAAGAATGAAAGGTTTGACGATGCAGATAGGCTCTTTAAAGAGATGGCGGGCAGGGGTCTGGAGCCAAATGAGGTGACTTATGCTATATTGATACATGCCCTGTGCAAGAGAGGGATGATAGAAGATGCACTTTGTTTGTTCGATAAGATGAGGGATAAGGGTATCAAAGTGACAGTTTATCCATACAATTCCTTAATCAATGGTTACTGTAAACAGGGTTCTTTGGATCGGGCAAGGGGACTTTTGAGTGGTATGGTTAAGGAGGGATTGACACCAACTGCAGCATCATATTCTCCCCTAATAGCTGGTTTATGTAGGAATGGAGATCTGTCTAGTTGCATGGAACTCCACAGGGAGATGGCTGAGAGGGGCATCGCATGGAATAATTATACTTTCACAGCACTTATCAATGGTTTCTGCAAAGATAAAAAAATGGATGAAGCTGCTAGGCTGTTTGATAAAATGATTGACAGCAATGTAATACCAAATGAAGTGACCTTTAATGTTATGATAGAAGGGTATTGCCTTGTTGGAAATATAAGAAAGGCATTCCAGTTATATGATCAAATGGTGGAAATGGGGCTCAAACCTGATAATTACACTTATAGATCATTAATAAGTGGACTTTGCTTGACCAGTGGAGTGTCAAAAGCAAATGAATTTGTTGCTGATCTAGAAAATAGCTATGCTGTGCTAAACAACTTTAGCCTGACAGCGCTTCTGTATGGATTCTTTAGAGAAGGAAGGTTCACTGAAACATACCATCTTTGGGATGAGATGGCAGTGCGAGGAGTCAAGCTTGATCTTGTCAGTTTTACCATAATCGTGTATGCTGCTCTGAAACAGCATGATAAGGAAAAATCATGTGTGCTATTTAGGGAGATGAAAGAACAAGGTGTCAAGCCAGATGATATATTCTACACATGCATGATTGATGCACTGTCAAAGGAAGAAAATATGATCCAAGCTTTAAACTGCTGGGATCAGATGGTTGTTGATGGCTACTCTCCAAACACTGTAACACATACAGTCTTGATAAATAATCTCTGCAAGTCAGGGTATTTGGGCAGTGCAGAGCTCCTCTGTAAAGAGATGTTAGCTGGGAATGTTCTTCCAAATAAATTTACCTATAATTGTTTTCTTGATTATTTTGCAACTGAAGGGGACATGGAAAAGGCCAAAGATCTCCATTCAGCCATGCTTCAAGGCCATCTAGCTAGCATAGTGTCATTTAACATATTGATCAAGGGCCTCTGCAAGGCTGGAAAGATCCAAGAGGCAATTGACCTTATGAGCAAGATCACTGAAAGTGGTTTCTCTCCAGATTGCATCAGCTATTCTACAATAATACATGAGCTCTGTAAGATGGGTGATATAAACAAAGCATTTGAGCTTTGGAATGAAATGCTCTACAAGGGATTAAAACCTGATGTTGTAGCATACAACATTTTTATACGGTGGTGCAATGTTCATGGTGAATCTGATAAGGCTTTGGGAATATACACTAATATGATTAGAAGTGGGGTGCAACCAAACTGGGATACGTATAGAGCTCTTCTCTCAGGAATTTCTCTGATGGTCAGCAAGGGGCAGGCATTGCTGCTTACCACCTGATGTCTAGGGCAGTGCATTTCAGGCTCTCATCTAATGGCATAAGTTGCTATCATTCATCTAGAACAGGATCCATGAAATAGTTCCCTGAACTGTAGCTACATTATGACTTCAGTTGCTTCAGAGGGACAAAACAATACATACAAATTTCTGTATATGAGCTCATGGATTCTACACATAACAAGTAAGCAATTTAAGACAATTACTTTTCTACCAAATGTATGTTGTCCACAATCTTGCAGATAGTATTGTACCATTTGTACATTTGAGCTATCAGATTTTAATTTGACAGTACCTTTACTGCTTTACATTCTTTACTTCAAGAAAAAGTGTTTTTTGTTAATGAATGTTTTTTTTTCTTATTTCATGCCATCTTACTATTGATGTTTCCTGTTAAGACTGAAATAGTGTTATTAAGACACATTCGTCTTGGTAAAAGTTCTATAGATTCCAAGCTTAAAAATTCATTATCAACTGTTTGGACTTTACATTCAACATTGCTAAGACAACAATTATTTCCAACTTTGCAATTTTACATAGCCTTGTCTGAAAATATAAAAAAGGAGATTACACAATTTTAAGGGATTTATTTTGATCTAGTTACATAGACACATCTAACACCATTTAAAATTTTCAACAGTGTCATAACGTGCTTGGGGTTTCTGAGCCAGTGTAACAGAATCTTTTTGATGCTTGATCTTATGGCTAATACCGCTAATGTTGATCTACCCAAACTTGCTTGGGACTAGAGGCTGATATTGTTGTTGGTGGTGTTGTTAGTGCTGATTTTAGGCTACAAGATTTCATGCTTCAATGAGATAGTGCCACAGGATATATTTCCAGGAAATTCTGTTTCCTCAAGACCTAAGCTGTACGAGCATAACATCCCCTTCAGATTCTGCATGGCACACGCTATCCATTCTTTTCTTCTTTTTTTTTTTTTTGTGAAACTTACTCATCTTGACAATTTAATGTACTATTCTGTACCAGGGAAAGGAAAACTGAACTCTCATTGTGTACCAGAGAATCGTAGTAGAAGCAAATTATGATCGGGATTCAGGCTGTTGTCAAAGGTTACCCATCAAGTCGGTATATATCGCATTGTGTCTTCTTTGAGCGTATACCCCCTTACTCATTTTTAATCTCTAGATGTATAAAACAATGGTCATCATAACTTGACAGAAACGCCGCTGTAACTAATATTGTTGCGTTTCTGATTGCAGGTCACATAGGCGAATATGGTTTGTTGATGATCACAAGTCTGGTGAAATAATCCTTGAGTTTGATGGTAGACTGAACAAATGGGGCGTCATCAGCTTCCGTTCTGATGTTAAAGTCAAGAAATTGAGTCCTGGACCGCAGGTCTCTTTCCCTACACACCAGGTTAGTTCATACAACTATCAATAACATATCTGGAAATATCACTTAGTTAAGATGCTTCTATCTTTTAGCAAGATTTTTCAGGGTACTTCATTATTTTCAAAGGGCTGAAAAAAAACTCGTTTAGCTGGCCTGGTTCAAAATTGCTCTGATTGATGTGATTATTCTTTTAAAATGAAAACTAGTCAATTTTGAATGAAATGTGTTTTTATTTTGGCTCGGCTCATTAACAAGAAATTATAGAAAAATAATTTTGAAGAAAGCTCGATAAAAAGCTGACCAAGCTTTTTCCCATCCCTTTATTGTTGTGCTGTTTGCAGTCTGGCTACATGCCTACATCGCCCTCACTACTTCTGCCGGTACCGTGGATCATGATTCATGAAAGAGGCAAGGAGAAAGCATATGGGAGAAAATGTTCTGGGATTCTTCTAACAGAGAGATTTATCTTGGATGATCAATAGAAAAAGACTTGCTGTCCTCAAGTTCAAGGCCACTAGTATCACTGTATCAGGATTCGTATACATGCAGTGATGCTGTAGATGGACTCAAAGCTAGCAGCAGCGTAGAAGATGGTGTAGATACGTGCCTATATGATTTATGAATTGTTCCTGTTTTGGATTCTATTGTGCCGTCTATTTAGTTTTATTGCCCATTGATTTGCACTCGTTCTGCTGTATTGTCTGTCAATGAAAAGTTGCCGGATGTTATAGAACGTATTTTCTGAAGTTTTAGAAAAGCTTCAACTCTATAGTATATTTCTACCAGGCTGTGCTGATGCAGTGATGCTTCTGCGAGCTGAGTAGCTGACTGCTGTTGATTGCTGATGATTTATTCGGTGCTTTGAGACGATCGGCCTCATCTTTCGCTTATGCTTATACTCCCTCCGTATTTTAATGTATGACGCCGTTGACTTTTTGACAAACATTTGATCTTTCGTCTTATTCAAAAAATTTATGTAATTATAATTTATTTTATTGTTACTTGATTTATCATCAAATATTTTTTAAGCATGACATAAGTATTTTTATATTTGCATAACATTTTTGAATAAGACGAGTAGCCAAACGTACGTTGGTTAAAAAGTCAACGGCGTTATACATTAAAATATGGAGCGAGTACGTGAAAGGGCATGTAGCCTAGTGGTTACAAGAGCCTCAGTAGCACCCGAAGTCCTGGGTTCGACTCCCCGTGGAAGCGAATTTTCCAGGATTTAACGGCGTTGTGCTTTCAGTGGTAGGCGACGTACCCGTCGACAGCGAGGCACCTGTGGTGACTTCATCAATCTCTCCAGGATTTATTACCGGCCCAGTCTTCGAAGATGCTCATAGGGGTGAGTGTGCGTGCGTTGTGAGTGTCTGTGTTGTACTGTGTAATTCTCAAAAAAAAAAGGAGGAAGTACTTATCAGTCAAAATTTAAATTTTCGATGTTAAATTTAGAGTTGATTTTAGAGCTTTTTCATTAAAGTTTTTTTTTCACCTTTGCTTTTACGGCCCGTTTGGTTGGAGGGAAATTTTAGGAGGGATTGTGAGTTTAGAGGGATGAGGCTATTAAGAGCATGCCCAACAGATTACTTATTCTATTCCCTATCCTCGAATTAAAGAAATTTTAACCAAAATTCTCATCCAACAGATTCCCTAACCTACCTCCCAATAATGCAGGTTCCCATATCCGTATATCTCGTTACTCATTTGCAGGGAACCACTTTTTCTTCCCAATCGCGGTGGTCGCTGCTTCGCGCGCGTAGGGGGAAAATGTTCCCACGCTCCTTTTCTCGCCCTACTCACCAGCAACAAAATTCCTCTTCCTCCCAGGCGTCAGCGGCGGCTTTCCAGGCGGCGAAGCAACGGCCAACCCCTTCCTCGCAGGCGTCGTCGACGGAGTTCCACGTGGAGATGCAGCAGTCGTCCCCTTCCTCTCAGTCACAGGGGTTGGCGTCGATGTTGCTCCAGGCAGCGATGTAGCGGCCATACCCCTCCTCTCAGGCGCAGGCGCCGGCGTTGCTCCAGGCGGCTATGCAGCCGCCGTCCTCTTCCTCGCAGGTGTCGGCGTCGGCGTTGTTCCAGGGGGTGCCCGCACGTCGACCACCGCTGCCGGCGCAAGCCCCACCACCTCCTCGATTTGGGGCCGACGGCCCTCTGCGCCCCGCACCGCTGCCTCGCCGTCGTCTTCCTCAACCTCCCTACTCCAGTATGCAGGCGAGAGAGTCCATGGGGGGACATGCTCCATGGGAGACACTGAATCCCCTCTCATACGAAGCTCCTGGCATCGATTTCTCCACAGCTTATTCTGTGTGTGATGAAGAATTCCTCCATATGAGCAATTTCGGTAAGGCTGTCCCTGATTCGTTCGATGTTTAGATTAATTTTCAGAGTGTTGCAGCCTGATCTGATGTCCATTCTATGACTGACTTCCCCGGCTAGAATTCAGGAATTCAGGATTCAGAACACTTAGAGGAAAATGTCAGAAAGTCTGAAATTTGTACCGTATCGAATGGAAGTCTGAAATATGCAGGATATGCTCTAAATCTGAAAGTCTGAACACTTATAGGAAATCAGGTTTCAGAATATTTAGTAATGAAGGATATGCTCTAAATGTGTGGTATGCTCTGAAAGTCTGAAATATGCTGTCAAATATTTTTGCTATGTCAAATGTACTCCCAAAGTCTGAAATATGCTCTGAAAGTTTGAAATATTTTTCTCTCATCACAGCATCTTTGAAATATGCTCTGAATTTTTGCATTAAGATAATGTTGTTAGATAATTTGATAGATAATGCAACAAGATGCAGTCCATAGTCTATTTTTCAAGATAAAAGAACCACCTGCTTTTGCCAATCAGACTTTCAGTTTCATGAAAGCTGCAACTACAGAATTATAAGTACAACAACATAAGTTTAGTAGGATTATAATAACTTATACAGTTCTTAGCTCTAAGTACAACAGCTGCTTAATTGAAGTGATCATCTGCATTTAGTATGCCTCACTTTTTAGATTAGCAGATGAACAACCACATGCTTGTGCCAAATATTGAAAATAGTGTCTGAAAGATGCAATTTCAGTATGTATGTGCCTAATCACTCACTGTCGCTGACATTTATTCTTCTTTAGTTCCCTTCTCTGATGCCATCATAGACAGTATGTGCTCTGAAATATTGAGAAACTACTTGCTCTGAATTTTTGCTATGCTCTGAAAGTATACAAGTCTGCTTTTTTTTTTTCCTCAAGTACATGCTAACAAGGTTCCCCGATTAATTACTGCATGACCTATAACAGATCCACCACGCTTTGGAACTTCATCATCGTCGAACTCACCGTGCACTATATCAACCGCCGAAGAAATAAATTCTTCGTCACCATCCGATGAAAACTCATCCAATAGCATTTGGAGGAGGGTGCTTCGACGACTCATCTCCTCTTTTTGTTTGCCACGGTGTTGGAGCGTTTACCACAGGGATGAAGTGCAATGGAGGGAACTGATGGCAGGAATAGAACAATAATCAATCTGCAAAATTAATTATCAGATCAAACTTAATATTTTCCAACAATATATATCCACATCAAAATACTGACATAGAGATTGACTACGGCACAAGAGATTAATGGGATTTGCTAAGGATTACCTCCTTGATGACACGAATTGCTACGACATCTCCTTGGTGTTCCGTTTTTTAACAAATCGCAGCAGTCAGGACACTGGTTGGCTGGCTGGTGATGATGGCGCTAGGTCACGGCGGCGCAAGTGTGGGGAGGAAGAAGTCGATCGGCGCTGGTGCGGGAGGGAGAAGACGTGCGCAAGTACCGAACTGGGCCCCACCTTGCTTATGTGGCAAACTAACAAATGATAGGGAATTGATTTTTGGGCTTCTCTTGGAGGAGGGGGTCATTGTTGGGCCCAATTTTTATTTTGGTATTCCTAATTCAGATTTTTTGGGAATCAAATATTGGGTGATTGTTGGGCATGCTCTAAGTGATTTGTTTGGTTGGGAGACATGGAAAATTTAGTGGGATAGGGATGGTGAATTGAGGAAGGAACTCCCTCCTTTTCAATACCTGGGTAGGGGCAGGTAATTGGGAGGGAATTCCTCCTTTACTTTTTCTAAGCAAATCTGAGCCATCTGTTTTTATTAATGACTTAATCTCCAACTAAACTCCCTATCAATTTCCATTACCTCTACCAAACAAGATATTGAGATTAAAAATCAAATTCCCATCTTAATCTCATTATCAATTCCCTCGTGTAAACTCCCAATCTCCTTCCCTCGAGTTACCAAACAAGCCGTTAGATCACTAAGAATACGTATATAAAAGTTTTATTCACAAATTTTTTCCATTTACAAATATGCCGATGGGTCCTGGTGATTTACTTAACAAATGTTTGATTAGATCTTCAGTTTTATATACAAATTCGTTTTGTCTAAACAGATAAAATTGACTTATTAATCTTGGGAAGGCCGTTACTCACTCTAGACTTTACTCCTCCTTATCTTTTTTTTTCTTGAACGAACATTTCATTTCTTATATTTTTGCATAGTTTTTTTAAGGTAGTTATAGACAAAAGTGATAATGATTGGGCTTCTAAATAATGGGTAAGACTTGTCTCCAACAAGTGACCCATAAGGGCACCTAAATCTAAAATGGGTTTCCGATAGTATTATTTCAGCCTCCAACAGAGTACCTATACAGAAGACCTATTTTACGTGCTATAAGAGGCATAACCTAAATCTGAGTATCCTCTCTCCTGAAGACCTATTTGCAGTAAGGGTTCTCTTTTAGGCCTTATTGTTGGAGAAGACCAAAAATAGGTATTGAACTCTTTTACTGTAGCGCTATGCAAACGTGAAATGAGTCTTGTATTTTGGGTTTCATTGTTGGAGATAGCCTAACCACCACGCGCCGGAAGCCAAACCCAGTTCTCCCCGTTCCCGCCTACATTTTCGCCACGTCAGCGATCCGCACCGAAATGCATCGCAGCCGTTTACGGAAACAGCATCGAACGTCACACGTTCGTCCACGTTATCGATCCGTGGGGAAACCACTCCACCAATCAGCGCCCACCTCAAGTTCGCTATAAAGTCGTCGCCCCCGTCCCCATTCTCTTCCCCACATCGCAGTCTTGCAAACACACGCAGCAAAATCCACACCGCTTCCCCTCCCCGAGAAGAAGAGAGCAGCATCCATGGCGCCCAAGGCGGAGAAGAAGCCGGCCGCGAAGAAGCCCGCGGAGGAGGAGCCCGCGGCGGAGAAGGCCGAGAAGGCCCCGGCGGGGAAGAAGCCCAAGGCGGAGAAGCGTCTCCCCGCCGGCAAGGGCGAGAAGGGCAGCGGCGAGGGGAAGAAGGCGGGGCGGAAGAAGGGGAAGAAGAGCGTCGAGACCTACAAGATCTACATCTTCAAGGTGCTCAAGCAGGTCCACCCCGACATCGGCATCTCCTCCAAGGCCATGTCCATCATGAACTCCTTCATCAACGACATCTTCGAGAAGCTCGCCGCCGAGGCCGCCAAGCTCGCCCGCTACAACAAGAAGCCCACCATCACCTCCCGGGAGATCCAGACCGCCGTCCGCCTCGTCCTCCCCGGCGAGCTTGCCAAGCACGCCGTCTCCGAGGGCACCAAGGCCGTCACCAAGTTCACTTCCTCTTAGGCTGCACCTGGTGCTATTGTGCTAGTAGTAATATTAGTTTGATCTATTTATCTACTAGCTGTAGTGCATCAATGATGGGAAATGGATGTTGGGGATTTAGTGACTGTAAGAAGAATTAGGTGGGGCTGCTTTTGAGGAACTTCTGTTTCATGGATTCGAAATACACTAGTAATGCTTTTGTATCATGTGAATATGTGATCTCTCCTATGTTGTCTTTGGTTGCCTTGTGCTGAACTTGTGTTTGTTTTAATTAATTTATGTCTAATTTTGGGGAACTAATCTTTGTGTTGTAGTAACTATTTGCATTGTCTTGCAAATTCCTCGTCATGTTACCGGAATTGATTCTGGAGCATGCATGTTTGGAGTTTGGAACTGCTGATGTGCTCATGTAGACGTTATTATGGAAGATTGCTATTATTTTTGTTTCTGATTACCTTAATTAGCTAATGTCACTGGCCACAAGACGAATTTCACTGGGCTCCTTTTGGGGAACTTTTTTTTTTTCTCATGGATCAGGAATACTCTTTGATTTCCTTGTGCTTGAAGGTGAACTAGTGATGCTTATGTCTAGTTTTGTGGAATTAATCTTCATGCTATTGCTATTTTTCATTGTCTAGCAAATCATCAAATCCCTCTGCTTGTTACTGGAATTTTATTTCTTGAGCATCTATTTTGGAGTTTGGTACTGCTCGTTGGATTATGTTAGTTTTAGATTTATGGACTGGCACTACTTTTGTACTTTGGACCGTTTGTGGACTGAGCATTTGGAGTTCATGATGTTTGCATTCGAAACAAAACAGAGGTTGTTAGAAGAGATTAGAACTTTGAAAATTGTAGTAAACTTTGTTTTAGCTTCGTCTGGTACTAATTCAAAGAAATCTAACTCAAGTGGAAATAGTACTGAAACTCCACATATATTGCCTTTGCTATTTCACTATTTCAGGATTATGCATGCCTGCCCGTTTGCTACATTTCTGTCCTGAATGTCTTATGGAGGTTCCTCTGTTGAAGATTAGCTAACAACAAATATGAGGTATGCATCTTTTATCAAACCTTGCTTTGGGCTGTTCTGTTCTGTGCAAGATGTGCTGACTGAAGAGTGAAGATGGGACTCTTGTGGGACTTCTTGTAATGCAATCCTTTTATTTTCTATTCAGGGAGATTATTTGAGGTGATCAATTATCTTTAAGGTTCTACAGGGAGAGCATCCTGAATTTCTGTTTGGCTTGTTCAAATTAAATATTCCATGCCAAACAACTTTAGCTTTAACTGATTACTGTGGATATGTACTAGTATCTTTTTCTCATGAAAAAGCTTTATAGTGGCTAGTACAAATCCACAGCGACTGAAATGATGGATCTCATATTTCTTGGGTGAACAATCCTTCATTCCTATTTGGTTAATTGTTTGGGCTATTGTTCTTCTATTCTATAATTGTCATGGATTTGGTATCCTGTGCTAGAACTGTTTAGATGCGATCTTTTTTGCTGCTTTGTTTATGTCGAATCTGAAAACTGGTTGCCTGGGTATTTGAGTCAGGGAGTTAGGAAATTTTGCTGCTATGGTTCTGTAGGTAACTAGGAATTGGTATTGAATTATTATTGGTGCTGCGTAACCTTTATTTAACCTCTAAAATGCACGACCAGTAACTATAGTTGGCCATAAGGCCCGAGGCCCGAAGGCCCGGCCCACGGCACGCCTTTTTGGCCCGGCCCAAGCACGGCACGGCCCGACTTGGGTCGGGCCCGTGCTGGCCCGGCCCGACCGTCGGGCCGTGCCTGGGCCTCCCCACCGGCACGCTGGGCTGGCCCGGCACGGTCGGGCCGGCCCGGCACGATGGGCCGGCAGGCCAGGCCCGGTACATAAAGTATGGGGACTAAAAATAGACATATAAATGTAACTGTCTAAAGAATAGGGACCTTAAATAGACTTATTTTAGCTATTTATATACCCCAGCCCAAAGAAGAGGGAGGTAAAATAGACTTTTTGTAGCTGTACATATGTCACAGCCCAATAGGAGGGAGGAAATTTAGACTTATTCTGAGGAAAAGCACGACGGCCCATCGTGCCTTCGGGCCGGCCCGGCACGGCCCGAGGCGTGTTGGGCCGTGCCTGGGCCGTGAGTGCGGCACGTGGGCTGGCACGGCACGGCCCGGTGCGTCGGTCGGGCCGTGCCGGCCCGACAAGCCTCGGCCCAGGCACGGCCGGGCCTGGGCCGTGCCGTGCCGGGCGGCCCACATGGCCAACTATACCAGTAACCATGGAACCTTGTATGCAGCTGATTATTCCAGGTACAGTCATCGATACTACACATATGCATATTGCCCAATATTTATGAATGTTGCTCTACTGTTCATTGCCCGACTCAACATTTAGTTAAGAGTGCTCTGTTCATTTTCAACCATCCAAGACCTGAGATATTCATCTCTGATTGCATGAATCTCTGATGCAGCATCTGGTAACAGCATTCGGTCTCTGGGTTGTTGCTTTGAGCAGGATAAGCCGAGCCTAAGAACGGACACCAAACACTGTTGAATAATTCTTCTTTTTGTGCTTGCATTTGTCCCATCTGTATCATTTGCTTCTTCATGCAGCCAGATTGTTCGATCAGCTATGTTCATGGCGCTCTCAAGAAAAGAAGCTGCAACAAACTTGTGCAGATCCATTGAATCCCTGAAAATGTCATCAGTGGGACTTCTTCCATTAAACATCTCAAGCAACAATATACCTAAGCTGTAAGTATCACCTGCTCTGGTTACTGCAGAACCTTCTCCATACTCTACAATATTTGCAGTTAAAGTTAGTTTTTCACCGTACTACCGACATGTAAAAGATACAAAGTTCCAGTCCAACCCCCACCCATGAGGGAGGAGGTGGAGAAATTGTAGGATATAATACAAAAATATAATATTTTTGACCTACCTGGTGCAATATATCCAATGGAACCTCGGATTCCAATTGAGCTTTTTGAATATTGAAGAGTTCTAGTTGTGCTTTTGGGGAGGATTTTTGATATGCCAAAATCTCCAACCTTTGCACTCATGTCTTCTGCAAGAAGAATATTACTTGGTTTCAGGTCACAATGAATGATCGGTGGCTGACAACTGTTGTGAAGATAATCCAGTGCGTCCAAGATATCAACCACAATGCTGAGTCTCTGCGAAAGGCTCAGTGTATTGCTGGGAGTGGGATTGCTTGACGTGGGATGGAGCCAACTATCTAAGCTTCCGTTGGGCATGTACTCAAAAACTAATGCCTTGAACTCCTGACCCTGTGGGTCAATACTTGAACAACAAGTGATGATCTTTGTCAGACAACGATGGCGAACTCTTCTCAAAGCCTCACATTCAGCCTGAAAGCTCCTTGAAGATCCTAATTGTTTAAGGTCGAACACTTTTATGGCTACAGGTTCACCCTCATCTTGTAAAGTGCATTTATAAACAGAACCATATCTTCCTTTGCCAAGCAAGTTTGCTTCTGAAAATTCATTGCTTCCTCTTGATAATGCATAATATGAAATCCTCTGATATTGTTCCTCTATAACCGGAGATATCTCTTGGCTATTTTGTCTTCCTTTTAGTTTCCTGTGCTGTAACATAATCAGAACAATAGCTGAAGCTAACACCAGAATTGCTCCTGTTGTTATGAAAGCTACTTTAAGATATTTCATCCGTTCTTTTCTGTCCTTTCTTACAGCAGGAATTGGACATGGAGCCAAGTGAAGCCGAGGTATTCCACCACACAACTTGTCGTTCCCTGCAACTGATGCATACGTAAGGTTCCTGAAAGCACCTTCATCTGGTACTTTGCCTTGCAAATTATTGAAGGACACATCTAAGTGCCACAGCTGTGTCAAATTTTGTAGGGTTTCTGGGATTGATCCTGACAAATTGTTGTGAGCTAGACACAGCTGTTGCAGATTGCCCATGCTACCAATGGCATTGGGGATGCTACCAGAAAACTTGTTCATGGTTAGGTTCAGTATGGCGATCCCTTTTAGTTTTGTCAAAGATTGAGGTATGCTTCCTTCAAACGAGTTGCTATCTAGCAGCAGGTATTCCAGCACCTCACAATTTCCTATACTGTCAGGTATTTGATCAGATAGCTGGTTTCCTGACAGTTCTATACTGTTTAGGTTAACCAAGGTACCAACTTCTGATGGAATGGGTCCTGAGAGAGTATTATCTGACAAGATTAAGAACCAAGAAAGTGACGGCAGCTCAAAAATTTCTTTTGGGACCGAACCGTTCAGATGGTTTATGGACAAATCTAGAGCAAATAGCTTCTTTAGCTTCCCAAGGGTTGCAGGTATTGGGCCTTCCAAATGGGCATCGTATGCGGCTAGTATATTCAAATTGGTAAGATTTCCAATTACTGACGGTATGAGGCCTGACAATCTAGTGCTGTACAGAGTAATTATGGCCAAGTCTGCTAGCTTCCCTATGCTCTCAGGAATCACTCCTGACAAAGAAGTGGACCCTAGATCGAGCGTGTCCAAGCCAATCAAATTGCCAATGTCTGTGGGGATGCTCCCGGAGACGCTATTACCACGTAAGAAGAACTTTTGAAGTGTTGTCGACAGGTTAACAATAGAGATTGGCAGCTGCCCAATGAAAGAATTTTCTGCGATATCTAGCTGTTGCAGCTGACTGCAGTTGGCAAGTGAAGTTATAAATTCCCAGCCCTTCATGTTATTTGCCTCAAGTCGGTTGCTAGACAAGGATAGACGCACAAGAGATTTCAACCTTCCCACGGTAGGAGGCACAAATCCACTGAATTTGTTACCATCAAGGTATACGTCTGTGAGTGATGATAGATTGAATAAGGAAGAGGGGATGACTCCGCTAAACTGGTTCACAGACAGAACAAAGTGTTGCATGTTAGGTAATTTGTCGCCAATGTTGGCGGGAATGCTTCCTTTGAGCTTGTTCTCATATACTTGGAGAACAGTCAGTTTTGACAGATTCCATATGGAGGGCGGGAATTCGCCAGAGAGGCTGTTTCCGTCAAGACCAATCTTCTGCAGATTTGGGATGTTTCCGAGGCTTGACGGGATCAGGCCTTTCAGGTGGTTGAAGTCCAACTTTAGGAACTCAAGCGATGATAGGTTTGCTAGCGAGGCTGGAATCGGCCCTGTGAAGCTGTTGTTTCCAAGATGGAGCTTCTGGAGCCACGTCAGTGTGTTACCCAACTTCACCGGAATGTGGCCACTAAGTTGGTTATAGCCCAGGGTCAGGTTTATCAAGCTGATGCAGGAGCTCAGATTATCAGGGAACGCACCGGAAAACGAATTGCTTCCAAGGTCGAGGATCCGTAGATGCTGGAGGTGGCCGAGGCTTGGGGGAATCTCCCCGTGGAGCCCATTGGAGCTCAGGTTGAACCACCGGAGGAAGGTGAGGTTTCCGATGGCAGGAGGGAGCGTTCCGGCGAGATTACTGGACGGCAGGCTCAGCCCCACCACCCTCGTCGGCCTATGGCGGCTGCACTTGACGCCCTCCCAGTTGCAGAAGCTGGTGCTGCTGTTCCATGAGGTGAGCGTCCTTGAGCTGAGCCCCGCCTTGAAAGCGGGCAGCGTGGCCTCATCGGTGCTGCCACCGGCGATCGTCAGGACGGAGATGAGGGACAGTAATACAAGAAGCCTCATGTGGTTTCTTTCTTTGGTTCCGTCTGTGAGAGAGAGAGGAGGGAGGGTCTTTGGAGCATAACATCAGCTTACAGGCTGAGATATTGCTCCTATCCTATGATCCTATTTGGACATCTCCAGTGTTTGCTTGACTTCATTGACCGAATGGTCTACTGTTCAATGATTACTTGGCTGGGACTGGTTGACTTGACCTAATCTGTCAGGACTCGGGGCTTTTTACGAGTGCATTGTGCTGCTCTTTCCAACAAATGCAAGTGGTCAGGGTTAAGTGCAGAGCACGGTGTGTGCTGTCCGCCATACTCGATGATCAGTAAAGTGGGTCACGTAGTTTTTGACATATGGTAGCTGTTGACATGGACGAGGAGCACCGGACGATACGCCAGCAACAGCAGCCTTGCCGTCGTCGTCGCTGCCACCGGTCGCCCTCATCGTCAATCCTCCGCCATTGCGGTCTTCTGAAGCACGGACCAAGGTTCTTGTTTCTTTGAGCACCCTTTTAGTGCTTTTTCCTAGAATTGGAATTCATGATATCCCTGATTATCTTGCCAACTGTTAAATTTTGGTGATTCATCTATTGCGAATCAAGCATTAGTCATAGCATTTGTGATAGTTGATGTTGTCGTAGGTGATCAGTAACATGCATTAGTGGTGATTACTGATTAGTCAGGTCAGGTGTGTAGTTTAGACATGGAAAAACCACCGAAAACTGTGTTGGTAGTAGAAGTGTTGAATTCCGAAGTGTATATACTCCCATAATCTAACTCATGAAACATACAGATTCACAAAAAATCTGTCTTCTTTCTCTGTTCCAATCGCGATGGCGAAGTGATGAGGTGCGATAGTTGGCGAAGTGGAGGTGTACGGCAATTCACAGTCGCAAATTCTCCTGGTCTATATTCCATTAATTCCAGCAGATAAATATTTCACTGCCATGGTGATATATCTCGACGAGACGACGGCGTCCAGGGTCAAGCAACAATGACGGGGGAAACTTCGATGGTCGACAATGGTGATATATAGGCAACATTAGAGCAAGTATAATAGAACGGTTGTTGCTGGCATTGGCTCGGATCGGCAGATGGCGGAGTCCTTGGGCTTGAAGCGTGATGGAAGCTTGCGGGGCCAAAATAAGTGAAACTATATATTTACAAACGAAAAATAATTTATGAATAAAATTTTTATATACGTTTTCTTAACTATCTAAAAACAAATACTGAAAAATAAACTTTGATAAGAAAACGTTAAAATCAGCTCTAAATTTAAGGCTGAAAATTCAAATTCTAGCTGATAAGTATAAACTTAAGCGAAAAGATGAGACTCTTAGAATATCCTTGTGGCAGGAACAAGATTGTGTGAAGATTGGAGGGAGCATTATGAGGTTGTTAAAACGTTAGATATGAAAAGGCTTTCATATCGATGTGTAGTAAGAGAGGAGTGAGTGTTCGCTGGGAATCGGCGCGCACCACCGCAGACCCTGCCCACTGCACTAGGCGCGATTCTCACGTGTATACTTTACATGTTTTAAACAATTTTTTCCTACAAAATTTATTTGATCTACAATTCAGTTACACCATCATATTTGGTACAAGTAAATCTTATATATAGGCTGTTACACCATCCATAATTCGATTACAGGATGTCACATGATTATATATTTTTTAAAAAAAATATATCCGTACTTAAAAAATATATACCATATACTCCCTCCGTCCCATAATGTAAGGAATTTTGAGTATTTGCTTCCACTATTTGACCACTTGTCTTATTCAAAAAATTTTGGAATTATTATTTATTTTTTTGTGACTTACTTTATTATCCAAAGTACTTTAAGCACAACTTTTCATTTTTTATATTTGCATAAATTTTTTGAATAAGATGAGTGGTCAAACACTAGAAGCAAAAACTTAAAATCCCTTATATTATGGGACGGAGGGAGTATGAAATATCAAGTTAAAACGAATGAAACATTATAAAAATACTTCCTGAAACATCCAGAGAAGCTTTGTTCGGAAGTTGGTTACTGCCGGCTGGCAGCAGCAGCTTGAACAATATTTTTGCTGCTGATTCAGTTGTTGCAGGCTTGTAGTACAGCGTTGTGGCTGCACAGGAATTGTTGCCGAACACAGGCCACTATATACAATTTTCACAAATAAAACTAGTGAAACATCGTAAAATACTTATTGAAACATCCAAATAATACCATCAGAAATATTTAAAAAGATTCATTGCAACGTAAAACTTAAATGTGCAACGGAATTGAATTTTGGTTGAAACATTGTTTCCAATACGCAAAACATCAATTTTCACTAATTGAAACATATGTATTTTATATGAAATCTTGATGTAGAGTTTTAATTATAACGAATAGAACAATATAATCGAATCACATATTTGATAAATAATTTAGAAGAAAAATCATTTTGAAGATTGCTAGGTAAACAATTAATGCATATTACATGAAATATGCATACTCCTTTATGGAGAGACAGTGAATGAGCACTTTCCGTGGAGAGGAAAGAATAAAGAACAACTCGCGTACAATGTTTTTCCCTTTGCATTCCCCCAATTATTTTGGTTGTTCAGGAGCGGACACTGTGTAGGTTATAGGAATTCACCCAAACTTTTTTCTCTTGAAAAGAAATACTATATGTAAATACTAGAAGATATAATGATACTGCATAAGTAAATACTTTGCTGGGCCTAATACCTCGTTCTTAGGCCTAATACTCTGCTGGGCCTCCTCCCGACTCACCGGCCCAATAACTGCCCAGGACGCTTCCTCCCTAATCGTCATCTCCTCCCGGTCCCCGTCCCCCGATCCCCAATCATTCCTCCCCTGACGCCGCGCCGCAACTCGCCGCCACTCCCCGTCGCCGCCGCCGCCGCTTGTCGAAGCTGGTTTGGGGGATTCGGGGATTTGACGGATTAGAGGTGACTGAACTCTCGCTCTCCTGCTGAAATCATACCGTATTTTTGTGATGATTTATGGGGAGGAACCTAGGTTTTGATGAGAGAGGCGAACACTGATTTGATTCATCCAACGCGTTATATTCACATCCTAACATCCAGCCTTTGCGCCTACGCATCAGGAATCGCAGTCGCAGATGGAGGCCATGGACGACATGGCGGCTCTGACGGAGGACATCCTCCTCCAGATCTTCTCCCGCGTGGGCAGCATCAAGGACCTCTTCAAGTTCGCCGTGACATGCCGGCGGTGGCTGCGCCGCTTCACCGACCCGGCCTTCCTCCGCGGGCTGTGCCTGGACAGCGGCGAGGGCCACCGCGCGCGCCTCCTCGGCTTCTTCTTCCAGCAGACGAGATTCTATCGCTGCGAAAAGATGATCAAGATGCGGGTGACGCAGCAGAGCTCGGTCTGTCCGCCCACCTTCCTGCCGGCGCCGTGGTCGCCGCTCGGCCTCACGGATCGCACCCTCACCTCCTTCCTCGCCGCCGACGACGACACCTTCAACTACGCCGAGCCCCTCGCAGCGCGCTGCGGCATTGTCCTGATGCGGCTTGTCCCCCGCACCGCGCTGATGATAGCGTGCAGCCACCTCCTCGGCGTCTGCAACCCGATCACCGGGGAATGCCACGTTCTCCCGCCTCTGAATCTCTCCGGCCTCCATCGCTACTTGACCAGCTACGCCATCATCACGTCCACCGACAGCGACCTAGATGGGAAGCAGCCGCCATCATCATCATCGTCAGGGCGCTCCACGTTCTCGCAGCTGTACCTCGTCGTCCAACACAAGAAAGACTGTAACGAGTACTTCTACTCCTACTCTGCTGCTACGTGCAGCTGGAGCGCTCCCACCATGTGCGTGGACGGCCGCCGCTTCTCCCTGGTGGGTGAGAGATCCGCCGTCGTTCACAAGGGCGCGGCGCACTGGCTGTTTATTGATCGTGTATCTAGCGCAACCCAAGATGACATACTGTACAAACTCACCGCGGCGGTGGACACCTCAGAAATCTCCTTGACAAGGCTCCCCTTTGGTGCTGGAGGCTCACCGCTCCTCTGCGTCAGTGGAGACGGCAAACTTTCGGTCGCTTGCGTGTTTCCCATCCACATGAGAGTTTGGACTCAGCAAGATGACACCCCTGCAACGTGGCTCCGCACTGTGATCAGGATACCATTGGCGGTGCCTTACCCAGACTATTCCCATATATGTCAGCCCCGCGAGAAGTGGTTTAACTTCAACAGGGGATCAATGCTCGTGCTGTACAGGAGCAACGGCGTCTTCATCCTCGACCTCGAGAAGAAGGTGATGGAAAAGGTCATGGACTGCTTACTGCCCCTATTCAGTGATAAACTGAACAGGACGGCTGTGGCGTATGAGATGGACTTGGTTGAGTTCTTTGTGCTCCAGCTCAGTGGTCTATGTAGAGGGTCTACAGGATAATTACAGATGTTATGCAGTGGGAAAATATATGTTCTAGAATAAGCAAGTTTAAGTTAAACAACAGCATATTACATGGATCATATGCAAACTGTGCAAACTGGCGAGTGATATATCTTGTTCTGTAGCACGGCATTGTCATTTTGATATGGTTTGACCTTTACTGGTTTCCACTGTAACATCCCTTCACTGGAAAAACAAATTCTCTTGATCTTACAGTTCACAACTACGCAGGTGGCATTTGCGGCACAGTTCACAATTTTCTTTGTTTGCCTGTTACGCTTGCTAGCACCTTAATTTGTCAACTTATTGCTAGTGTTAATACTTATACATCTGATGGTGTAAATCAAAATAGTTTCTTTCATCTGAGAATCCCTGATTGATCTGTTTGTAAGCTGTGTTCTTGTTTTGTATGGTCTGAGTACCAGCTGCTTTAGGTAGAGTAACTGACTGTCAGTTCCTGAGAATGCCGTAATGCTAGTTGTATTCCATAGAACTGTGATTCCTTGCAGTTTACATTGTCTTTATTTTATATTCGATTTCTTATTATTATTCGGCTAGTAAATGCGAGTTTCCTCTGGAATCTGAATGTACCACTTTGAGCTCTTAGGAGTTGAAGTGAGTTGGAGCTAGATTGTTAGATCCTGACGTTTTTTTCTTGTTACTGTGAAGAACCTGTTTGTGCTTTCTCTAAAATTGGACTTATATGCACGATATCCTTGATTATTTTGTCTACTGTCAAAATCTGATCACCCATTTATCAGAAATCATGCATTAGTCACATTTGTGATAATTGATCGTAGGCAAGAAGTCTATATTGATGTTTGACATCCTTGAGTAGTGGTTGCTGATTTGTCAGCTATTGTCTAGACATGGAAAAGCTACTGCTGAAAGGCCTTCGAGTTCTGAAGGTTATATACTCCTACATCTTACATAGAATTTGGATAGAATGCGTCTGTTTTGTTTGTAGTTAGTGGCTTAGTGCACACTGTTGAATTTGATAGTATTTGCAATACAGTGTTATATGCTGCTAAACTAAGGCTGTGTTCGTTTGTGTGAGATAGGGTGAGAAAACACCTCGTTTTCCGCGCGCACGCTTCCTAAACTACTAAACGATGCGTTTTTTGCAAAAATTTTCTATAGGAAAGTTGCTTTAAAAAATCATATAAATCCATTTTTGAAATTTAAAATAGTTTATACTCAATTAATCATGCGCTAATGGCTCATCTCGTTTTGCGTATCTTCCCAATCTTCTCAATCTCCTATCTCTCAAACTCACCCTAAGTGAAAATGGATTTCCTTGTGAAGATTGTAGAAACTTCACTAATTGCCAGGATTGGTCTAATTTGTTCCAAGGTTTATGGCATTTTTTGTATTTCTTTACTCCTTTAAACGTTTCTGGTGGCGCCGCCACCACCAAATGACATTTGGGCTCCACATAACTAGTTGCAGAAAAAAATGTGAGAGTTTGCGTGCTCAGTGATGTCCTGAAGAGTATGTGTAACACAAAGATGCATAACAGAAGACTAGTTATGATCACGCCGTTGCCAAAGGTTATCATCAAGTTCCTTGTATGTTGTCCACTATGACTTATTTTGGTGTATCCCTACTTTTTAATCTCTAGATATAAAACTATGGCCAATATATTGATAGAACACAGCTGTAACTAAATGTTGCGTTTCTGACTGCAGGATACATATGGAAATTGAGTTTGTTGGTGATCACAGTTACAGGTCTGGTAAGATAGTTATTGAGTTTAACGATTGAACAAGGTGTCTGGAAATACCACCAGGTGCTTCAATCTTTGAGCAAGATTTTTCTGCGCTCTCCATTGTTTTGTGTTGTGTTTGTTTGCAGTCTGAACCATGAAAGAGGAAGGAGAAAGAATGTGAGAGGAAATGTTCTTGGATTTTTCTCTAGCAGAGAGATTTATCTTGTACGACAATAAATGTTTGCTGAATTCTTAGTGTCATCTCAAAATTCGATTTGTCTAAACAGGAAAAACTGACCTATTAATCAAAATATATAGAGTTTACCCTGTTTTTAATTATTATTTTCTTCTTATTTACATGCTGTTTATGGTTACAGACTCCATGGCAAAAAGCCCAAAACCTGAACCCAAAGAAAGAACAGCCCACCACCACAGCGCTCCAAAAACGGGGCCCACTGCACATTTTTCTTTGCAACGTCAGCGATCCGCACGGAAACGCATCGCAGCCGTCTAACCGAAAAGGCACCGGACGTCACACATTCATCCACGTCATCGATCCGCGGGACAAGCCTCTCCACCAATCAGCGCCCACTTTTACCCACTATAAACTCACCGCACCCGTGTCCTCCTTCCACACCGCAATCTCGCAACACATCAGCACACACCGCTCCAAAGCAAAACCCACGGACCCGCTTCCCCTCCCCGAGAAGAAGAGAGAAGCATCCATGGCGCCCAAGGCGGAGAAGAAGCCGGCCGCGAAGAAGCCCGCGGAGGAGGAGCCCGCGGCAGAGAAGGCCGAGAAGGCCCCCGCGGGGAAGAAGCCCAAGGCGGAGAAGCGTCTCCCCGCCGGCAAGGGCGAGAAGGGCAGCGGCGAGGGGAAGAAGGCGGGGCGGAAGAAGGGGAAGAAGAGCGTCGAGACCTACAAGATCTACATCTTCAAGGTGCTCAAGCAGGTTCACCCCGACATCGGCATCTCCTCCAAGGCCATGTCCATCATGAACTCCTTCATCAACGACATCTTCGAGAAGCTCGCCGGGGAGTCCGCCAAGCTCGCCCGCTACAACAAGAAGCCCACCATCACCTCCCGGGAGATTCAGACCTCCGTCCGCCTCGTCCTCCCCGGCGAGCTCGCCAAGCACGCCGTCTCCGAGGGCACGAAGGCCGTCACCAAGTTTACTTCCGCTTAGGCTGCATGCCTTCCTCTAGTTTGTTAGTAGTAGTAGTAGCAGTAGATTGATCTGTTTATGTGGTAGTTTAAGTGGAAATGATGATTGCAAATGAAGAATTGTGCGGGGCTTCTTTTGGGGAACTCACTGATCTGGAATAGTAATGCTTTTTATGTCATGTGAACATATCTCTGGTTGCCAATTGATTTTTTGTTTTGTAGAATTGATTACATCGTTGATGTTTGCATCGTCTTGAAAATACTCTGCTTGTGACTGGAATATGATTTTCGGAACATCTGTCTGTACTCCCTCTCCCAAAATTTGAACTGGAAATTTAGCTAGGACTCCATTTTTGGTACTGCTCAAGTACCCATTGGCTCAATGTATTTTGTAGGTTTGATGGAAGGGAAGCTTGATGGCCATTTTGGTTCATGATGTTGCATTTGGAACATAAAAACTGTGTACTATTTTGAGCTGATAACTTTGAAATCTGAAAGTAAGTTTTGCTTCAGCTTCATTTGGTACTGTTTCAAATCGAAATATAGAAGTTGAAATAGTAACTGAAACGCCATATGTCTTCGCTTACTGTTTCAGGAGAATGCTGTTCTCTTTACTCCTTCCTGTTCTGAATGTCCGAATGGGTGCTTTTTCTTTGTTACTGATTCGCTTGTATGCTAGTAACTGGGAAACATGAGGTATGCATCTCATCTCTACTGCCACATCTTCTATCATGCTTGCTGTTGTGGTGCCTGCAGCCCTGCAGTACATACCATGCCTGAAAAATGTGACCAAACTCTTGTGGGTTCTACTTGTAAATTGTAATGTTATCCTTTCTATTCTCTGTCCAGCATGGTTGTTTGAGGTGTACTCAGGTTCTACTGGAAGATTCTCTTGTAGCAGCATTTTTGGCACGCTCATATAAAAGCTTCGGTAGCTACTGTGGAATGTGATAGAAATAATGGGTCTGATGTTTTTGGGAACTCTCCTTCATTTCTATTTGGTTAACTGTTTGAGCATTTAAGCGTTTATCTTTTTCGATAGCATAAATTGTTATGGATTTGATATTCTGTGTTTAATCTGTATAATTGCAATATTTGTTGCTGTGTCGTATATGTTGAATCTGAGTCAGGGAGTTAGAAATTCTGCAACTATGGATGTGTAGGAATTGGCAATGAAATCTTACTCACATTGTGTAAGAAGCCAAAACTCTCGTACTTCTACATCGTGCAATCAACATTATTGCATTCTGTATGCATCTCTTACACTGACATGCATCTAAGCTTAATATAATGCTATAACACCTTGTGTACCTCTGATTATTTCCCAATGCAATCATCAACTCTACATGTGGACCTCACGTCCTCACCCAACATTTAGCTCAAGTACTTTACTGTTCATTTCTTAACCACCTGAGACAGAAGATATTCATCTCTGATTGCATGCATCTTTGACACAGCATCTGCTAACAACATTCGATCTTTGGCTTGTTGCTTTGAGCAGGATATGCCAAGTCTAAGGACAGAAACCAAGCAGTCTTGAACAATACTTCGTGTTATGCTTGCATCTGTTATATCTTTATTTTTTGCTTCTTCATGTAGCCAGATTGTTCGATCAGCTATATCTAGGACTCGGCCAGGAAATGCTGCTGATGCAAATTTGTGCAGATCCACCGAATCCTTGAACATGTCATCAGTAGGGCTCCTTCCGGTAAATATCTCAAGCAATAATATGCCTAAGCTGTAAATATCACCTAGTCTGGAGACTGCAGAACCTTCTCCGTACTCTGCAATATTTTCAATTTCAGTTAATATTTAAGTATACCTCTAAATGACATAAATTTCCAATTCGGAATGGCCCAAGTTGATCCCCCACCCATTAGGGTGGAGGGAGACTAGGAAGTGGGAATAAAGGCAGAATGCAATATTTGGAACTACCTGGTGGAATATAACCAATGGAACCTCTGATTCCAACTATGCTGTCTGAATGTTGCAGTGCTTTAACTATACTTTCAGGGAGGATTCTTGATATGCCGAAATCTCCAACCTTAGCGCTCATGTCTTCTGCAAGAAGAATATTACTTGGTTTCAGGTCGCAATGGATGATCGGTGGCTGACAATGGTTGTGAAGATAATCCAGTGCATCCAAGATATCAACTGCAATGCCGAGTCTCTGCGAAAGGCTCAGTGTGTTGCTAGAAGTGGGATTGCCTGACACGGGATGAAGCCAACCATCTAAGCTTCCATTGGGCATGTACTCAAAAACTAATGCCTTGAACTCGTGACCCTGTGGATTGATACTTGAGCAACAGGTGATGATCTTTATAAGACAACGATGTCGTACTCTTCTCAAAGCCTCACATTCAACCTCAAAACTCTTGGCAGATCCTGATTGTCGAAGGTTGAACACTTTTACAGCCACAATTGCACCTTCATCTTCTAAAGTACATCTATAGACGGAACCATAACTTCCTTTGCCAAGCAAATTAGCTTCTGAAAATTCATTACTTCCTCTGGCTAATGCATAATATGAAACTCTATGATAGTGTTCATCAGTACCTGGGATTGTTGCTCGACTATTTTGTCTCCGTTTAAGCTTCCTGCAGAACTGAATTAGAACAGTAGCTGAAACTAACAGCAAGATTGATCCTGTTATTGGCAGGGCGATTTTAAGAGACTTATGCCACCGTTTGTTGTTTTTGCTTGCATCAATAATGGGACATGGAGCCAAGTGAAGCTGAGGTATTCCACCACACAAGTTGTCGTTCCCTGCAACCGATGCGTACGTAAGGTTCTTGAAAACTCCCTCATCTGGTACTTCTCCTTGCAAATTATTGAATGACACATCTAATTTCCACAACATTGTCAAATTTTGCAGAGTTGCTGGGATGGGTCCTGAAAAATTGTTCTGTGCTAGAAATAGTTGTTGCAGATTGCCAATCCTACCAATGGTATCGGGGATCCTACCAGATAACTTATTCATGGTTAGGTTCAGGATGTTGAGCCCTTTCAGGTTGGTCAAAGATTGAGGTATGCCGCCTTCAAATGAGTTTTTATCTAGCAGTAGCGATTCCAGCACCTGACAATTTCCTATACTGTCAGGTATTTGACCAGACAACTGGTTTCCCGACAGTATCAACTGGTTTAGGTTAGCCAAGGTAGCAACTTCTATTGGAAGGGGTCCAGAGAGAGAATTGTATGACAAGTCCAAGTACCAAGAGAGTGAAGGAAGCTCCAAGATTTCCTTTGGGATTGACCCATTAAGACGGTTGGTCGATAAGTCCAGAACAAATAACGTTTTTAGCTTCCCAAGGCTTGCAGGGATTGGCCCTTCCAAATTGGTGTAGTATGCGTAGAGCCTATTCAAATTTGTAAGATTTCCAATTGATGATGGTATGAGGCCTGACAAGCTGGTGTTGTACAGGGCAACTTCAACCAAATTTGATAGCTTCCCGATGCTCGCTGGAATCACTCCAGATAAGGAAGTGAACCCCAGATCCAGCGTGTCCAAGCCAATCAAATTGCCAATGTCCTCAGGTATGCTCCCAGAGATGCTATTATTATCTAAGTAGAGCTTATGGAGTGTGGTCGACAAGTTGACAACAGAGTTTGGAAGTTGCCCGCTGAAAGAGTTGTCTGAGATAACAAGCTGTTGCAGCTGACTGCAGTTGGTTAGTGAAGTGATAAATTCCCAACCCTTCCTGTTATTTGCCTCAAGTCGGTTGCCATACAAGTATAATCGCCGAAGAGATTTCAACCTTCCCACAGTAGGAGGCACAAATCCACTGAATCTATTACCATAAAGGAGCACAATTGTGAGTGATGAAAGATTGAAGAGAGAAGAAGGTATTACTCCACTGAATTGGTTATCCGCCAATCCAAAGTATTGTATGCCAGGGAACTTGTCACCGATGTTGGCAGGAATGCTTCCTTGTAGCATGTTGTCATTTGCTGCAAGCACCGTCAGTGTTGACAGGTTCCACAGAGAGGACGGAAATATGCCGGAGAGACTGTTCTGCTGAAAACTAAATTCACGTAGAGCTGCAGCTTTGCCGAGGTCCAGCGGGATCAGGCCCTCCAGGTTGTTGTTGTCCATGTACAGATACTGAAGCAATGACAGGTTCGCTAGCGATGCCGGAATTGGCCCAGTGAAGCTGTTGTTTTGCAGCTGCAGCTTCTGGAGTTGTGTCAATGTGTTGCCCAGCTCCACCGGGATGCGGCCGCCAAGCTGGTTAAAGGCGAGGCCCAGATTCTTCATGCTGATGCAGGAACTCAGATTGGCAGGGAGCTCACCGGAAAACGAGTTGCCTCCAATGTCCAGGATCTCTAGACGCCGGAGGCGGCCAAGGCTCGGGGGAATTTCTCCATACAGCTCGTTTGAGCTCAAGTTTAGGCTCTGCAAGAAGCTGAGGTTCCCGATGACCGGAGGGAGCCCGCCGGCGAGATTGCCGGAGGGCAGCGTCAGCGCCGCCACCCGCGCCGGCGTCCGACGGTCGCACGTGACGCCCTCCCAGCTGCAGAAACTGGTGCTGCTGTTCCAGGAGGCGAGCGCACTTGAGCTGCTCCCCCTGAACGCTGCCTTGAAGGCAAGCAACGTGGCCTCATCGCTGCTGCTGCTGCTGCCACCACCAGCGACGGCTGCAACGATCGGCGTCAGGATGAGGACGAGGGATAATTCAAGCCTCAGGCTCATCATGATCGTCATGGGACGTATTGTGTTTCTTGATTGGTTTGTGAGAGTGGTAGTGCTATATCTTAGTACCAATGGCTGTCCGTATTATATGGAGAGTATAGATGGTCTTTGAAGCAAATTTGGAGATGATGACAGTTTGTTGATTGCATTCTTTTAATTCCTTTTTTCCATTTCTGGAACACTTCGTTTGACTTTATAATATAGTACTCCCTTTGTTTGTTTGTTCTAAATACCTTCCGTTCAGGATATGTATCTGGACAACCATATCTAGATGCATATCTTACATCCATTATTTATGGACGGAATAGTACTTGTCCTGATACATCATTCATACTACTAATATTGCTTTGGTCACTTGTTTTTTTTTCCCTAAAAAATTACAAATATTTTTAAAAAAATCATCATTACCAGTTTACCACGAGCTGCTTTTGCTCATCTTAGCATTAACATTTAGTTAATAAAACTACTACTGTCAAAGCTAAAACAGTGCTAAATCAAGCTAAAACAGTGCTAAATCAACAAGACCGTTCTAAATCAACAAAGGTCTTGGACCGAAGTGGCGAAAGCAATGGCGAAGGAGACCATGCTTTGGAAGTCGGCTTATTAAGGGATCCCCGCTGTTTCGTCTTTACGAGGTCGTGGTAGCCAAATTTAGCACGAGATATTCCTCTAGTTTTTCATAATGTCCTTTATCGGTCCCTGCTTGTTTTCCTTTTATCCTTATAAATAACTTTTATTTCTCTTAATGAAAAAAATACGCCCCTTGCGTATTAAAAAAAATCCACAATGAAAAGTATTTCGTGAACGAGGGAATATATACATTTCGAACGGTCAACGCGGCCAGGTGCATGTTGTTAGTATTTTCGTTGAGTCGGAGAGAATTGACTTTCAGAACACGGCGATTTAGGCGGCTAGGCGATCGACGGAAGGCTTGCATGATCAACGCACTGTTACATAAGCCTACTTGCAGATGGAGATGGGTTTAGGCTAGCTGCCTGCTTGAAGACGACGACGTCGTTGTCGTCTCACTGGGATGTTGACGTGGGCAGATTACCGAATACGTAGCCTAACAAGTCGTGGAGTGGCTTTCAGAGCAAAGAAATAGGCCCAATTAGCCCATAAACAAAGACAGCCCGCCAAGAAGCCTGACAACTAAATTGGGCTGGACTGGGCTGTAGGCGTACGCCGAAGGAAAGCTCAAACTCTAAAAATTCGCCCACCGACGCGCGCCGGAAACCGCCTTAACTCCTCCCGTTCCCGCTCACATTTTTCGGCATCCCACCAACCCGTCGACCCCGGCATCCAACGTCGTACATCCCTCCACGTCATCGATCCGCGCCGCGTGCTTTCCACCAATCAGGTTGCACATCCCCTCCTCTACAAAATCATCTCCCCCCGTCTCCTCCTTTCCCCACGCCGCAATCTCGCAAATCCCACCGCTTCCCTTTCCTCTCCTCTCCCCGAGAAGAAGAGGGCGGCATCCATGGCGCCCAAGGCGGAGAAGAAGCCGGCGGCGAAGAAGCCCGCGGAGGAGGAGCCCGCGGCGGAGAAGGCCGAGAAGGCCCCGGCGGGGAAGAAGCCCAAGGCGGAGAAGCGCCTCCCCGCCGGCAAGGGCGAGAAGGGCAGCGGCGAGGGGAAGAAGGCGGGGCGGAAGAAGGCGAAGAAGAGCGTCGAGACCTACAAGATCTACATCTTCAAGGTGCTCAAGCAGGTCCACCCCGACATCGGCATCTCCTCCAAGGCCATGTCCATCATGAACTCCTTCATCAATGATATCTTCGAGAAGCTCGCCGGAGAGTCCGCCAAGCTCGCGCGCTACAACAAGAAGCCCACCATCACCTCCCGGGAGATCCAGACCGCCGTCCGCCTCGTCCTCCCCGGCGAGCTCGCCAAGCACGCCGTCTCCGAGGGCACCAAGGCCGTTACCAAGTTCACTTCCTCCTAGGCTGTACGCCTGCATCTAGTCCTAGTAGTAATAGTAGTTTTTATATGTTTATGTGGTATATTGTTTAAGTGATATCCAAGATTGGAAATGGATGTTAAATTGTTGGTTTGGTAGTCATTGGCTGTAAGAAGAATGGCTTTGGGTTGCTTTTGGGAAACACTTGCTTCACGGATCGGGCATAAGTAACCATGCTTTTATAACATGCGAATGTGTGCTTTCTCTTGTGCCATCATTGATAAGAATTTACCTTGTGCCAGTGTTGGTGATGCCTTCGTTTAATGTTGTGGAATTACATGGTTGCTAGTATTTTGTCTCGTAAATTTCTTTTCATGTCATTGGAATTTGATTTCTGCAGCATGTACATTGGTGTTAGGTACTGCTCTTTTGCGTGTGCCTCTTTTGCGTGTGCCTCATGTATTGTTTAGAGATTTTAGAAGCACACACTTTGGGACAATACCAAATTGTTTTTAGCCTGACAAGAAATTTAGTTTCGTGCTGTCTGCATTTGAAACAAAAAGTTTGTACACATTGTTTGGTGCACTAGTACATGATATAATCTGTCCTCCATTGCTGTTTTATTCTGAGATTAGAACTTCGACAAGTAAGTTTTTCTTCAGCTTTTGTCAGGTACTGATTTTCAAAGAAATATAGCGACAAGGAAATGGTAACTGAAACATCACATTACAATTATTGATTTTTAAGATTATGTTGTGCCCGCATGTTTTCTCATTCCGTTCTGAATTTCTGAGTGCTGCTAGCTTATGAGCTAACTGTTAGGTATGCATCTTATACCAAAGTTTTCAGTCAGGCTATTGCTCTATTCAAGATATGCATTGCCTTAAGGCATATGTGTTAAGATTAGACCAAACTCTTGTTGATTCTACTTATTGTAATAATGTGTCTTGTCCTTTGATTCACTCTCCAGTTAGGTGATTCTCCCTCCAGCGAAGTTGGAGGTGAATAAGTTACATCCAAGGTTCTACGTGGAATATTGTCCTGAATTTCGGTTGGGCTTGTTCCATAATACATTCGCTGTCAAATAACTCTAATTTTTATGACAGCATAAGGATTAATATGGATGTATCATAATTTTTACTCATGGAATAATTTCAGTTGCTATTATGAATTTGCAGTGGTTGGAATAACATGCCCATATTTTGAGAGCAAATCCCTTGGTTCTATCTGGTTATTGGTTTGAGCACTTGTTCTTTTCTTTTCAGACAACATGAATTATTATTGATTTGGTATTCAGTGTTAGATCTATTTAGATGCAACCTATGTTGATGCTATGTTTATGTGGGTGGGAATCGTGGAACTTTGTTTTCTTATGGTTGCAAGGGTATCCCTATCAGGTAGGACTGTAGGAGTAGTTGGTTATATTTTTTTTATTATGGATCATGGATGCGTAGAAGTTTCTGTTGGAAGTTGCTACCATGGTTTCGTGTGTAAGAAGCCATATGGTCAGCTCTTCAGTATTATTTGATCAGCATGATTACATTGACATTCTGTATACGTCTTTGCAATGACATGCATCTGAGCTTTATTTGATAAATATAAATCATGCAGCCTTGTATTCCAACGATTATTTCTAGTACAATTAATTGACACTACATACATGTCTTATCCAACATTTAGTTCAATGCCAACCATCCAAGACCTGAGATATTCATCTCTGATGGCATGAATCTCTGATACAGCATCTGCTAAGAGCACTCGGTCTCTGGGTTGTTGCTTTGAGCAGGATATGCCAAGCCTAAGAACAGCCACTAAACACTGTTGAATAATTCTTCTTTTTGTGCTTGCATTTGTCACATCTGTCTCATTTGCTTCTTCATGCAGCCAGATTGTCTGATCAGCTGTCTAAGGCTCTATCAAGAAAAGAAGCTGCAATAAACTTGTGCAAATCCATTGAATCCCTGAAAATGTCATCATAGGGCTTCTTCCGGTGAACATCTCGAGCAACAATATTCCTAAACTGTAAGTATCACCCGCTCTGGTTACTGCAGAACCCTCCCCATATTCTACAAGATATGCAGTCAAAATTAGTTTCTAACTGTACCATTAGCATGTAAGATATACAAAGTGCACAATCCGACCCCACCCATGAGGGAGGAGGTGGGAGGACTTGTGGGAATAAATACAAAAATAAAACTTTTAACTACCTGGTGCAATATAGCCAATGGAGCCTCTGATTCCAATTGAGCTTTTTGAATTTTGAAGAGTTTTAGTTGTGCTGTTTGGGAGGATTTTTGATATACCTAAATCTCCAACTTTTGCACTCTTGTCTTCTGCAAGAAGAATATTACTTGGTTTCAGGTCACAATGGACGATTGGTGGCTGACAGTGGTTGTGAAGATAATCCAGTGCATCCAAGATATCAACAGCAATGCTGAGTCTCTGCGGAAGGCTGAGTGTATTGCTAGTGAGATTGCTTGACTTGGGATGATTTCAGCCATCCAAGCTACCATTGGGCATGAACTCAAACACCAGTGCCTTGAACTCTTGACCCTGTTGGTCAATACTCGAACAACAAGTGATGATCTTTATGAGACAACGATGGCGTACTCTTCTCAAAGCCTCACATTCAGCCTCAAAGCTCCTTGAAGATCCTGACATTTGAAGGTTGAACATTTTCACAGCCGTGGTTACACTTGCACCCTCATCTTCTAAAGCACATCTATTAACAGAACCATAATCTTCCTTTGCCAAGCAGGTTAGCCTCTGAGAATTCATTACTTCCTCTTGATAATGCATGGTACGAAGCTCTGATATTGTTCATCAATAATTAGGGATGTCGCTCGGCTATTTTGTCTTCATTTGAGCTTCCGGTGGAGTAAACAATAGAAGCACAACAACTGAAACTAATACCAAGACTGCTCCCGTTGTTGTTAGAGCCAGTGTAAGAGACTTAGGCCACCGATTCTTTTTCTTTCTTACATCAAGGATTGGGCATGGAGCCAAGTGAAGCTGAGGCATTCCGCTGCACAACTTGTCATCCCCAGCAATTGATGCATAAGTCAAGTTCCTGAAAACACCCCATTGAGCATGTTTCCGATGTTAGAAGGAATGGTGCCATTGAACATGTTTATATCCACCGTGAGCATGATCAGTGATGACAGATTATACAGCGACACCGGGAGTTTGCCGGAGAGGTAGTTTCTGTTGAAGAGAAGATACCTTAAACCTGCGATGCTGCCGATGCCTGGCGGGATCATCCCCTCCAGGTGGTTGCCGTTGATGGCAATGCCTGAAGCGGCGACAGGTTGGCTAGCGACGCAGGAATTGACCCTATGAAGGTGTTGTTCGCCAGCGCGAGCGTGGGAGCCGTGTCAGCGTGTTGCCAAGCTCACCGGGAATGCGGTCGCCGAGCTGGTTGTATTGGAGGTACACGGTTGTCAATCTGACGCAGGTGGTGAGGTTGGTGGGGAACTCGCCGGAGAAGGCGTTGTGGTCCATGTCGAGCACCCGGAGTCGCCGGAGCCGGCTGACGCTCTGGGGGATCTCGCTGTGGAGATCGTTGGAGCTCAGGTTGAGCCGCCGGAGGAAGGTGAGGTTTCCGATGGCTGGTGAGAGCGTGCCGGCGAGATCGCTGGACGGCAGGTCCAGCGCCACCACGGACGTCGGCCTCCGCCGGTGACTGCACGTGACGCCCTCCCAGCTGCAGAAGCTGTTGGCGCTGCTGTTCCATGACCATGAAGCGGCGCTGCCAACCTGCCGGAGCTAGCCACCAGCGCAGCCGCCGCTGCGTGTGATAGAGATCCTAACCTGCAGAGGTCATCAGGCTACGGAGGACCAGAGCGGGGGGCTGGAGATCCACCCCACTGTGTGCACCGCCATCTCCTCCTATTCTTCATTGGTGATTTCTGCAGGACCAGCACCACAACCATCGTGTAATCAAATAGCGCATCCACCCAAACCAAATAAATCAAGGTACAAGCCTGCTCTGATTCCAGTGCATTTGATTAACACTAACGTTTCTGTTTGCAATGCTGAACCAAGCAACATCTATGTTAGTTGATCCTATGTCTGTGTGGGAGCCTGAGAACTTTGGTGCCTCATAGCTGCATCGGTATCTATATCAGATAGATGGAAATTTTGCTAGTAAATATGGTTCATGGTTGCATAGGAATGTGTTGAAATCTGCTAGTACCATATATGGTTTCATGTGTTTTTCTGAAGTAAAAACTACAGCAGTTCAATATTATTTAACAAACCGATTACATTCTCTGTGTACATATCGAGAAATTTGATCAAATTCCTCGTATGTATTTTACAACGGCTAACTGGGTCCTTGTTATGGCTTTCAATAGAAGCCGGGTCTTTTGACCTTCTCTAAAAAAAAAAATCTGGGACCTTGTTTACCTCCGATTATTCCAGGCAAAATGATTGACACTACATATGTATATTATCTAGCATTTAGCTCTAGTGCTCTATTGCTCGTTGCCCAACCACCCGGGACTTGAAATATTCATCTCTGATCGCATGGATCTTTGACACGGCATCTGCTAACACCATTCGCTCTCTGGGTTGTTGCTTTGAGCAGGATATGCCGAGCCCAAAGAGAGACACCAAACTCTGTTGAATAATTCCTCTTGTCATGCTTGCATCTGTAGCATCTGTATAATTTGTTTCATGCAGCCAGATTGTTTGATCAGCTATTTCCAGGGCTCTGTCAGGAAAAGCAGCGGTAGCAAATTCGTGCAGATTAAGCGAATCCTTGAACATGTCATCAGTAGGGCTTGTTCCCGTAAACATCTCAAGCAATATTATGCCTAAGCTGTAAATGTCACCTAGTTTGGAGGCAGCAGAACCTTCACCGTACTCTGCAATATTTGCAACACACACAGTTAAACTTTAAGTGTACCTTCAAGACAAAAAAAAATACGAATACCCCTAATTCTACTTCTATCTATTAGAAGAGGAGGGAAATGAAGGAAATAAGGACAGAATTACAATTTTTTTTAGCTACCTGGAGCAATATAGCCAATAGAACCTCTGATTCCAATTGAGCTTTTTGAATTTAGATGAATTTTAGTTATGCTTTTGGGGAGGATTTTTGATATGCCAAAATCTCCAACCTTAGCATTCATGTCTTCTGCAAGGAGAATATTGCTTGGCTTCATATCACAATGGATGATTGATGGCTGACAGTGGTTATGGAGATAATCCATTGCTTCAAAGATATCAATAACAATGTTGAGTCTCTGTGAAAAGCTGAGTGTGTTGCTAGGACTGCATTTGCTCGATTTGGGATGAATCCAACCATCCAAGCTACCATTAGGCATGAACTCCAAAACCAGTGCCTTGAACTCCTGACCCTGTGGATCAATACTCGAGCAACAAGTGATGATCTTTATGAGGCAGCGGTGGCGTACTCTTCTCAAAGCCTCACATTCAGCCTCAAAGCTCTTTGAAGATCCTAATTGTTGAAGGTCGAACACTTTTACGGCCACTAGTGCATCCTCATTGTCTAAAGTACATCTATAAACAGAACCATATCTTCCTTTGCCGAGCAGGTTGGCTTCTGAAAAATCATTACTTCCTCTTGACAATGCATAATATGAAACCCTTTGATACTGTTCCTCAATAACCAGTGATGTTGCTTGTCTGTTTTGTCTTCGTTTGAGCTTCCTGTTGTGTAACAGAATAAGAACAATAACTGAAACCAACACCAACATTGCACCTGTTGTTGGCAGGGCTATTGCAAGAGACTTTAGATGCTGGTTCTTGTTCTTGCTTACATCAAGAATGGGACATGGAGGCAAGTGAAGCTGGGGTATTCCACCGCACAAGTTATCATTCCCCACAACCGATGAAAAGGTCAGGTTTCTGAAAACACCTTTAACTGGTACTTCCCCTTGCAAATTGTTGAACGACACATCTAATTGCTTCAATAGTGTAAAATTTTGTAGGGCTGCTGGTATTGGTCCTGAAAAATTGTTATGTGCTAGACACAGGTATTGCAGATTGCCAATGTTACTAATGGCATTGGGGATCCTACCAGATAACTTGTTCACGGTTAGGTTTAGTACGTTGAGCCCTTTCAGATTGGTCAAAGATTGAGGCATGTCTCCTCCGAATGAGTTATTATCTAGCAAGAGGAATTCCAACACTTCACAATTTCCTATACTGTTTGGTATTTGGCCAGAAAGCTGGTTTCCTGACAGAATTAACTGGTTTAGGTTAGCTAAAGTACCAACTTCTGATGGAAGGTGTCCAGAGAGGGAGTTGTATGACAGGTCCAAGATCCAAGCTAGAGAAGGCAGCTCTAGAATTTCCCTGGGAATTGAACCGTTTAGGCGATTGAATGACAAATCCAGATTAAACAGATTTTTTAGCCTCCCAATGGTTGCTGGAATTGGCCCTTCCAAATTGGTGTGGAATGCAAGCAGCCTATTCAGTTTGGTAAGATTTCCAATGGTTGACGGTATGAGGCCTGACAGACCAGTGTTGTATAGGGCAAGGTCAACCAAGTTTGTTAGCTTCCCAATACTTTCTGGAATTACTCCAGATATGGGATTGAACCCCAGGTCGAGTAATCTCAAGCCAATCAAATTGCTAATGTCGTGAGGGATGGTCCCAGAGAAGCTGTTATTCTCTAAATCGAGCATCTGTAACGTCATTGACAGATTCACAATCGATCTTGGCAGCTGCCCACCAAAGAAGTTGTGAGAGAGCATCAATTCTTGCAGCTGGCTGCAGTTTGCTAGAGAAGTTACAAATTCCGAACCCTTTCCGTTATCTGCCTCAAGCTGGTTTGTTCCGATGTATAGATACTTAAGAGAATGCAACATCCCCAAGGTGGGAGGCACAAATCCAGTGAAGTTGTTATCTGCGAGGTACAAATCTGTGAGCCTTGAAAGATTGGACAGAGAAGATGGTATGGCCCCATGAAAACGATTCTCATGCAATCCAAAGAAGCGCATGGCAGGAAACTTGTCACCAATGTTGGCAGGAATGCTCCCTTGTAGCATGTTGAGCCCTACTCCGATCACCCTCAGTGCCGACAGATTCCATAGAGAGTGGGGGAATTCGCCGGTGAGCATGTTTGCTTCCAAGCTAAGCTCATGCAGAACTGGGAAGTTGCCGAGGCATGGTGGGATCAGGCCCTCCAGGTGGTTGTAGTCCAAGTATAGGTCCTGGAGCAATGATAGGTTGGCTAGCGAGGGCGGGATCGGTCCGATGATGCTATTGTTGGTCAGTAGAAGCATCTGAAGCTGTGTCAACGTGTTTCCTAGCTCCACCGGGATAATCCCGCCCAGCTGGTTATAGTCGAGGTCCAGGATTTTCAGACTGATGCAGGAGGTGAGGTTGACAGGGAACGCACCAGAGAAGGAGTTGTAGCTCAGGTTGAGCCATTGCAGGCGTCGGAGGCGACCAATGCTGGTGGGGATCTCGCCGTAGAGGCCGTTGGAGCTCAGGTTTAGCCTTCGCGGGAAGGTGAGGTTCCCGATGGCTGGGGAGAGCGTGCCGGCGAGATTGCTGGATGGCAGGCTCAGCGACGCCACCCGCGTCGGCCTCCGGCGACTGCAGGTGACGCCCTCCCAGTTGCAGAAGCTGGCGCCGCTGCTGTTCCATGAGGCGAGCGCGCTTGAATTACTCCCGGTGAGCCCCGCCTTGAAAGCAAGCAGCGATGCCTCATCGCTGCTTGACGCAGCAGCGATCGTCAGGAGGACGGGGAGGAGGGGCAGTCCAAGCCGCCTCATGAGACGTATCGCCATGTGGATTTTTATTTGGTAAGCGTCTTTGGAGCAAAGTTTAGTTTCAGGCTGGAGATATATCGCTGCTTTCTGATTCCATTTTTCCCCCCGGCCCCCTTGTTGTAAGAGTTCACTTGACCTCATTGACTTCAAGTCACCGGGCAGGACCAGTGTAATTGTAGTACTAGGAGCAGTGTGTTCCACTTCCACCTACTTCCTTCTTGTGATAAAAAAACCAATCTAATATGGGATGTTCCGATTCGTTGCAATAGAATGTGTTATATCCAGTTTTATATATATATATATATATATATATATATATATATATATAGTAAATTTGTTAGGGGCACCATGGTGCCCGGGCTCCATAGCCATCCACCGTCCAAATGCTTTAAGATCCGTGCAACACACTAGAGGATGCTATCACACATTAACGGGTCTAACCCGATAAGAGTTGCATGCATATACTTTCCTTAGAACATGCATGCAGGTATTTCCATTTTTACTGTGCATGTATTTACAAATTTGCGCCCTCTAATCATGCATACACATTATGATTAGCACTTTCCATTTTCTATATCACATTTCCATATATACAACGTTTGCATGCAGATACTTACCTTTTGAATCACGATTCGTTTTTGAAAAATGACGCCATTCCACTAATTGCGATTATTGCCATCTATTTTCAAGATTACATTCCATTTTCAAGATGCACATATAACCGGCTACTGTATTCCTTTTTTTGATTTTTCTTTTCCACACTGTTTCACGGTCCAAGAGCTAGCTATCCACATCGTCTTCACCGAGTTACCTCGCCGGGATTGCTCGCCATGCCGTGAAGAGGGCCGACGTCCGTGGTTTTCGTCACCGACGACGTTCGTCCACAAGCCTCTTGCTGGAAACCAGAACTCCTCAACCATTTTTGTCAAGCCATTACAGCGCCTGATGTCCAAGTGCCTTTTCGCTGCCGTCGCTGGTTGTTCGTGAGCTTCGGAACAGACATTATTCACCAGCGAGCTGCATTACCTGAAAGGTATGGATCTCAGTGTTTATCACTCACACATCTTACATTCACATGCAGTCCCTGTTATGTATAGATGATTTGCCATTCCTCTTCTTTTTATCTACTAAACTGAGCACATGATGAATCACCTGGAACCTAAATTTATAGATTTTTTGTTGAAATGCAGTTGAATTTAGATTGTTTTAGGTATATAACATGCCCGTTCGAATATCTTTAATTGCATCCAGTGAATAAAATTTAGGTAGGTAGTGAAACAGCAGCAATGTCTCTTTTACGTGGACATCTCAATTATAATCTTTGTAAATATAGATTTAATTAATTTTAAATTGAAGTATATGACCCGAAGAGAATCATATTGCTTGTTTTAATAATGGTAGTTTTTAATAGCATGCCGCGGCTTCCAAAGTGTGCGAGCGTGAGAAGAAATGTGAAGCGTCGTTCCATTCATGATGATGATGACTTTGTCACTCCACCTACAAGGAAGAAGGCTGTTCGTGTTAAATTCGTGGCACCGGTTTCGCGTTGTGTACCATCTTCCATCACACCTATCATACAGAGATTTAGTGCTGAAAAGAAAGAGCTGGTAGCTGAGATGGGTTTTGAGGGGCTGCTGCATATGCCCCTCATAACAAACCATCGTGACTTCAGCTACTGGCTTTTGTCACGGGTATCCCCAACACGTTCGGCTATCGAACTAGAAAGTGGTGAGGTTTTGCCACTGTCTCCTGAGGATGTTAAGAAGGTGCTTGGGATTCCTTGCGTAGGGGAGGAGCTGCAAGCACCCAATGTTGAGTTTGTTTCTCATGTCAAGAGGTTAATTGCTGAAAGAATGAAAGTTGCTAGTTTTAAGGACGTTAACAAGGAGGTATTGGAGGATGTATTAGATAAACACCATAGAGGGCAAATGTCAAAGGCTGAGAAAGAAAGTTTCAAAACAGCATTCCTAATGCTTGTTATGATGAAATTTCTTGCGCCACAATCAAATATGGACAATAAATGTCCAAGATATTTTTCTGCACTACTTGACCCCAATGAAATAGCAAAGTTCAATTGGTCTGGGTATGTGTTGAACGAGATATTGGACGCAGCGGCAACTGTTCAAAAGAAGCACGCTGATGGCACTAAATGTGGTTATATCACTGGTTGCTCTATTTATTTGCAGGTATATAGACTTTTTCCCAATGCAGTACATACACTAAATGTTATAATTATATAATGATAGTGAGTACACTAATAAAATTTTTCATGCAAAGGTCCATTATTTGGATAACGTGGACTTTGGAGGTGATCTAAACTTGGAGCATAATATATTTCCTCGAATTGCATTATATGATCGTGATACAATAAAGGAAAGATATCAGCTGGACATCAGCGAAAGGAACTATTACCAGGCAACACAGTTTGGAAAATTAAAGGTACTTTACAAAAAAATAATTCATAGTTTATATTGTTCTAACCCTTCACATGTCTGATATACTTGCACTTTATATCGATCCAGCTACGGCCCAAAAATGAAGTCTGCTACAAAAGAACGTGCGAAAGAACATCTGTCACTGACAGCGGGGGAAATGAAAATGTTCAGATTGAGTCTCAGGTAAGTTATTAAAAAAATTTCTACCAAACATGTTTATTTAGTAAATATCTAGAGATATAAACTTTTAATATCAACATGCAACACAGCATGCTGCTGAATTAATACAGAAGGCCCAAGAATTGAAAAGTTTTTGGATTTCCTGCATTGGCAACCTTGATAAGGCAACAGAGAGTCTAGTTAAGGTGACAGAAGCTTCGAAGAACATGCCCAGCGTGACCATACCAATCAGCGATGAAGTTGATGTTTCTAAAGGTTATACATGCACAACTGTCAACGATGATGCTGAGAATGGAATAGAGGTCAACCAAACACCATCTTTAGGAAATGATGTAGAAGATGTGAGTGCAGCTGCTGCCAATTGTACACCGATGGTTCATACTCACAACTTGAAAGAAGAATCAATCGACTTGAATCGCACTGTTCCACACAGGACTTATACTGGTCTGGACTTCGATCCTCCATCATTTGATCTAAATATTGACTACTCACCATCAAATAACACAGGTTATTTTCCTACACGTATATGTTTGCTGCCTGATTTTCATGTTTCACATAGTAAGTACCCTTATTGTTCCTTTTTTTTTCCATGGCTGGTTGTGCATGCTGACAGTGAGGCGAGAGAATCATGGAGTAAGTTGTCATTCAAAGTTCAGGTAGACAAAGATGAAGAAGATTACAAATGTGTTTGCAAGTTGTTTGAGCACATGGGCATACTGTGTTGCCACGTTATCAAGGTACGCCAGCTTTATTTTGGTCCTTGTACTTACATTTTTTTACCTCTAGAGCATGCCTCTTTCTTCTTAAATTGTTTTACCCATCTACCATAAATTTGGGTAAGCGTATATGTTGATAAGTTAATTCTTGATTCGATTCATATTCTGTCAGCTTTAATCCAGTGTATACATCTGTAGAAAACCATAGTTACCCTAAAAAAAATTAGTTTTGATGTATAAGCAGTTTAGTTTATCATTTCCGTTTTTCATTGTTCATGTAGGTAATGACACACATAGGCTGCAGAAGCATCCCAGATAAGTACATTCTAAGAAGATGGAGTATTAGTGCCAGAGAAGGATCTGGCAGCAACCTTGAGAGCTTCAGGAATGACAAAGATGCTGCCTCTTCCAGGACACACCGCCACACACTGCTCTACCATGCATGTATAGACTTGTCCAAACAAGGTGACATATCGGTTGATGCTTTCCACCTTGCTATGAAACATATAACTGACGCACTGGATGAGATTAAACTAGTGGCCGGTACCAACGAATCTCCCATGGGGTACACTGATCCCCCAAATGATGAACCTGCTGGACCGGATCAAGGAGGTGAACAAAATGAAGACCCCGCGGCTCATCAGGCCGTACAAAGCTTGCCACTGCCACCTGATCGTCGGGCAAAGCGTGGCCGACCTAGGTCCACCAGGCTGAAGTCCCCAGTAGATGGTGGAGTCCGAAAAAAGCGCATTTGTTCGAACTGTCATCTGAAGGGGCACTATAGAACTGGATGCCCCACAAATCCGGAGAACACATCGAAGAACAAAGTGATCAAGGTGTGCACGAAATGCAAGTTAGCTGGTCACTATGCATCAACGTGTGGTGTTGGTGTATAGAAGCAAGTCTATCGTTGTTTTTAAATACAATCTTGTAAAAATATTCCCATATCTTGCGTGTTGCACTTGGACAAGTTTTTAATTAAATTCGGATATGTTTTCTATTTCATAATTATGTCATTCATCTTGTGGGATATACATGTATACGTGTTCGCTCTGTCACTCATAAACCTATGTGTACATGTACACCTGTAAAAGTACAGATTATGTCATTAATCTTGTGGTATTCAGACGTGCATTTTTTCACTCTCTCTCTATCCCGTTGACTATGGCCAATTAGTACCGAAATCACTCGTTGGTTACTAAATTAATCAATTGATACCCAATTCTGACTGGATCGATCCATGTTGACGGTAACAAATTATATTATGTAACCTATCGGTCGTAATAGCTATAAATATTACCATAAATAAGATCTTTATACTTGGTAATGATATTAATTTTTTCATTCCTTCCAACGGAGACACAATTGCAACATATAAAGAGCAGAACAATACGACTCTGCTCACTTCTGGTGCTCTCTCTGGTTCTCGCCAACAACACATTTCTGTTCCAGGTATGGCTCCAACTTATCTGTACGTATATGTACTTCTCATATATGTTGACCTCTTCTTAGTATTCTGAAATTTATACTTATATTGCCAGTAGCTATGGACAAGATGAACACTGGTGCCTGGAGCGATAAGATCGATCAGTCGCTGCAGAAGTATGATCACCCACGCTGCCGTTGGCACATATTATTTGGTACGAAGTCAGAACTACACAACTTATATCATGCACGCACAGCAAGTGATTTTGAAGATACTTGGACGGCCCTAGTCAATGAGTATGGTCTTCAAGAGGAGAATGCATATCTCCAAAAGGCGCAGATGTTAATAGACGATGAAACGAAGCCCAATGATTCACAGGTAATTTATTTTAATATATTTTTGGTTCACGTTCAGCTCCAGTTCTGGATTTGTCACTCCTGCTCTTAACATTTTCCACTTGTTTTTTTTTCGTAGGAGATAGATACAGACCGTAAAGATGTCAAGAGGGAGGTGGAGGCTCCTAAGTTGATCATTTCTCGTCATAGTGATGATAAATTCTCATCCTAGTGATGAGAAATGTGACTCGCCCACCGTCTGAATAGCAAACATGAGGCAACATGCAAGTACCAGCCGAAAATCAACTCTCTGATGGTGTGATATGGTTGCCAGCCATCGGTCAAATAAGCAGCCATTCGGTGTTTTTACATTTATGAATCACAATCGTACTGTAATAATAAACTAGTTACATCTATATTTATAGATCGTTTTTACTTTAATTAGCATATGTTTCATTTATATTATGCTAAACTCCTATGATATGTGGATGAGCCAATTCACCGATATTTTGTTTCCTTTCAGACTTCACTTAAGAGATCTACTCTTTCAATTCAGCATATTAAACTTCTAAAAGCGCATCTAAAACACTGTGGAAAGAAATTGAATTTAATCTAAATCGGCACATATGGAAAAACATGGTGGAAATAATAATACACAGTACACACATTTAAATTTTAGATATACTTAAAATCCATGGTACAAAAATATACTTGGATTTATTTATATTAAATTTTAATTTTAGATATACTTAAAATCCATGGTACAAAAATATACTTGGATTTATTTATATTAAATTTTACATCCGGACGTAACGACTTAAAATATACTTGCTTCCAAATTTAATTAGGAAATAATGTACTGTCAGCCTAGGTAGGCGAGTTTTAAATTCTAATAATCTACAGTACACAGATTTGAAATATAGATATACTTAGAAACCATGGTATTTCTATTTACAACAATATAAGATGACAATCAATTAACATATACCGTGTACACAAATTGTAAATTTATATACGCTTGGATTCATAATATAATTAAATTAACGTAATTTAAAACTTTGTATACTTAACAAGTTAGCTAAGTATATAGAAAAAATAACCCGTGTATACATAGCCATTACATTACATAAATGAGTAAACATTTTCTGAATCTGGAAATTGCAAAACGCACTAATTTAGCTAGGTGTACATAAGCATACCATATACTTAGCCTCCATATATACTTATATTCCAATTACATCGTCCATGGTGTACTTAGGGTACCTCGGTTTCCTTATATAATTATTTTCAAAATAACAGCAGGATAACATTTCCATATATACTACATCGTAGAAGTATACTTAGATTTTCATATACCCTAATAAACCGCATTATATTTGTTGCCAAATAAACCGCAAATCCATGATTATGGTGACAAATATTTAGAAACCAAATAACGGCCGTGAACTGTTGATGGAAAGGTATTAAATACGCTAAATTAATACTCCTAAATATTTTGCATGCATGCACACGCTGTCAATTACCAAACCTAGGTATTAAAGACGTTACTAAATATTTTGCATGCATGCACACGCTGTCAATTTCCAAATCAAATGTACTTAACGGGTGAACCCGTTAATCAAATATACATGTACCGATCAACTAGATGAGAATGTGATCCAACGGCAGATGTCAGTGGTGCCCGGGCACCATGGAGTCCTATCTGGGCGTCCTATATATATATATATATATATATATTCCATCAAATGCAAGTGGTCAGTCAAGTGCCAGCATATGCCGTCCCGTGAGAATCATTGCCGACAGACAAGATGTAGCGTGCATTGCAGTGATTGTGGCGACAAAGAAAGGGGTTCACGGGGACGATGAGTAAGACATGGTGGCAAAATTAAGGTCCGTTCTTTTCTTCGATAAGAGTTAAATGAAGATTAAAATTTTTGTGGCACGTTTTTTAAACTGTTAAACGATACGTTTCGTGCGAAAACTTTCTATATGAAAGTTGCTTTAAAATATCACATTAATCTATTTTTCAAGTTTGTAATAATTAAAACTCAATCAATCATACGTTAATACCACATCGTTTTGCGTAAAAAACTTAAATCTTCATTTTCATATTCAGGATAAAAGAACACCACTTAAGCTCACATAAGTTTTATTTATCAATTATCAGGGGCATGTCTGAAGAGCAGGGTTTCACTTATTGCGCTGATTATCACGCTTACCGCGGGGTACGGTAGGGGAAATTGGCGATTGATTTGGATGGATTTTGACCAAATTCAAACTTTTGGAGAAAAAATGAAAAAAAAACATGGATGTAGTTCTTGATTTATAATTGCCAATGGTGAAGATTTTTTAAAAAATAGAGTAAACTAAATTCAAATTTGAGGGTAAAATAAAAAATAGTTTACAAATTGAAAAAAGGAAGACAATATTGGGCCTTAAGTATCCTACATATTCTTTCAATTATTCTCAATTTCTAGTTTTCTACACATATTCAACCGTATTTTTTATTTTTTCCCTATTTATTTTTCATTTACATGATTTCAACTATACAGACCGCAATAACCGTGCAAATATCGCGGTTATCACGGTAAACCGTGCGGTAACCGCGGTGAAACCGCGAAACTGCCGAGTTTTGAATTCGAATTTTTGAATGTGATTTCTGTACGATTTTAGACAATTATCGCGGTTATCGTGCTACCGCGAGGTGGCGGTAACCTCGGCCCAAACTCTGTTGAAGATCTTTATTTATCGGCAGAAATACCTTCTTAAGTGACAGCTTCTAAGCATAAACCACTACAATGACGTGCATCTAAGCTTTATTTAAGATAAAATAATGAATAGTATCAACTAAGCAACCTTGTATTCCTCCAATTATTCCTGGTACAATCATGAACACTACATATGTATCTTGCGCAACGCTTAGCTCACAGTGCTATGTTCTTCATGGCCAAGCATCCAAGACCTGAGATATTCATCTCTGATACAGCTTCTGATAACACTATTCGTTCTCTGGTTGTTGCTTTGAGCACGATGTGCCGAGCCTAAAAACAGACACCAAGCACTGTTGAATAATTATTGTTTTTATGCTTGTGTGTTTAACATCTGAATCATTTTCTTCTTCTTGCAGCCAGATTGTTGGATCAGCTATTCTAGGGGGAATTGAGATCAATCCCAGCCCTTTATTTATTGATCCAATGGTCCAAATTGTGAGCTACAGTAAAATTAGAGCTGTACATTTTCTTCTTCATGCAGCTAGATTGTTGGATCAGCTATTCTAGGGGGAATTGAGATCTAGTGCAGTTACACAATCCCAACCCTTTATTTATTGATCCAATGGTTTAAATTGTGAGATACAGTAAAATTAGAGCTGCACATTTTTTCATTAAAAAACGCTACACTAATTTGCTACAGTACTAAAGAGGCATCTAGGCCATCCGTTTTAAATCCAATGATACTCTTGTGACTGCTTAACTTGACAGTGGCCACTGCACTGGAACCGAATCCGTCTAGGGGTCGGTCAAGAACACAAGCTACAACAAACTTGTGCAGATCCATTGAATCCCTGAAAATGTCATTCGGGTGAACATCTCAAGCAATAATATACCTAAGCTGTAAGTATCACCCACCTTCGTGACTACAGAACCTTCCCCGTACTCTGCAACATTTGTAGCCAAAATTAGTATTTAACCCTACCCTCAACATGTAAAAAATGAAGCACCCTCAGTCTGATAGGAAGGGGAGAGATTAAGGGAATAATTGCCCGGACACCTCTCGGTTTGACCGCCGCCCATTGTCTGGTCTGACCGGCCACTCAGTGCTGCACTGTTCACTGACAGAAAATATTAATTACTATATTTTCAATAAACACTCGCATTTAATAATTGCTCATCACAAAAATTGACCATCACATGATTCTAGAGGTGTGACTCCATCTAATTTGGGAAAAAAAGAAATAGAGGTTCATGCGACTGGTTCAATTGCTTTATGCTGTGATAATGCTATTGACAAACAACAGGTGTTATACCATTTTAGCGATTCACCGTGGAAGGCCGGACGGTTGATGAGGTCATACGCTAAGACATTAACATGTTTGTATAGACTTTAGAGCAAAAAGAAATAGTAGTAGCTCGATTAGCCCAGAAACAAGTAAACAGGCCACTCTCGTGGGCCTCGAATCGGGAATAGCCCAGTTTCCAAGCCTGCGACTTTTACTGGGCCATGAGCTAAACTCTACGAAAGAAAGCCCAACTGCCCAACCATGAAAACTCGTAATCCCCGCGCGCGCGACGGAAACCGCCTACTCCTCCCGTTCCCGCGTACACTTTCCGCGCCGAAACGCATCTCAGCCGTCCATAGGAAAACAACACCAATCGTGCGCCACATGCTCCTCCACGTCATCGATCCGCGGCGCACCCCCTCCGCCAATCAGCGCCCACCTCTCCCCTCCTTTAATACCATCGCCGCCGCCTCCCCTTCAACTCCACAACTCGCAACCGAATTCCCCCAAATTTTCGTCTCCCCTTTCCCTTCCCCGAGAAGAAGAGAGCGGCATCCATGGCGCCCAAGGCGGAGAAGAAGCCGGCGGCGAAGAAGCCCGCGGAGGAGGAGCCCGCGGCGGAGAAGGCCGAGAAGGCCCTGGCGGGGAAGAAGCCCAAGGCGGAGAAGCGTCTCCCCGCCGGCAAGGCCGAGAAGAGCAGCGGCGAGGGGAAGAAGGCGGGGCGGAAGAAGGCGAAGAAGAGCGTCGAGACCTACAAGATCTACATCTTCAAGGTGCTCAAGCAGGTCCACCCCGACATCGGCATCTCCTCCAAGGCCATGTCCATCATGAACTCCTTCATCAACGACATCTTCGAGAAGCTCGCCGGGGAGTCCGCCAAGCTCGCGCGCTACAACAAGAAGCCCACCATCACCTCACGGGAGATCCAGACCTCCGTCCGCCTCGTCCTCCCCGGCGAGCTCGCCAAGCACGCCGTCTCCGAGGGCACCAAGGCTGTGACCAAGTTCACCTCCGCTTAGATTCCATCTATTGGTAGTATTTAGTTCTGTCTACTATCTGGTAGTGGTAGAAATGGATGTCTTATTAGTGTGTAGTTGGCGGTTGTGGCGCTGCTTTTGGTAAACTGTTGCTTATTTATCTGAGATATTAACGATGCTCTTCTAGACTTCTATGTGCTTCCTGTTTTGTGATTGCTCGATTTCTTGTTTGTGGTGTTCATTCTGTTTGAGATTACTACGATACTGTGAAATTTTCTGGAACAAAATTGATGTTCTGGTATGCATACGTAGCAACTGAGGACATGGCAACTCACTTCAGGAATAATGCTGCTCCTGGCTTGTTTGGTGTTCTACACTTTTACTCATGCGTTTTATGTGTGGACACAAACACAATTGCTTGAATTGGATAGATTCTTGCTGTTTGCTAGTTGGTACTAGTGGAAGTTGGCGCTTTTGTACTTTGAACTAACAATGTAAGGTGAATTTTGGGAAGGAACCAGTACAGTAGGAGCTCTACCATTTCAATCAAGCAGGAAGAAGGAAACAATGAAATTAAGCACGAAGGAAACAATTAGGTGAATTTTACATTAAATTGTATGATTCTGATACTCTGGCAAAGAAATATAGCTCTCAGAAGTGAGAACAATTGCTAACTGAAACACTACATGTGACTAAAGTTATTTCAGGATTATTTCCAATGAGCTTGGCTATTGTAGCTGTTTTCGGTGTCTCAGTGGAGGCTTTTCCTTCTGTTCTAGTAATACCTATGCAAGCTAATTGGCAAACATGAGGTATACATCTCTTAGTGCATGCATCTCTACTGCTACATCTCTTATTGATGCTCGCTCTTGAGGCTGTTGCTTTGTGCAGGATATGCCTAACATGAAGACAGAAACGAGACACTCCTGGATTCTGCTCTGTATAATGTTATCCCGTGGTTCTACATGCAGCCAGATTGTTGAGTCTGCTATCTCCGAAGTTATGTCTGGAAGAGCATCCTTGGTAAACTTATTCAGATCTAATGAATCTCTGAACACGTCATCCGTTGGACTCTTTCCTGTAAACATCTCAAGCAGTAATATTCCGAGACTATAGAAGTATAGATATCACCAAGAGTTGATATCCAGTACAGCTGTACAGGCCCAACATCCAGCCGCGTTTCGGCCTGCAGCGGCGACCTTCACAGCTTGTTTTGCAACTCGAGGGAAGAGGATTGGGAGTTTACACGAGAGAATTGATGGTGAGATTAAGATGAGAATTTTGATTTTTAATCACCAGATTTCACCCTCCTATACAATGCAATACATCTACTAGATGCAATCGCGGAGGCCTTTGCACGTACGTACGTGCACACACCCATGGCGGACAACGACATCATGGCGGCATTGCCGGAGGACGTCCTCCTCCAGGTCCTCTCCCGCGTGGGCAACGTCAAGAGCCTCTTCATGCTGGCCGCAACATGCCGCCGCTTCACCGATCGCGCCTTCCTCCGCGACCTCTGGGGCGGCCAGCGCGCCGGCGACCTCCTCGGCTTCTTCTTCCACCGGCAACGCAACTCGGCCTCGACATTCGGCTTCCTGCCGGCGCCGCCGCTTCGCCCCCATCCCCTCCAGCTACGACGGCGAGCCCCTGACGGCGCGCCGCGGCATCCTCCTGATGCGGCTTTCCCCCTCCAACGACTGGTCAGAGGCGACCAGCCACCTCCTCGGCCTCTTCAACCCTATCACCAGCGAGCACCACGTTCTCCCGCATCTGAAGGGCCCCTCCAACCTTGGTTCCTTCGCCGTCACCAGCTGCGCCATCATCTTCTCCGACGACCTCGCCGGGAAGCAGCAGCCGCCATCTTCAGGCCGCTTCATGTTCTCGCAGCTGCTCGTCACCACCAAGCACAAGAGCATCAAGACCGTGTACCTCCACTCGTACTCCGCCACGCGCAGCAGCTGGGCCGCGCCCGCCGTGTTCCTGGATCTCCGCCGCTTCTCCCTGGTGGGCGAGGGATCATCGTCATCCGCCGTCGTCCACCGCGGCGCGGCGCACTGGCTGTGCACCGACCACGTCGCGAGCGCCACCCGAGACGACTACCTGTACAAGAGCTCAGCGTGGAGGTGGGCGGCACAGCCACGGCCACGCCGCGCGTCTCCATGACGAAGCTCCCCGTCCTCGACGGCGGCACGCCGACGCCGCTGCTCTGCGTCGGCGGAGACGGCGAGCTCACCATCGTCTGCGTGTTCATCATGCACGTCAGAGTCTGGAAGCAGCAGCGACGCGGCGATGGCGATGGCGACGGTGCGGCGGCGTGGCGCCGCGACGTGATTTGGATGCCAACGGAGGTGTCCAACTACCCCAAAAGTTACACGATGGCGCATGGATTGGGACGCAGGGGATCGGTGGCCATGATGTACAGTAGCACCGGCGCTGTGTTCGTCCTCGACCTCGACAAGAAGGTGATGGAGAAGGCCATGGACTGCTTGCTGCCCCTGCGAATGGACCATTCACTGGATCGGCCGCCTGTGCCGTACGAGATGGACTTGGTGGAGTTCTTTCTGCTCCAGCTTGGTGGTCTATGGCTCTATGCAGCAGAGGTGATCTACAGGATAATCAATTAATTAATTGATTGATTGATTACACATGTTTATGGCCCCGCGAAAATTACTCATGTTATGCAGTAGAAAAACGAGGGTTAATTGTAGAATAGGGGTATGTGCGGGAAAAAAAAGTAAGTTTTGATTTAAGGACAACAGCATATTATTATCATTGATAAATTCTTCAAGTGTTATTAAGGTTTGGTAATTGGTGTCACCTTTTTTTTTTCCTTTTTTTTTTGACTGTCTGATCCTTTGTTCAGCAATTTTTGTTCATTAACAATATGGCATTGTGCATTATCCACCCTGATTTATGGTCTGGTCGTTTGCTCGTTGCTTACGCACAACCTGATGAGGTGAGCGTGACCGTCCGCCGGAAATGCGGGATTTTATAAGGCTCACGCAGAATATGAAAGTTGGCCATGTCGAAGGGTATAGGAGGAAGAGGTTTCATTTTTCTCCCTCACCCATCTTCCTCGATTCTAAAGATATGGCTAGAGTGAGGTTTAGTGTCGGTTGTTAGAATTGGGTTATGATCTTTTGGACAACCTTGGCTGTAGTTTCTTCGTTGGCTTAGCGACGGCCGATCTAGTGATAGTTTTCTCTTGGGTTTGTGTGTTGGTGGGTGGGTGGTGGTTATTTTTTCTTCGTTTTTCTAGTTACGATATCCCAGGGTTATAATTTTATAATTTTTTTCTACTTTATTAAGGGCCTATTTGGTTCTCTACCCTACCAATTAATTGGTAGTGCTAAAATCTAGACAACTTTTAGCACTACCAATTTTTTGGTAGGGTAAAGTTAGCTAGTCTATGTTTGGTTTAATACCAATATAAAGCTAAAATTTAGTATGAGAGTGAAGAAGATTTTAGAATATAGCCAAATTGAGCGTAGGCGCTATCAATTGTTTGGCTTCAATCTAAACTAGCACGTTTACTATTAAAAAATTTTGGTAGGGTCTCAATCCAAAACAGCCCTAATATTGAACTTCGCAGCTCGATATTTGGTGATGGCGGTAGGTATTTAGCGCGAAACCCATTAAGCCACTGGCCCATCTACGCGTCGTCTCCAGAAACGGCCCAATTTTCATTTCCTAGGCCCAACATCCAGCCATGTTTCGGCATGCTTCGTCGAACCCCCCACCCCCCAACCACCCCCACCCACACACACTCCCCACTACGCTACGATTCATATTCAGAAAAGACTTTCTCATCTACTAGATGCAATCGCGGGAGATCATCTAACGCCTTTGCACGTACGTACGTGCGCACACCCATGGCGGACGACGGCGGCATCATCGCGGCATTGCCGGAGGACGTCCTCCTCCAGGTCCTCTCCCGCGTGGCCAGCGTCAAGAGCCTCTTCATGCTCGCCGCCACATGCCGCCGCTGGCTGCGCCGCTTCACCGACCGCGCCTTCCTCCTCGACCTCTGGGGCGGCCAGCGCGCCGGCGACCTCCTCGGCTTCTTCTTCCACCTGCAGCGCATCAAGGTCTCGACATTCGGCTTCCTGCCGGTGCCGAGCTCGCCGCTCCGCCCCCTCGCCTCCTCCGGCTCCTCCAACTCCGTCCAGCCACTGGCGGCGCGCCGCGGCGTCCTCCTGATGCGGCTTCCCATCACCCGCCTCCTCTTCCTCTCCAACCCCGTCACCGGCGAGCGCCACGTGGTCCCGCGCCTGGAGGAGTACTCTGACCTTGGTCCCTACAAGGTCACCAGCTACGCCATCGTCGTCTCCGACGACCTCGCTGGGAAGCCGCAGCAGCCGGCATCGTCAGGCCGCTTCACGTTCTCGCAGCTGCTCGTCACCACCAAGCACGCGAACAGCATCACCATGTACGTCAACTCGTACTCCGCCGCCGGCGGCTGGGCCGCGCCCGCCGAGTTCCTGGATCTCCTCCGCTTCTCGCTGGCGGGCAGATCGACGCCATCCGCCGTCGTTCACCGCGGCGCGGCGCACTGGCTGTGCACCGACGACGTCGCGAGCGCCACCCGAGGCGACCGCCTGTACAAGCTCAGCGTGGAGGTGGGCGTGCCGGCCGCAGCCACGCCGCGCGTCTCCATGACGAATCTCCCCGTCCGCGCCGGCGGCGCGACGGCCACGCTGCTCTGCGTCGGCGGGGACGGCGAGCTCACCATCGCCTGCGTGTTCCCCATGCACGTCAGAATCTGGAAGCAGCAGCGACGCGGCGATGGCGACGACGATGCGGCGGCGTGGCGCCGCGACGTGATGTGGATGACATTGCCGGCGCCTTACCCATACTGCGTGCCGCTGATGCATGGCTTGGACATGGGATCGGTGGCCATGATGTACAGGAGCAGCGGCGCCGTGTTCGTCGTCGACCTCGACAAGAAGGTGATCGACAGGGCCATGGACTGCTTCCTGCCCCTGCGAATTGGCCGCGAGATGGATCTGCCGCCTGTGCCGTACGAGATGGACTTGGTGGAGTTCTTTCTGCTCCAGCTTGGTGGCCTATGTGGAGGAGGGTCTACATCTACAGGATGATTACACATGTTATGCAGTGGTAAAATAATGAGTAATATAAGCACCAGCATATGAATTGAAATGCATGGACCATATGCAGGAAAGTTTTTGATTGATAAATTCTTCAAGTGTTGTTATGGTTTGGTAATTGGTAAAACAGCTCGAAACCTGTTCTTTCCGTCCCACAAAAACGTGGCGCAATCTCATAATCTGATTTTCATGTGTGATTACAGGTATGATTTGAATTTTCATTTTGTACGAAAAGGATGAACAGTCAAAAATCTTTCTGACAGTTCTCCACATAGTAGTATTGCCGTATTGGTTGTAATGTACACATCGGCAGTTACTGAACGTTCTATTAGCTTACATTACATATAGCCATATGAACTGACGCAAATAAAGACTGACTGATATGAACCACGAAGGAAAATGCTACATCTTCAGCGTCTCAGCTTTTGTTTCTCGGAATTCTGGCAAGTCGCCATCGGCAGCTGAGCTGTTAAAACATTTTCCCCAGCAAGCATATCTTATTCTTGTACACTCTTCAGGCCTAGTTACTCACTGTTGCTTCAAATCGCTGCTAATTTGTTTCGTCTCCTCTTCCATGTCCACTGAAAGAGAGCCAGAAAACATCAGGTAAGCGTCGTCTCTGATCGCATGCATCTTCAGGGCTGCATCTTGTATTGGCATTCGCTCTTTGGGTTGATGCTTTGAGCAGGACAAGCCGAGGCCAATGACTGAAATCAAACACTCTTGCATTCTGCTTCTTGTGATGCTATCCTCGGCGTCTACATGCACCCAGAGCGTCGGATCGGCTATCTCCAGGATTCTGTCAGGATGAGCAGCCTCTGAGAAACTGTGCAGGTCCAAGGAATCTCTGAACATATCGTCTGTTGGGCTCATTCCTGTAAACATCTCAAGCAGCAATATGCCCAGACTATAAACATCGCCAAGAGTTGAGACCGCAGAGCCTTCCCCATACTCTACAAATATTTTGGAGTTCATTAGATTCACCGGAATGTTAAATTTGTGTAAGAACTAGGAGGTAAAAAGCAAAGAAACAAAGCATAACAATTCAGTTACCTGGAGCAACATAGCCAATGGAACCTCTTATTCCGATTGTGTTGCTTGAATTTTGCTGTGTTTTGCTCGCGCTTTCAGTTAGGATTCTTGATATGCCGAAATCTCCAACTCGGGCACTCATGTCTTCTGCAAGAAGGATGTTGCTTGGCTTGAGATCACAATGAACGATCGGCGGCTGGCAGTGGATATGAAGATATTCCAGAGCATCCACAATATCAACAGCAATGTCCAGCCTTTGAGTTAGGCTCAAAGTATTGTCAGCAATGGGCATATCAGATTTTGGATGAAGCCAACCATTTAAGCTGCCATTGGGCATAAACTCAAAAACTAGTGCCTTGAAATCTTGACCTTGGTTATTTATGCTTGAACAGCAAGTGATGATCTTTAGGAGACAACGGTGGCGCACACTTCTCAGTGCGTCGCATTCTGCCAGAAAACTTCTAGTAGATCCAGACCGTTCAAGGTTAAACACCTTTACAGCGACAACAATTTCCTCATCAAACAAAGTGCATTTATAGACTACACCATAGCTTCCTTTTCCAAGCAAACTGTTCTGTGAAAATCCCTTGGTTCCATTTGACAATTCCTGGTAAGAAACTCTTTCAAATTGTTCCTCCACAACTGGGGTTAGGGACTGGCCCTTCTTCCTATGTACAGGCTTTCTACGACGAATTAACATAATAATCACCATAACTAGAGCTAAGAACAAGACCACAGCTATTGATGCCAGAGCTATTTTAAGAGACCTTAACCACCCTTTGCTTCTCTTTCTAACAGCATGCATGGAGCATGGAGGTAAGTTAAGATGAGATATTCCCCCACAAAGCTCACTGTTTCCAGCTAAAGACAAGTAAGATAAGTTCTTAAAAATACCTTCTTTTGGCACTTCACCTTGCAGATCATTGAAGGATAGATCCAGCATTGATAACGATGTCAAATTCTGCAGCACTGCTGGGATAGGCCCAGACAAGTTGTTATACGCTAGATACAACTCTTGCAGGTTGTGGATGCTACCAAGGGCATCAGGAATCACACCAGAAAACTTGTTCATGGTTAGGTTAAGTACACGGAGCCCCTTAATGTCCCCCAGAAACACAGGTATAGTTCCTTGGAACGAGTTACTGTCCAATAAAAGTACAGTGAGCACTATGCAATTTTTTATACTACTTGGTATCTGGCCAGACAATTGGTTTCCTGACAGAATCAACTCGTTGAGGCTAGTCAAACTCCCAACTTCAGAAGGAAGGGGTCCAGAGAGGGAGTTGTATGATAAATTCAAGTACTGTGAAATGGAAGGCAGCTCCAATATTTCCTTTGGAATCGAACCATTGAAGTGATTTCTTGATAAATCAAGAACATTCAGGCTTTTCAGCTTACCAAGATTCGCTGGGATTGGTCCTTCCAAGTTGTTGCCTTGCATGAATAGCTTCATCAGATTGGTAAGGTTTCCTACAGAAGACGGTACATGGCCAGACAAGCTATTGTTATTCAGGTATAGCGTAGTCAAGTTTTCCAGCTTCCCAATGCTCTCTGGAATTACACCTGATATGTCAGTACTAAACAGGTATAATGATCTTAGACCAACCAAATTACCGAAATCAGAGGGGATGCTTCCAGAAATCCTACTGCCACCCAAGTAAAGTTTTTGGAGAGTCTTCGAGAGGTTTGCGATCGAAATAGGGAACTGCCCAGTGAAATTGTTGTTACTGAGAACTAAAATCTCTAGCTTACTGCAGTTTGTCAATGACTCAACAAATTCCCACCCCTTTATGTCCCCTGCTTCAAGCATATTAACACCTAGTTGCAGATTCTGCAGAGCATTCAACCTCCCTAGATTATGTGGCACAAACCCACTAAATCCGTTCATTGATAGCTGCAGACTCGTGAGGTTAGTGAGATTGGAGAACGAGGAGGGAATTTCCCCGCTGAACTGGTTGTTGAACACTGCGAAAGACTGTAAATGAGGAAACTTTTCATCGATATCAGTAGCAATGCTTCCATCCAGCTTGTTGTTTCCTGCATCAAACCCCATTAGCGACGACAGATTGTACAGGGAAGACGGGAGTGCACCACTCAGGTTGTTGGAGCAGATGTCGAGGAAGTAAAGGCGCGGCATGTTGCTGCCGAATTCAGGAGGTATTGTGCCCTCGAGACTGTTCATCCTGAGGCTGAGGTATCCCAGGGACGTCAGATTGGCCAGTGAAGCTGGCCAATGGCCGACGAAGCTGTTGTTGTCGAGGCCTAGCACCTGGAGCTGTGTCAGCGTGTTGCCGAGCTCCGAAGGTATGTGCCCGGCGAGCTTGTTGCTGCCGAGGGCCAGGTATTCCAAGCTGGTGCAGGATGTCAGATTGCTGGGGACCTCGCCGGAGAAGGTGTTGAAGCTTAGGTCGAGTTCCCTGAGGCGGTGCAGCTGACCGAGGCTCGCGGGGATGCCACCGTGCAGCCAGTTGTAACTCAGGTCAAGTTTCCGCAACGACGTCAGGTTGCCGACGGCCGGCGACAGGGTCCCCGAGAGATCATGGCCGGGCAGGCTAAGCGCCACCACCCGCCCGTGCCGGCCACACGCCACGCCCTCCCAGCTGCACGGCCCGGCGCTGCCGTTCCACGACGCAAGCACGCCGTTGCCACCACCGTTGCCCACCGCCACGGCCTTGAAAGCGAGCAACGCTGCGGCGTCTTCTCCGTCTGCTCCTCGCACTGCCATGAAGTGCAAGAAGATGGACATGAAGACGGACAGCAGCAGCAGCAGGAAGCTAGCAAGAGCCATCGCCATGGTGGTTGCAAACTTGCAAGGTACACAAGTGGAGTGACAAGCAGTGCCCCAGAGCACCGTATTTTAACCCCACGACGCCATGATCCCAGAGTGCCATTGGCGAGACGGCGAGGACACCGAGTCAAAATCTTGACTTGTTTAGCGGTCTCCGCGCTCACAGGGAGAGAGACAGGAGTGGTAAGATACCATGTCGACTTGGAGCAGTGCATGTTACCTTTTTGACTGTTCCCGCCATTCCTTTCCACATCATTTCCCAACTAGATACTTACTGTAACATAGTACTGGAAGGATATGGAAAGCTTGGACGCATCCAAGCTCTCGTCGCTGTCGCCCTCGGCCCTCACACATGACTTAGCTCGCTCCAATTATGTCCTCACCCCTTCTCTGTTCGACCAAATTCCTGATAATTTCTTCCTGACTGATTCCAACAGAGAATCCATTAGGTTGGCAGTCCAGAGTGTTACCTTGTACAGTTGTACGGCCACCCTTTTCCACGCTTGTATGCGGAGTTCCAGACACACGAGGAAAGGTAAAAGTCTTGTGGTGATCCAGGATTAGATTCAGCTTGTGTAGAGCTTCCGTGAAAGCATGGACAACTACAGTTGACGAGCACAAAAACGAACAACACCGAGCCTCCTGGGAACAACGAGAAATCGAGAATTACAGCAGGCACGGCCATGTCTTTCCACATATGTACAAACTTGAAAAGGTCCGTGGCGTGGAAAATTTATGGAGATTAACCAATTGGATGCTCACCTTAGTCAAAGGGCCAGGGACAGTAAGCTCCTCGGAGGAGTTCTGTCGAACAGGTAACGGGCGCAGACTGAGAACTCCGAGTCTCTGGAGAATTGTTGTGGCTACAGCGACGGGAGTCTCGAAGAAGAAAAAGTATACAGGATTGGGCATCGTACGCGTCGGAGCTGAGCACGGCTTCCAGTGACGGCGCATTCCGGCGGCGGCGGCGAGGCGGTGCCCGGAGGTGAGCACGAGACCCCGGCGGAAGCGCGCGCGTGAGCGATCTGTCCAACAGTGAATGGACCTTGCGGTGGATTAGCATTTTGGTGGGCCCACAATACCAGAAGGAGGCCCACAAGAAGGTTAGCGCGCAGCCCATGATTTGCAACGGGCTACAACCAAGAGAGATACATTTGGGCCCGTGTAAAGGCCCAAACTATTCGAGGCAAGCACGAGATATGGCCCATTATCTGACAGGCTGAGCAACAAAGTTGCTCACTTGCTCCCCGTCGCCGCCGCTTCACCGAACACTTCTCCTCTCCGTCGTCCTCCATCTCCATCGCCGGTGAACGAGTTGACGCGATCTTCTGCTCAGGCGAAGAACGTTTATCTGTCTAGCCGGTCAAGGGGAACGCAGCTTTTCCTGCCGTTTTCCTCACGCGATCGACCGCGCTGGCACGCAGCAGCGAGATCATATCGGTGATATGATATCCAAGTCCAGATCCAGTGACTCAGGCTGTGTTTAGATCCAAATTTTGGATCCAAACTTCAGTCCTTTTCTATCACATCAACCTATCATACACACATAACTTTTCAGTCACATTATCTTCAATTTCAACCAAAATCCAAACTTTGCGCTGAAATAAACACAGCCTCATCTACCATCCTTTCCTCCGAACTGTCGTGTTCCTAATAGTAATGTGTCCATAATAGTGGGTGTGTTTAGTTCACACTAAAATTGAAAGTTTGGTTGAAATTGAAATGATGTGACGGAAACATTGGAAGGTTGTGTGTGTAGGAAAGCTTTGATGTGATGGAAAAGTTAGAAGTTTTAAAAAAAACTTTGGAACTAAACACGGCGAAAATTTCTTATTAGTCCATTTCACCAGCAAATTATTGAGCTTCGTTGGTTGGGATTGGGAAATTATTGAGCTTCGCTTGTTGGGATTGGGTAGGGAAGAATGCCATTTTCTTCTCTTTTTTATGGCCTTTTGAATCGCAGGATTGAAAAAACGGAGGAATAGGAAAAACACAAGATTTTGATAGGAATGAAAGTGTAAAACAGAGGATTGCAAAACACAGGAAAAATATAGGAATGACCGTTTGATTAGACCGCAAGAGCAGGAATCAGACGAGAGAGATAGACTCAAGGAAAGTTTTCCAAGAGGTCAAAGTGGATGTTAACTTTCCTACATTTTTGCTCTAGAATTGTAGGAATAGAAAAGTTTCCTACGTTTTTCCTTTTCTTATTCCGACGAATCAACGACATGAATAGTGTAGGATTTCAATTCCTTTATTTTTCCTCCAATTCAAAGGGGGCCTTATTTTCGATTACACGACAGTGGCACAGTGCACATCGGCCAAATACGCCTCCTAGCATAAGCTCAAAAAAAAAAAAGGAAAGACAATGGCCCTTTCTTAACTCGCTAAAATCCTAATGAGAACATATTTTCATGTGCATAATATTCATAAACATCAGGATTTAGGGGTTTGGTTGGCATACCCACATTGTCAAAACTTGCCATACTTCATTTAGCTAACATATGCTTAACATGTGGCCAACAAAATTGAAGCCACACTTCAGCCATAGGAAAGCAAGCCTACCACACTTTTACGTGCCAATGACATATGACCCACATTATGATAAATGAATCTTGCCATAAGTGTGGCACAAACCAAACAGATGCCTAACTTAATCAAATTTGGCTAACTTTAGTTGTGATATGGTGAGGTAAATCAGTTGATGATTTCCTCAGCTCTTTTCGACTGTGACAATAAGAGCGTCCCGTCATCCTTGGTGCGAACGCAACTAGGCAAATTTTCAGATGCCAAATTAATCTCACCCCCCCCCCCCCCCCCCCCAAAACACACACACACACACACAAAAGAACCTATCGAGGTCCAGTACTCCAGTCTGAAAATTGGACTATGAAAAAGAAGAAAAAGATATACTTTACATGCTATGTAGAGTAATAGCATACTTTGAAAAAGTCACCTCTCTTAGTAGTTGTGCTGATGCTTGATGACGCCATTAGGTCCGAATTATTTGCTGCTATGTAGAGTAATAGATTGTGCTGCGGCAGATGTTTGTAAATTAGCAGTGTATAATATACCTTCCATTGTTTAGGTTCCTGCACATCAAATGAACAAAATCCTAAAGAGCAGCTACAATTTGCACAATCATCAGTTAATTCAGTAACAGTCCAAAACGTTATTTCAGTTAATTTTTTTTCCCTTCAATTTTGAGGTTTACCAGTTTGACTATAAAACCTGATGCAAACAAGGTGACAAGAAAAGGGGGGAGTATGTCAGGATACCACATCCATGTATCAAGAAAGATCTAAAAATAATGAGACCAACGCATGGATCTCTGTTACTTGGATCAACATAACTGATGGAACATCTAATTCCAATTGAACTGATTGCAAAGTTTTGCTTGTATTTTCAGAAAGAATTTTTGACACGCTGAATCCCCAACATGTGTGCTCATGTCCACTGAACAATAATGTTGCTTGGCTTCAGATCACAGTGGATGATTGGTAGCTGACAGTGGTGGTAAAGATACTCCAGTGCATCTGTGGCGTCAACAGTAATGCCCTGTCTCTGAGCTAGACAGAGGGTATTGCCTGGAGTCTTGACACATTTCTGATGCAATTACCCAATTTACCATGAGGCATATACTTAAGACTGCTAGGCCAGTGCTGTTGAATCATTGACCTTGGAAGTCAATGCTTGAGCAAAAAGTGACTATCTTTATTAAGTAACAGCGGCACACCCTACTCAATGCCTCACATTCAGCCATGAAACTCCTAGAATATCCAACAAATTGACATCTTCACAGCTGCATAAACCTGGGCTAGCTGGACATTCTTAGGCTAGATTTGGTCAGCCCATAAACCTAAGCCCCCAACTGGAGTATAATCTATTGATGAACTATTTACGAACATGGAATAGTCTTGAAATTGGATCCAATTTTAGATTCTTCCTGGTAAGAGGTTCTTCTGTAGCAGGTTCATCTTTCTTCATACGTATTGCTTTTACCAATAGCTTCGTCCTTGGTTCTGGTGTCATCCCTCTCGACTCCATCGTTCTATAATAATGCAAAGCCTCATCCAGTTTATCGTGGGAATGGAGTCCATGAACCATTATAGTAAATGATCGTTGATCCGGGCCTGATCCATTCCTCTCCATTTCATCCCATACTAGCTGAACCCCTTTCTCATAATCCCAACTGACATAAAGGTTCAATATTAAGTTATATGTATCAGAGTCCAGTCTGCAACCAGACTTCTCCATTCTCTGCATCAATGAAATAACATCTTTGGGTTTCTCTGTCGTCTTCAGAATGTAGGAGTATGTCATATTGTTTGGAGAGACGCCCTTAACCTCCATGTCATCCAAAAGCTCATAGACTTTCTCCATCCGATTAATCTTACAGAAGTGTTTTATCAAAGTGTTGTAGGTAGCAACATCGGCCTGACAACCACGATCATTCATCTCACCAAAAATCTCAAGTGCTTCTGGAATCCTTTTCTTGAAGCACAATTGATCGATGATACAATTACAAATTGCCACATCAGGATTGATCCCTTTCTCCCACATGCTTGTAAATAGTTTTACTGCAGTACTAAGTTTGCCAGATTTTGTAAGCGAATTTATGAATGTACCATAGGTGAACAGGTCAGGCTTAAGCTTAGACGCAATTATCTCATTCCAAACCCTTTTAGCGTCTGCCAAGCTTCCCTTGACACACCAACCATTAAGAATGATGTTCCAGCTCTTTATGACAGGAGGGAACTCATCTTTCTTTTGGAGAAAGAGGGCCTCTGCTTCCTCAACATGCTTGTACCGACAGAGAGACATCAAAAGTATCTGGAATCCAACCAAGTCAAGCTCAAACCCATAATCCTTCCTCTTGTAGAACATATCTATCGCCTCCTGCACCTTGTGCGCGCCTGCATACCGGTTTAACAGGACAGCAAACATCCTGTTTGTGACCACTGACTGGCGGCTCTCCACAGGAATCTCATCAAACAGTTGTCTCATGAGCCTGACCTTCTTCATCCTCCCAAGAATGTCAAGCATCTCCGTGTAGGCCCTTGACCCATGGTTATACTGGGGCAGACCAGCTGCCCATTTGAAGAAAGATAGTGCGACTTTCCAATTGGACCTCTGCTTCTGGAGCACCTTTAGCACAACATCCTCATCCATCTCGTCTGCAAATTGATTGAGAACTTCGGCGAGCTCACTGTCGCCATCTCTAGACTTGAGGATTTTAACGATTTCGCTGACATGGACATCCTTGGAACCATCCAAAGCGGTAGAATGACAAAGCCGTAGAGATCCAACAACGCAGTGAATTGGGAGAATGCTCTGGTGAAAGCGTGGATATAAGCCTGCCCCGGGAAGCTCCACTGAGGCATTCTGACGAACAGTTGGCGTGCAGGAACCAAGGAAGCCGAGCCTCCTAATAACTACGCATGAACAAAGTTTAAATTAGTACCCCGCACTTAAATTCAGAGAACGAAACCTCGTTCCACTTCAGTATATGCATTCAAATTCAGATAATGAAACAGTGCGCGGTGTGATGGACTCATCAAGAGATGATGAAAAAAATCAGAAGGGGCCAAGAGAAAAAGAAAAAAAAAAGAAGAAGGGGAGTCGGTGCAGGTGGTGCCTACCGAAGAGCGTCCTGCTGGACCTGCAGGCGGCGGAGAGGATGGCGGACGCCCGCGGCGGCGGCATCGTACCGGAGATGAGCACGAGAGCGGCGGAGGGAACGGGTACCAGAGCGCTCTCTCTCTCTCTCCGGTCGATGACTAAATGGGCTACTAATAACTAAGTTAAGCGAAGCTATTGGGCCGACTTGAAAGCCCACTATGTGTTGAATGGGTTGTGGCCGACGTGCGGGCCCGTCATGTAAGGCTGGGCTTGTGATGGACACAAGCGAGGCCCACAATGTGCGTGTCCGGCCTACATTGAGGCCCAAAATATTCGGAGCAATCATACAGTCCGGCCCAGATAGCAACAGATATAGAGGCCTGATATAACCTGCAACAGAAGTACAGAACTAACCAAACAGCTTTTAACGTTTCAGCATGCTGCAAATCTGAACCAACCAAAATACAAACTTAAATTAGTAAGAGTACCCCCACTTTGAGGAACTTAGCCCCTCTCTTCTAAACACCCCCTTAGTCGTGATGGAAAGATTGATTAACTCAACAATTTATTTGTTATAGAAAAAAACAATTAATTTCGCATTTCAAAGAGCGTAGCAGGTAGTAGCAGCTAATCTTGCATTGAAATAAATTACACTTTTTAAAATTACATCTATATAATTCAGTTTTAAGAGCAGGTGAGCTGAGTGGAGCAGCTCGAAGCCTCGAATAGTTTGAAATATACTGAGCACTCCACTTCACTTGACGAACTGAGCTGAAGTGTCACCGCTCACCTGCTCTCCCGCCAAATCCTCTCAACCCAAAAGCCATTGAGCTGAGCTGCCTCCTTGTATATATCCATGGATCCACCTCGATCTCTGCCATGGCGTTCCCCTCCCTCTCCGTCTCCGGCATTCTCGCGCGCCACCCGGTGCTCTTCTACGCGGCCACCTGGACGGCCGTCGCCACCGCCGCGGTGTCCGTGGCCGCGTTCGCGCCGGAGCTCGCCTTCGTCTGGGCTGTCACGCCGGGCGCCGCGCCGCTGGCGTCGTCGACGGCCGGCTGCCCGGGCGGCATCGTCCTGCCGCTCGACGGGCCGCCGTGGGACGCCGCCTGCGTGCCCGCCGCGCTGTTCGGCAGGGTCACCCTCGACGTGCTCGTGCCGCCCGTGTTCGCCGCCGCGGTGGTGTCCACCGCTCTCTGGTTCACCAAGGCCGTCGGCGTGTGGGAGGACGACGACGACGAAGACGACAGCGACGAAGCTACAATGGTGTGACTGAGTGATGCTGTAATTTTGTGACACTTAGACGCCATGCTTGCTATGCATATTAGAATCTTGGAGTTCTTGATCTTAAATATTAATGGCTCTGATCAATATCATCGTCAACTAAGAGTGACAAAGCAATTGAATTAGGCTGAACTTTATTGAAGTATGTAGACAGTTGAAGCTGGTTATAATTCCCTGTTTCTGTAACAGAATGAAGAGGAATTTGTTTCATTTCAAATAGTTCTTATTGAAAGAAGGAAGGAGGAAAATGAATTGATAAGAACAATAGGTGAAGCGGAAAACCGAAAAAGAGCAATAAGTCCTTTTGTTTACAAGTCTTCTTTATATAGAAATTCGACCTATTGCTCTGGATCCCCGTTTACTAGGAAGATATGAATCGAAAGGATCGAACTACCTACTCATTATTCGGAGGTGAATCATAGAACACTAAAAGCTGTGGTATCTTATAGAACTATCTATTTGTATAATGTTCTCCAGTTGGACAAATGTTCAGTGAAGGTTTACACTGACAGCAAAATTGACAGTCTTTCATGGCCAAGGTCAGTGAGTGGCAAGATTGACTTGAATTCCATTATTTCAAGCTGCATGTGCTTCGGTAGTTTCATTGTATACTCTTAACACCTGATATGGTGCCTCAAAATGCAGCCTGTTATGCAACTAAAATCATGCATACAAGCTAAGCAAATTCATGGGCAATAGCTGCACATATGTAGAACAATATCTAGCCAGGCAGAATTTCACAACTGCTGAACAACTCATGTATTTGGCAAATATATTAACAAGAGTACACAGGTTGATCTCATTCTCAGCCATGACCGAAGGAAACATTAGAAAAGGGTTCAGAATACTTCAGGTTCCTAATACTACTGCTGCTACACATATTTATCAATCATCACATACTAGTATGCCATTAAACCAAACAGTATCAGAACACTTCTTTTTTCTGCTGATGATCCTGCTTTGGGCTCTCATTTTGAAGAAGACTTGATCAGCTTTTCGCTGAATTCCCAGAGTTGCTTCGCCAGCGCGTCATTCCTCGCAAATCTGCTAGTTTTCTCCACATTGCAGTCAGCAAAGTATTGTCCGGTCACTCCCTTGAGCTGAGGGTTCAGTCCTACATAGCAAGTGGTAGCTGCTCCCTGAAAAAAGAAACATTTGTTAAGTGTGTTGTTTCAGATGAATTTGAATTTCAAGACAATTCAATTTGTCTTTCAGCATTGCTGCAGAGAATTCGGACAGAAAGAAGAACAGAGAAGATATTGGGTTCCAAACCTGGGGTACGCTCTTCCACAAGATGTAGGTGGCAAATTGAAGCACCCCTGCAAGTGAAAACAAAGTGTTTTTTTCAGAACATTAAGGAAAGGAAACAGCATTCTCTTTTCAATCGAAGCCTGAAGGTCCATAGCAAAAACTCTAGAACAATGACTCAGAAAGAGAGAACTTGCATATACGTACTCATAAGGAAAAAGGAGTGCCTCATCAAATTGGTCATGATCAATCCAGGATGAACACAGTTAATAGTGATGTTCGCTCCTTCTTCCTGTTTCATCAATGGCACAGATCAAACATGTATTGGTGAATTAGTGATGGAAAATAGACAAAATTAAATGTGTTTTATAGAAAAATGGGAAATGCATAGAGTTTTCAGCTCTGTTAATCTGAATAAAGACATCACAAATAAAGGTGAGAATGAGGGAAGAAAATACCTTCAGCCGTCTAGAGAGCTCTTTCGCGTGAAGTATGTTTGCCAGCTTAGATTGTCCATAAGCCATCTTGTCATCGTATCTGCCAATACAAAATTCTTATTTCAATCTCTAATCCACATAAATTTTCCAACAGAAAAACAACATGAAAACACTCAGCACATACGTTTTCTCATCGTTGAGTTTATCAAACTCAATTCCCTTCGGATATGTATGGAGGTGAGCAACCGATGACAAGTTCACAATACGACCTTCAATACCTGTGGACTTCGCGGTTGCTTTCATATTATCAAGAAGGAGGTTGGTCAACAGAAAGTGACCTGATTGAGCATAACACATCAGACAGATATCAGTATCATCCAAGCACTTTTTGCATGTTTAAAGTAAATAGTTGATAGTGGTAGAGAGTGAATACCAAGATGATTGGTCGCGAACTGCATCTCAACACCATCTTCAGACAATCCAAACGGACAGAACATCACACCGGCATTATTTCTGCATGACGGAAAAAAAAAGAATATATGAGACCCCTTAATTAACTGAAATTTAAGCAGAACCAAAGGATCTTTGCATGTTAAAAAAAGGCAAGTGTGCTAAGAGTTTGAAGGGAGTTACATCAGGATGTTCAGAGGAAGGTTCATCGAGTTGAACTGATCTGCAAAAGCTCTAACAGACTTAAGGGAGCTGAGGTCAAGCTTCAGAACATCGATGTGAGCTTTTGGGTTTTCCTCAATGATTTTCTTCCTCACTACAGATGCAGCCTCTGTGTTCCTTGCTGCGATGATGACATGGGCTCCTCTCATCGCAAAGACTCGCGAGGTCTCCAGACCAATGCCACTCGCTCCTCCTGTAAGACAACAGAATTTACAGATTTCCGTAAATTTGCGAGGATAGATGTTTATGAACAGTTTGCAGTAACTAGCTACTGTGAGTCTGACACAACATGAAATTTACTCACAAGAATACAAGATTGATGTTTGGTGAAAACTGAATTCTATGACAGATTGGTTATGGATGCACTAGAAGACTATGATTAATGCTTTTATGAGCAAGTTTAATTGACAAGACCTAACACAGAAAAAGTTACTATTATATAATGGGAAAATGTTTATAGTTTAAGACCACACAGTTCCAAGCTCAAACTCTTATTTTCCACACAAAAAGAAAGGAATATCCAACATCTCCACATCAGGAAAGAGAGGGTAAAAATCCTCAGCCCATTGTCAGAATGGAAGAACTGCTATGCCCTTCCGATGAATTGATTTTCCTTCACACTTCTGTATATCAATCTATGTTTTTGTTTTTTTAGTATTATCTAAAATACCTGATTGAATTATGAATTCTCTGTAGTCAAGAAAGTTCCAGAAATCTAAACCACAACCACAAGATTGAGCAGGAAACAGACAAACTTTCATCAAAACATAATAAACTCTTCTGGTCCACAAAAAAGCTACTTATGCATAAATTTCTCATATACAATTTTTTGAAGAGCGTAGTATTATTTTGATATTATATTAATCATAACACAAAAGGTGGCTGCTTTCATAATCCCAACTCTAAGCCACCCTTACCACCATCCAAAACACACCCAAAAAGGAAAAGAGAGAACAATTTGAGAGAGAGAGAGAGAGAGAGAGAGAGAGAGATGCAGAGACTGCCTATGGTGAGTTGGTGACGGGTAGAGAATTGGAGATTATTCACACGAGTTTCTCACAAATCTAACAAAAACATGGCAAGAAACTAACCAAAACCATTAAAAATAAACTGCATTGATGTTTTCAAGAACAGGTTTTTGCTGGCCACAACAACACATTGCAGAGAAATAAATTCCAAGATTCGGAGGTACGGAAGCAGGCAGCTCTGTCTCTTACCTGTGACGATGACGGTGAGGCCGGTGGCGTCGACGCCGGCGGTGACCTGCTCCGCCGTGGACCCGGAGCCGAACCCGCTCGCGCCGGCCTTCCCGGTGATGAGCGACAAGATGCCCATCTCAAACCACGCCGCCAAGAAACCCCCAAACTCACGATCCAACACTGCACCCCCCAACCCCAAAACCCAAACAAGAACACGCAAAGAAGCTCAGCCACCGCAACGCAACTGAATTCGACCCCCCCCCCCCCCCCCCCAACAAGAAGTCGCCGAAAAGAACACGCCAAGAAGCACTCACCCTCGCCGGACAGATCGACGAGTTGTTCAATGCGCGGGCGCGGGAGGCGGGAGCGAGGCGGAAGGGGAGGAGGAGGTGGTTATTTATGGTTGGGGGCGCCGGTGCAGAGTTGGTCGCGGAGTTAGAATCGATGCAGGAAGGATTAGGAAGAAGACGAGACAGAAAGGAATTTGGAATCGTCACAGAAAGAATCGAATCGACCTGGATTCATCCAAATTTTAAGAGAATTTTATACGTTTGGGTTTTGTAATTTACTGCTAGTCCGGTATATGAATATGAATATCTCAAAAATGTCCAAATGCTACACCAAATTGGTTCACAAAGAGGTCTGGTTGGTGTGTAGCAGCGCTTCGTATTCGATTAAAATTCAGGGGAAGTAATTTGCTGTAGATTATGAACTACGTAGCGTGTCACTGTCCCGTTGGGTCCCGTTGTATACATGATGCATTGATGCAGTGCTCCTAATCACTTCCTGATTTGCCATCTGTCACTCGTATAATCTCGTACTCCCTCTGTCTCAGCTATGATTTTTCGTGTCCAACTTTAATCGTTTATCCCATTTAATTTTTTTTTAAAAACAAAAACATAAGTTATACATAAAGTACTATTTATGTTTTATCATCTCATAACAATAAAAATACTAATTACAAAAAAAAATAAATAAGACGGACGATCAAAGTTGAGCACAGAAACTTATAGTTGCACTTAAAATGGGACGGAGGGAGTATGTTACTGCCAGTGCTAGCAACCGTGGCATACTCGACTCTGTTTGGGACAGTTCTAGATTTAAGATTTTTCTTTAACTAAGTATTCATAACTCTAGAAATCTATACATCTAAAATTATGATTATATTGATAATATTTAGATGAATTGTTGTTTGTATTTTATGAGAAATATAAAATTTTAAATCTCACTATAGTTTATCTTACAAACTCTAAATTTAGCAAGTATCTAGAATCAACACCTTGCTTGCCTGTGTTTATATGAGAGGTTTGATTTTCTTTCTTTTTACTAGTATTTTACAAATTAGGCTTTAATTATTTTACAGCCCATAGTTGGTCCGATGTGTTACTGGAAATTATTTTGGTCACTCGTCTGCGGTAGCAAATGGGGCCGGCCTACTTTGTATAACCATTGGTCCATTGTTGTCTGATCATCTGATGATGCTGCATTTGTTGAAGATTAGGTCGATGATGACCGACCGGCCGGCCGGCATGAACGAACTTGAGATCTCAATTCATCATCCTCTGCCAATTTCGCTAATCTCTTTAGTTAATGTATTAACCCAAAAGAATTAAGCTTAATTGATAGGAGTAGTTAATATCTTTTGATCTGTGTGAAACAGTGAAAGAGATATGGGGTTAACATTAACCAACATATAGTTAATTTTGACTATACAAAAAAATATATTATACTGAGTAGTGAGCACTGACACAAATCACTCCATTGTGCAATATAATACTGACACATCTTTTTTAAATGGACTGACACACAAACCCCTCCAAGATAATAGCTCGAGTCAGCTCGTGTGTAAATTACCGAGGTAATTAAAAAAAAGGCTATGCATAATGCATGCAGATTAAAAAAAAGTTACTGACCATTACAGGATTTTGTGGTACATTATTGAAGGAGCATGCAGGACCAGATTATTTGCTGTAACAGCAAGGAATCTGATGGCCATGCTGGTCCTGATCACACAGTGACATTAGATTCCATCTCATTTCTACAATCTTTTGCCCCTTTTTTTTCCCATTTCATCATGGAGAGTTTTCTTCAGATTTTTCAGTAAGGTACCAGTGATCCAGACTGCCAGTGGATGCATGGTTGGAAGGGAGCCAAGCATCATGGCGCAGCGCAGACACGGGCTCACCCGGTAGTCCCCATTTCATGCCCACTGGTCCTGAAATGCTTATGGACGATGGATTAGGGACGAAATTGAGTTGATATGTCAATTTAGTTCCTTTCAAATATGTCAATTTAGAAAAGCTTTCAAAAAAAATATCGATGAAGAAAGTTCTCGAAGAAATCATAATGCTCAGAAGCTTGGAAAATGTGTCCATAATAATAATAAATTAATAATCCGTAGGCAGCACACCAAACTGTTCTCATCCTATTGCTATGGTTGTATTTAGTTCCTTTCAAACTTTCAAAAATTCTTCCATCAGATTAAATTTTTGGACACATGCATAGAGCATTAAATGTGGACGAAAAAAACCAATTGCACAGTTTGCATGTAAATTGCGAGACAAAACTTTTGAGCCTAATTACGCCATGATTTGCCAATGTAGTGCTACAGTAAACATTTGCTAATGATGGATTAATTATGCTTAATAAATTCGTCTCGCAGTTTACAGACGGAATCTCGTTTAATACTTCAAATGTGTATCTATATACTTAAAAAAATTTGGCTTAGGAACTAAACACAGCCTATGTGCATGTTTTTTCAGGTTCAGAGTTTCAGATACGTACAAGGTTTAGAGTAGGAAAATATTCGTCATCCCCAACCCTCCATGTCATATAGTTTCTATAGCATTAAATATATTGTCACGTAAGTAAAAATCTTATGTGACAAGAGAGTTAACGAGGATACCATATCTACACAAGAACTAAGAATAAAAACAAAGGGATATGTGGATAAAAAGAGAGAGGAGAGAGATGATTGGATGGGAATTTAATTTAAAGACATCATCCATTAAATACATAGTGTCATAATATCTATATATAACATGAAAAATATATAAACTAATAGATAGTTTTTGGGTTGGGATGGCCTCACGAGCTCCTCGTGAATGGCATGGGGCATGGGCAAACCTATACGTATCTCCTTGACCTTGCCAAGAAACATGAATGATTCATTGATTCAGTGCTAGATTGAGCTAAATATATAATGTGACATGATGCCATGTGAGGAGCTTCATCATCTGCCATCTGATGCACGGGTGTTGCAAGCGATGTGAGGACTTGTCTGGTAATAATAGCTCTTGAGGTGTCCGAGTTGTTGCTTGATTGCTGGCTTGCTGCTGCTGCTGCTATTTGGGACTGTTCAAGAATGTGGTTGGAGCAATTCAATGATGAGGCATTTGCTGTTCTTGTTTGTTGCCAAACCCTGTCAAAGTGTCAATAACCAACACACAAACCAGAAACAGGGGCTCACCTAGGTTAGATCCTACTTCTACTTTTTTTTATGTCATTCGGCTATCTTTATTGATACGAAAATATAGTTACATCACTCACCAGCATGCTCATAATAAAGCTAGGGGATTCCTACCACTACAGTTTATGCCAACGGCTTCTCATCGTTTGCCTTTGATAAGCCGTGAGAAAAATAAACGAAGCAAAAAAAATTATATGTAAAACTTTTACATAGGCGTTCTTACAAATTTAGAAGCTAATGATGAAAAATAAACTGCGATAAGAAAACCTCAAAATCATCTCTAAAATTAAGTGCTAAAGTTAAAATTTAGCTGCCGCTGATAAACTGGCAAGCCAGATTTAAATTTGACTGTTGCAATCAAGAAAGTACACTTTGGCCGGGAAAAGGGGAAAAGAAAAGAAAGGACACTTTGAACTATGCTATGAGTAAGCTTATCTCAGGCTCTTAATTAGCTAGATCTGAAGCTGCACTAAATGGCTGCAAGAATTGGGTGAATAATATGTTTACAAGTACTAGCGAACTTAATCTGCATTCTAGCTAGTACACCAACTCAAAAGTCTGAAGAATTTTCTGCTGAAAGGAGAAGTTGCTATAAAATTCTGCATGCTTGGATTGCCCAGTTTGGTTTCTGACTTTCTCTACCAGATCATTTAATTTAATGGCTAATAGTTCATGAGTAATTTCAAGGACAGTCTTGTTGAGTACGTGTAATTAGATAGCGATCATATCATCTACATTATTGATAGGTACTGTTTGTATCTGAAACCAACAAAAAGAAGCAACCTTATCATCAAAATGGAATAAAGGGGATAAAATTAGGTACAGTCTCGTCCAAAATTTAAATGAACTGAAAAATTAGTTGACGATCCTGACTCCACACTTCAAAAAAATTGATTTGTGATAATAGACTGTAATGATTTTGGAAGGGTAAATCAATCCTTAAACTTCACTGAAAATAATGCAGTCCGGGTATGCATTTAGTGTGTGGCAGCACAGTTAGGTTGGATTGGAGCATTTGAGCCTGAAGATGAGGCATTGGGCCCATGAGAATTTATGCTCAATTCCAGTATCTAGTGTAGCAGGTAAAGAGAATTAAATGTTTCTAAATGAAAACATAATCATCATTCACTTTTACTGTTTATAACTTCATGGTTAACGGTTATTATCAGGTGAAAAACGCTGACCATATATCAGACAGCAAGCATGTCGATGCATGCGAATATGAAGAGTACTGAACTGAAAATTTGTAGTTACAAACAAAGAGGCAAGAGGGAGTGAAAACAGAACAGGGACGAAACAGTGTTCCGCCTTCAACTTATGAATCATAGCCAAATTTAAATTTTAGAATTAATTTAGATGTTTCATCATTTTCTATTTTCTGGCCTTAATTTTTGTGGAAGTACAAAAACTTTACCCTAAAATCAATTTTGGTTGCTTCATTTATTTTTCTCAGCTTATAAGCCGTAGCCCAAACAATTAGAATATTTTCCAGAGAAAGGCCAAAAGCATAGTTGTATTATTGGTCTCTTGTGCATTTGCCAAAAAAACAAACAAACAAAACAAAACAGAGACAATCATCTATTTATGTGCAGTACAGACTACAGATAAACAGTTCACTCTTGCTCATGGCAGCTACAGTGCAGAGGTCCTAAGCAATTCATTGCCTGGACCCTTAGTTGTATTACAACACAAGGTACAAACTGCACATTAGCCATTTGCTGCTCAACTACCTCAACAGACCATGCACTGCATTGCAAAAGGGACTCTATGGAGACTCTTCCTAAAATCTCGGCCATTGATTATTGACATATACTAAATCTGAACAATGTAATTTCCTATCTGAAAAGTCTGATGAAATTTGCAGGCTTCCCTTTCTTTTCTCTTGCATTACTTTTTTTTTCTCACTCCATCCCCCGTGTAAACAGCATAACAAACAGACAAATTTATACAGCAAATGTTATTTGAACAAACATAAGAGCTACCAGGCTACCCTTGAAAACAAAAAAGAAAAGGAAAACAAAAACAACACAAGATGCTATTGCTAGCCTTTGATTTGGCTGCCATTTCTTCAGTCCCTATGCATCCTTTGGTGGTTGGGCCGTCTCATGTTCTCCCAGCTTGAGACAATTAGGTTGAGGATGTAGTAGTAGACAGTCTTGACGCAAGTCATAATAAAGTTCCAGCAAGAGGAAGGCCAGTACCACGGATAGAGAAGCCGAAAGAACAGGCTTATCACATGCCTTGGATATCGGCCAACCTGTAGCGCGACATAAGTCAAAATTATTATATAACTCAACAAGTATTCACATTAATTTCAAATAGAATAGTCATGGCAACCCTCTGTGAAAATGGATCAAGATGGTTCATGAGATATCCATGTCTTGCTGCTTATTGATGAAAAGGGAAGAGAAGAAGAGAAAACAACATATGATCCTCAAAGAGAATTGCATATTCACTAAATATATGCATGGGATTCCATCAGCAGGAAATCATCGGTGACCATAACCGCAGGGCATCAACACAGTAAGTCCAGTATAACAGCATCACAGTGATCATCAGCACACATGCTTGAAATAAATCGATTGTGATGGTACATCGCGGAGGTAATATTTGAGAATTTCAAACTAACCATCGAAGCGAGTGTTCAAATAAGTTAAGGTAAGAAAATGGTACTCACAGGAAAAAGCAGATCCAGTGTATTCCAGGCTGCATGCCTTACTGCTCGTGTAGGGTAGGTAGGACCTCCAGGAGAAGTGAAGCTGTAAAGGCAAGCCTTCAGTCTAGTGCTTGTACTCATCCTCAATTCCAATCCTGGATGATTTTTTTTTTCAGAATGAAGAATTTACATTTCAGTGGAGAAACAGATGCAAAAAGTCTTGGATTACTTTTGGAATGTGTCTGAAATCTGAATAACTATACCTTGAAGGATGGTCAAGCGGGAGAGGTAATGCAGAAGCACAGGTTCAACTTTTAGTTTCTGGAGCTGAAAAACAAAGAACACACGATTTAGTTTGAGGTGAAGTTTTAGCATGTCATGAGAACACCGAAGATACTTCACTTAGAGAACAACCTGATCAGTGAGTTCAATTACATAGTAATCTGCAGGGCCACCAACCAAGAAAGAATTTGGAAAAGTAGGAAAATGCTCAAGGAAACTTGCAAGCAAGTGATCTGCACATGCAAACTTGGATCACTTCAATAGCAAACAATTGGGACCAAGAACGTGGAGAAAAATAACATACCTTGATCATAGAACAGCATAAATCTCGAGAGGAGGAGGAAAAGACCTCTACCAGCCTGTTCAAAACATCAAATTAATGACAACAAATACTATCGTACATGCTTATTAGGAAAACTCATAGCAGAGTTCAATGTCAATAGGGAGTGACCTGTACTGATATCTTACTCAGTTGATCTGGGACTAAAGCAACCTCTTCAAGGAGATACTGTTTAATAAAGCAAGCATGTTTTGATTTTACTAAAACACATACATCACAGTTTCAACGAAATTTGAGCAACTGAAACCAAATATATCCTTACATTATATAATGAGAGAAAGTGTCTTGTATTGGTTTGGATGTCAATCCTGTCAAAAAGTAATTCCATCAGATCTATGGAAGTTTCAGGCAAGAAAAAAAGGAACATCAGTGCAATAATCCCTCTGTTAGCAGAAATATTTTGCAGTAATAACTTTCTCAGTCAACAGATCAAATTTATGGGTGCCATCATACCAAAAAACATTAGTAGCTCCTTGGACAAGAGCAGAGCTGTATCTCAGTGATACTTCCTTCCCATCAAGAGGGACTTCGAATAACTGCAAATGATGAACTAGTAATTCACCAAACTGAAATAGAGATGAAGGCTAATACAATCCGGAGCATTCTTGTATGCAAGATCGAATAAGCGAATTACAGCTAGCATTTACAGAATTCTGTACTTAGCTTGTTTAACTAGCTATTTGCAGTAAATGGTGGCCAGAACAATGGGCAGTATAAGCTTGATGCTGGGATACAAATTCCCCAGTAAGATTATCTTTCCTTTTGAGATCATATATACATTACTCAAAAGTGAAAACTTAAAACCACCAAGACATTAGCTCATTCAGAGGAACATATAGCAAGGAGTAAAAGGTAAAAGGCACATTCACTGAGGTACTGGTTAAACAAATTCCTTAAACGTTACTGGAAATGGAAAACATGACTTCTTGTGAACATGATTGAGTTTGTACTTATATTGGTTATGAAAATCAACCTATTGCATGTTCTAAACATATAAGGTTGTAAGAATTAATATATACCCATCTGTGGAAAAGAAGTGCAAATATGTTCGCTGCAAAAGACTGGCTCCAGAGTTGCACTATCAAGTCAAGTATACGCCTCCCACTTTCAGGTACTTTAACAAAATGGTTAGCAAGAATCTCATAGAAGCACAACCGGGTATCTTCTCGCTCATCTACTGGAGCAATACCATCATCGTTCGTGCTTAAAATCACATCTGTTAAAAAGAAATAAGTATGTAACATAGCAAAAACACTTGTAACAAGATTGAGTAGTATTATGACCCAAACATTGATCATAAAAGGAAGTAAGGACAGAGCATGTGCAGAAAATAAGTGATATACTAATGTAACAACAAAGTTCTTACTGTCAGAAGAATCCAAGCAACCAAAACTCAATACTCTGAATCTAAAAGAAAAAATGGATTGAATTTCTATTAAAGTATAGCCTTATTGTTATGCACAATTAAGTCAAATATCATGTTTTCCTGTGATGCAGGTGTGCACAGTAACGATGGTGTATGCAGTACTTCCCTAGTTAGCAAGTGCATGCCAAAACAGCCAACTTTTTTAGACACTTCAATCTACAGATGCATATAAAATAAACAATTAAGATGGATTCCTAGAATAAAAATGAAGTAATGCCAATCTTGGTAAACGATTTTTGAAAAGCAAAATATAGTGAAAGTGACAAGGGAAAGAACTAGTTTTTAACTCTTGGCTGACATCAATGAATTGTTAGTTCTCCGCCAAAAACGTTAAACAAGGGAATGGATATAAACCATAGTACAAAGGAAGGCAATGCTTTTGCCTTCCTTCAAAAAAAAAAAAATAGTACAAAGGTTCAAACTCTAGGTAAAACTACCACAAACTTGGTGCCAATCTCATGATTACTGTCCACAAATACACACATGACGAAAAAGCATTAGTTTGATTAACATCTGAAGCTATGAAAGAAATGGCACCTCGAGCGCGGTCATCCACCTTCAATGCGATGTCAGCAAACAACTGCTGCAGCAGCTGAAGACGTTGCGAATTGGAGTTGAGAGCCTACACGCAAGCAACAACCAGTGAAACAGTGCCACCTGCCCTATCCAAACCACTCAAATTATCAGTATCGTTTCGAGATCATATAAAGTAATCTTTAATTCGGTAGAGAATTTGAGAAAAGAAAACGGGAGAACCAATTTCGATTCTGTAACTGCGGTAATTGCCATCGACTTAGCGCCATTCGAAAAGGGGAAATTCTGGGATTACGAAACAGGCCCAAATTTCTCTAACTGATACGTGGAAAACAAATCAAAATCGTATATTCTTCAACACTGAAAACTCCCAACAGAACAACAGTCTCGAAAAAAACCATTGATTCAGAAAAAACAAATCCAAACAAAAAAAAACACCTTCCTCACTCCAAACCGAAATTAATCGCAAAGAACCCAAAAAGGTGGCCAAGAAATGCTCAATAATCAACAGAAACAGGCCAGGACACCACCAGCACGAATCAACCCAACCCTCCCGGAAATCAATGAAAGAACGAGACGATGAGGGGGGGGGGGGGGGGGGGGCAGGAACCGGAATGCGGAGAGGAAGGGGCAGGATATAACCTTCTGCAGCTTGCGCTCGATCTCCAGGGAGAGCGCCTCGAGGTGGTCGGCGGCTCGGGCCCGCATCTCTCGCCGTCGCCGTCGCCGGCGGGGGGCGCTCGCCGTGGACGCTGGGTCGAGTAGCGTCGCTTCGCTTCTCCAACGATTCGTCTCGTCGTTGTTCTCTTTGCTCCTCTCCCCTCTTCTGACTCGTGGTAGGGCGGTCCAATCAGAGCCGTACACGTGGCGGGCCGGCGACGCTGGCGAGTAACCGCGAGTTCAGCGGTGGTGGCAGGATAGGCATCACCGTGATTTTGATATTGCAAATGGATGAGAAGAGATGATTCTGATTCTGGTCGCATTTGATCGGCTTTTCCAACGAAATAATTTTGCCAAATATTTTTTTTTGGACTGTTTTGTGTAGGCCGTGTTTAGTTTCTCTTTATTCCCAACTTTTTATCATATCATATCACATTAAAAATTTACATATACTTGTAAATTTTTAACTTTTTTTCCAAACTCTCAACTTTCTTTAAACTTTCAACTTTTTTTAGAAACTAAACAAACCTGTAAAGTTTGTCAAATTTTTGTGTTCCAAACATGTGTCTGATTATCAGGTTGTACTCCACAATAGTCTGTCTGTCTGCGTGTTTCAGACATGCACTGTAAGCATTTTTTTTCTTAATATTAACAGTGAATTGATTGTGTGATTCTTTGCTTTCAATAGAAGCAGGGCTGCAAAGCCTTTTCTCTAAAAAAAAATTTGATTGTGTGAAATGATTGCCGATTTCTTCTTATCCCACGCTATTGCGTGCCGTCTGCTGTGCTCCACCATTTTCGCCGCGTAGCTGACGTGTACCAACCTTTATCTTGGCTCGAGGACAGCACGACAGCTGCATGCAGCGACACGTGGAAAAAGCCTACTCCACGGGATCTTCTGCACCAGCTCGGATCGGTCACTCTTCACTCAATTCAAATCATACAATTTTTTTGCAGAATTTTTCATATAAACATGTTCACTTTTTCACATGAATCTTGTGAGAATTTTCGGTGGTTTAAAAGGAGGCCTAATAGGCGCCGTGACACGTCATGCATGCGTCATCACATCCCGGCAGGTCTCCCGTCTTTCCTCGGGTCGCTGACGGCGGTGAGCATCCCGTGGAAGACATTCTCGTCGCCGGCGGCGGCGACCGGCGTCAGCAAGTCCTGCACGATGAACTGGCAGACGGCGCCGGAGTCCGTGCTCGTCAGCCGGTGGCCCCTCCGCCGCAGGAACTCCCTCGCCTCGCCGCTGAGCTCGAACACCTCGCCGTCGACCACCGTCACGTTCTCGTACACCACCTCATTTGGCACCAGCTACATATACATACCACCATAGTGTAATTAATTAATTGCTCCTTCCGTTTTTATCATATTATAAGTTATTTTTATTTTTTTTAATTATATTATTTTGAAGTTTAACAAAATTTATATAAAAAATAGCAGTACTTTTAATTAAAAAAATATATTACTCCATCCGTTTCAGATTATAAAACTTTTTTACTTTGATCAAAATTAAATTATTTTAAGGTTGACTAAGTTTATAGACAAATAAAGTAATATTTATAATATCAAATTAGTTTCATTAAATTAATAATTAAATATATTTTCATAATAAATTTGTCTTGAGTTGAAAATGTTATTATTTTTTCTATAACTTAGTTAAATTTGATACAATTTGACTTTAAGTAGAGTTAAAATATCTTGTAACCTGAAACGGAGGGAGTATTAAAATATATTTAATGAACCTAATTTGATATTGTAGATGCATTAAATTTTTTTGTAAAATTGGTTAAACCTAAATAAATTTAATTAAAAAATCTAAGCAGCTTATACTCTGTTTAGGGAGTACTGGTTAATCAAAGAGATTAGGTCTAATCGATTAACTGATGCTTGCCTTGTGGTAGACCCTGGGATTCAGGACGGCGGCGAGCGGGTGCATGCCGACGATGAAGTGGTTCACGAACACCTGGACCACCGTCGCTATGATGAACGGCCCGCCGCTGCCGCCGACGACGCCGGCGAGCTGTCCGTCCTGCACAAAGCCACAAACAGTAATGGTGGTCGTCAGCACCGGCGACGGTGAGCTCGATCAGCGTGACAGCGTCGTCAGCCAAATTGTTAGTAACTACATGCCTTGAGAATGATCGTCGGCGTCATGGAGGAGAGCGGCCGTTTGCCCGGAGCGATGAAGTTCGCCGGCGCCGGCGGGAGGTTGTCCGGCGGCGGCGTCCCCTCCGCCGGCACGGAGAAGTCGTCCATCTGGTTGTTCACCACGATGCCCGTCGACGGCGACAGCAGGTGCGCCCCGAAGAGGTGGTTCTCCGTGGTCGTCATCGCCACCGCGTTCCGGTCGCCGTCGACGACGCACAGGTGGCTCGTCCCGTGGTCATCCAGCTGGCTCCATCTGATGATCAAGATGTAATATCATCAATCCAAATGTTTCCTGGTATGATCTCTGCAAGAACAAGAACGTGTACATTTTCTGAGATCAGTTGTACTTTGGGAAGTAGTAGCTGGGAGGGAACGTGGTGTTGTCGACGATCCTCTGCCGGAGTTTGTCGGCGAACGCCGGCGAGAGCATCTCCGAGACGTTGCCGGTGATGTTGACGTAGTCAGGGTCGCCGAGATCCATCCGGATGGCCAGCATGTGCTTGAACGCCTCGATGAACCGGTGCAAGCCAAGAAATCCTTTCAAGAACTCGAGTGATTTGTATCCGCTCAAGATGTTCAAAATCTGGAATTAATCATATTCAAGTTTGGTTTGGATGGATCGAGGAATGAACAGATGATCAGAATTTAACTGGGACGAATTTGGATACTGACCAGAGCCACCCCGACGCCGCCGCTGGACGGCGGCGGCATGCCGAGGAAGGTGTAGCCCATGGCGTCGGAGCGCATGGCGTCGCTCACCTCGACCTTGTACGCCCTCAGGTCGTCCACCTTCGCGATGCCGCCGGCGCGCCGCACGTCGGCGACGAACCTCTCGCCGACGGCGCCGCCGTAGAACGCCTCGACGCCGCCGCTGGCGATGGCCTCGAGCGTGTCGGCGAGCGCCGGGTTGCGGCACACCTCGCCGGCGGCGAGGATCCTCCCCTCCGGCGCCAGCACGGCGCGGAGGCCCGGGTCCGCGAGCACGTCGCGCTCCGTCTTCTTGAGCGCGATCTCGAGGTACGGCACCACCGTGAAGCCGTCGCGCGCCAGCTTGATCGCCGGCGCGAAGAGGTCCTTCCACGGCAGCCTGCCGTAGCGGGACCACGCGGCGTGGAGGCCGGCGAGCTCGCCGGGGATGCCCATGGCGAGCGCGCCCTTGTACTTGGAGGTCGGGTTGCCCGCGTACATGTCCTGTCAGACACAAAAACCACCATTTCAGCTTGTCATGTTTGGGAATTCAAATGTAACAAATTCATATATATTTTGAATTTTGATTCGAGCATCCTTTTTCGGATGCCTCTCACTTCGATCGAATTAAGAACATAATCTACCTTTATTTGGACCAGCAAACTCAGCTAGCAGCAAGTTTACACAATTGAGAAACGTCCAGAGGTTTTCCGGCTAGCTCTACAAGGTGGTAGGCTAAATAACCTAGATTCGAAGCCTCACCCCTTTTAATTATTTGATATTAGATCATTCCCTAATATTCGCGTCTTTTTTCTTAGCAAGTTTACACAAGCAAATTCAGTGTAACCATAAGAACTGCCCAAATAATGGCAAATTCAGATGCTCTCAGATTTTGCTTCATAATGCTATCGATAGAATTAGCACTTGCAACGCGCGCATGGTGCATTATCAAAAAATGTTTTGCTTCATAAACACTTGCAAATGTGCTATCGACAAAATGCGTTGTTATTGTGGAACTGATCTGTTCAGTTCTTTTAATGCAAATTCTCACTTGAAAGAAATTTCCTAATGGACAATTTCAGCTCTGGTTCACACAAATCCCCCAAGGTGTTGCTATCTCTGTTTCAAATTACTGTTCCAGGTTTGTTCTAAGTTAAACATGTTTATCCTTAACCATTAATTTTTAAGAATCCGTGAAAGTTAACAAATAACAATATATGAATTCTATATTATAAAAATATTCTTATGGTGAATCCAAAAATATAAATTTTTGATGTTTAGCTACACAACTTTATATAAATTTATAGTCAATGATTAAAGTGTTTAACTTAGAACAAATTTAAAATGACAAATAATTTGAAACGGGAAGAGTATATAGTTAATGTTATGCAAGTTGTTGTACCGAATTACACCAATTTTACAAGATCATACATCATGAGCACAACTATTTTCTTTAAGTAATTTCAGATATTTTTTCCCAAATCTATTGGTTTCCTATCCTTTTAGCTATGGTTTTCAAAAGAAGAAAAAACATCATACATGGTTTCCTCGTAAAACTACAGCTTTGTATTAGTAACATGATCATTGCTATATATCAAAGGTGCTATGTCCCTCCAAGGCTCCAAAAGTCCAAATAATGACAGGGACCATAGAAAGTACTAAACAATGGAGTTGATGAACCATATTATAACAAACTATACACAAATGGCGACCTTATACTGTTATATATACCGAAAACATTTCCCGGAGATATGCTAGTTCTAATGGGCGATCGATCACCCTACCTACCTAGTAGCGATCAGGTAGCCCCCTCCACCTGGTTTCCTTTTTTGGCACCGCATTATTTTCCTATTTTAATAAATTTATGCATCTAAAGTTTATACATCTCAAGTTTACACATCTAAAGTTTAGAGACCAAAAGTTTATAAGTCAAAAGTTTATATATCCGATTCAAATTTGAATTTGAATTCAAATATTTTTTATATATATAGTATTTCTATACATATAAAGTTTATATACCTAAAGTTTATAGAACTAAAGTTTATAAGTCAAAAATTTATATATCTGATTCAAATTTGAATTTAAATTCAAATATTTTTCATATATAGTATTTCTATACATTTAAAGTTTATACACCTAAAGTTTATAGACCTAAAGTTTATATACCCGATTCAAATTTGAATTTGAATTCAAATATTTTCTATATATATAGTATTTATATACATATAAAGTTTATACACCTAAAGTTTATAGATCCAAAGTTTATAAGTCAAAAGTTTACATGCCCAATTCAAATTTGAATTTAAATTCAATTTATATATATATATATATATATATATATATATATAGAGAGAGAGAGAGAGAGAGTATTTCTATACATAAATTGTTCTAACTTTTGTTTTTTAAAAAAAATTGTGTGGTGTACTTTGGTAGAAAGAGAAGAAAGGGAGGAGGAAGGGGGGGAGAGGAGGGAGGAGTACATAGTATAGGAGAGAGGCAGGGGGGTGATCGCTGGGCGGATGGAGGAGCGATCACCCGCCTAATAGGAATTACCAACGCGTGAAACATGTGAGAAGAAGAAAATTATAAATCTAGATCGAATCTGGACAAATTTCATCTTTTTTATTCAGTGTGAACAACTGAACCCATATTTTATTATCTTAAAGAAACTGAACTCATTTTCCCAAACTGGCAACTGCAGTATGGTAATCGCGAAGTGCAGAAAAACTATAAAGACCACCTTGAAGCAACCAATGAATTAGCCCATGCTGATTGCACGTGTGAAATAGAGAGTCTTACAGAAATGGACATTTTCTGAAGCGATCTACAATTATTTCAATAATATAATCAATGTCCATTTCTGAATAGTTCTGAAGACTGAAGCAGAGTTGTAGCTTGAATAATTCTGAATTACAAAATCACAGCTTGATTAAAAAAAGAGTAAAGTGTATTAGCGATTCTTAAACTTGTAGGGTTGTGTTATATAGGTTCCTAAACTCTCAAAATGCATATTCAGGTCCTAGAATTTATCAAAGTGTATCATATAGGTCCCAAATCGGCACATCCCCTCTAAGATCCTACGTGATGCTGATGTGGCATGCCACATGGACGTGACGTGTCATTTTCATTTTCTTTTCTTCTTTTCTTTTTCTTTTTCTTTTTCTTCGTTTTCTTCTCATTCTTCTTTTTTTCCTTTCTTCTGCTCGGGTCACAGAGAAAGGAGAAGAAAGGGAAAAAAAGAGAAGAAAAAAAAGAAAAGTTTTAAATGTGACCCATTTGTCAGTCAAAATGATGTCACGTCATTCCGTGTGACATATCACGTCAACGCCATGTAAGATCCTGAAGGGGTTGTGGCGATTTGAGGCCTAAATGACACCCTGTAATAAGTTCTGTAATTTGGATATGCATTTTAAGAGTTTAGGGACTTAGATGACACACAACTACAAATTTAACATACACTTTACTCTAAAAAAAAAAAGGACTACCTACTAAGCGACCTACAATGTGTTGTTTTTGTTTAATGTGGTTTTAGGATCATGGACCACGGGGTAGTCGACAATGCACATCGCACGCTTGTACAGTGGCATGCCTCTCCATGAATGGAATGGAATTTGCAATGAGCCAAAAAAAAAAATCAAAGTCAAATGCCAATCATGTTTCTAGATATGGTGACTTACATGCTGTTGCTAAACTAAATGAAGCGGGGTTCAATTTAGGTTGTGTTATTTTGTGCAAGTCACCAACTTCTTATTTATCGTTTTTAAAAAAATATATAAAAAAATTGCTTTACAAAATCATACTAATCATTTTTAAGCTCTTTATAGCTAATACATAATAAATTATAGGCTAAAATGTTTCATCGTTTTGCGTGTCATACCTCCAAACACAGCCTTAATAGCTGTCAAATGCCATCACAAAATAAACAAGTTACGGAGACAACCTTTCTAAATGAAAAAAACAATAGCTCTATTCAGAAAAAGAAATAATGCAGTGGCTACTGAGGCGAAGAAGAAAGAAAAGAAGGAAGAAGATGAAAACATGAGAGAACGATTCTAACTTTGTAAAATTTTAGTGATATTCAGCTGATATTATGAATAGTAATATTTTTTAAAAAAAATTGGTAAACTTGTAATAACATGATCCAATTAACCCCTTTTTGAAAGTTGCAATGTAGACATTTCGAATTCTTTTTTCAAAATTTACTGATAGGGATACTTCGAATTGCTGATGTGAAATTTTTCTTGCTGTTCTTTTACAGCCCCGTCTTTTCACTTATGCTTATCAACCAAAATTTAAAATTTCAACCTTAAATTTAGAGTTGATTTTGGAGTTTTCTCATCAAAGTTTATTTTACAGCATTTGCTTTTAGATCACTAAGAACACGTATATAAAAGTTTTATTCATAAATTATTTTTCGTTTGTAAATATACCGTTTCACTTATTCCGGATGGGGCCGTTAGTTGGTGAGCAGAATCACGTGCCTATCATTTGCGTAGGCAGGTGTGGCCCACCAGACAGTGACATGCGCCAGACCACCGAATCGCTTTAAATCCCTAATATTATAAGAGCAGGTATAGATATATTTTAATTTTAATGAAATAAAAGGTGAAAAAAAAGAGCAGCGGGTTATAGATCTGTAGCCAGCTGCAGTACAGACTCCAAGAGATAGTGGGTGTATGATAGGTGAGACCGTATATTAATAGTATATAAAGAAACTATTGTATAAATTGGCTATTAGACTATAATATAATATATACATATACATATATATATATATATACATACATACATATATATATATATATACATACATATATATATATATATATATATATATATATATATATATATTGGAGCTAGTAGTGAGCTGTACTATTCAACTTGCTCTAACGGAGGTCTCGTTGCCGGCCACGTGGCGCGTGGCCACACACGTCATCCGCTCAAAATTTCCGGGAAAAAGTTTTTTTTTTTTGTTTTTACTGCGTGCTCTAGTTGGTGACGAGTAGTAACGGGTAACGCACTCACCGGCGTGGCCGCGGCCGGCGCGGTCTCGCGGGCGTCGAAGGCGACGGCGTCGCCGGAGGCGGCGTCCCTGGCGACGATGAACGCGCCGCCGCCGACGCCGCTCGACATCGGGTGCACCACGCCGAGGCAGAGCGTCGCCGCCACGGCCGCGTCCACCGCGTGCCCGCCGGCGCGCAGCGCCGCGGCGCCCACCTCCGAGCACCGCCCGTCGTCCGTCGCCACCGCGCCCACCCCGGCCTCCACCTCGTGCGGGCTCAGTCTCACACCCCCGCCGCCGCCGGACACCACCCTGCTCCGATCATCGCCGCCCGAGCTCAGGTGCAGCACGACGCACGCCGCCAGGGCGAGCAGCGCCGCGGCGGCGATGGCGAGCGCGGTGCACGGACGGCGGCGCCGACTGTCCGGAGAAGAAACCGCGCCGCCGCCGAGGAGAGGGTTCTCTAGGCCGCCTCGCGCGGCCATGGCCGCCGGATCGCCGGAGATTGTAGTGGCGATCGGCAGGTAGGTCGTCAGGAAGGGGAGGGATTCTTGGATGGCGAGAGCTTGTCACACTGTGCGTTTGTTGGCTTGTCAATGAGACGCTTGATTTTTATAATGATCGTGTGTCTAACTGGGCAATGATTCTACAGATCCTATTGTACTTGATATTTTCACTATTTTCTTAATTATACTCCCTTCGTACAAAAAGAAAATATATAACAGTTATAGAGCGGGACACATCGGTAGGGCTGTCAAAAAAGCTCGAGACTCGCGAGCTGCTCGAGCTCGGCTTGTCCTAGGCTCGATTCGAGCTCAGCTCGAGCTCCTGACGAGCCGAGCCCTAGCCTCTCTATAAGCTCGCGAGCTTTGTCGAGCCGAGCTTGAGCTTCCAACGAGCTTAGTAATATATGATTTTTGTTATTATTTAATAAATTAGGAGATCAAATATGTTATTTGTATGGCTTATATTGACATCATATATTTATTTTATTCTTTTTTCCTCTTATATTAATATGATGAACTAAAAATTAATTATATTTTTAAAGATTATCTTTCAAATATATGTTGTTTTACTTAAAAATCAAGCTCGGCAGTCGAGCTCGAGCCGAGCCTATCAGAAAGCTTGAACATTTTATAGGCTCGGCTCGAGCTTGTATCGAGCTCGAGCCTAGGCAGACAAGCTCGCTCGAGCTCGGCTCGTTGACAACCCTACACATCGGTATTAAAAAAGTGAGTGGATATTGAGGAAAAGTTATGATTCGTGAGGAGAAAAAAATATAGGTAGAGATAAAATGGAGAATACTCCATTTTGGGACAAGTTGAGAAGTGATAGAAATAGCTTTAGAGCTAATCAAATGACTTGTGACTTGTGATTTGGTTAAGATGGGAGAATAGGTGGAAAATAGTTTTATTTTAGGATAAGTTTAAGTGATAGAAATAGTTTTATTTTAGAACAGAGAGATCTAATCAAATGAAAATTCAGAATTTGAATGTTTGACGCAATTGTACTGATTCAATGGCGTGATTCTAACTCATCAAAAGCAATAACCCATCAGATTTTTTTTTAAAATAATATTTCGATTTAGTGCTACTTGTTGTTGGGATATCACTTTCCAAATTAAGCCGCAGGAATTACCTTTTTCTTGTAAGTAAAGAAGAAACAGAGTACACAGCAGATTGACAGGTCTACAGATGTGTATACTATTGTCAGATTTATGAGATCACAAAATTTAAATTCTGACAGTTGATCTTCTTAAGAGTGACAAAATATCAGATAATTTTTTTTGCAAGAAAGAAATAGAGAAAATAATCTGCACCTGCAAAGAATATTATGGTGTGGACAGTGTGGCAAGCAGTGGACTGCGTAGCCGCAGCGGCAGCTTGATCACAGAATCAGCTGGGAAAACAACCATTGGCAGAATCAGGAGCTCTGATCTTTCAGAGTTGTGACAAACTGATTTTTTTTAAAAAAAAATTGATCACGTCATTATAAATTTTGCAATTTTACAATTTGGCATTACTATTTGCCTATATACATGTTGAAATTGAAAAATATGACACTAACATTGAAAACTGAAATATCCCTTGGCTGTATTTTTCAATTTTTGGGACCAAAATACCCAATCTTCTCCGTTCATCCTCTCATGTACCTCCAGTCATCTTCTCCACCAAACCACCCATGGCTGCCCCGTGCTCGAGCGCCACAGCCGGCCGTTCCACTGCTGTACAAATTTTGAAGAATTTCCATATAAACTTGTTCAGCTTTCACATGAATCGTGTAAGAATTTCGGCTGTCTAAACGGGGGCCTAATCGATGCCGTGGCGCGCCATGCATGCGCCATCACATTCCGGCAGGTCTGCCGCCTTTCCTCGGGTCGCTGACGGCGGTGAGCATCCCGTGGAAGACGTTCCCGCCGCCGTGCTGCCGACGGTCGGCGGCCGAGCCGACCGGCGCCAGCAAGTCCTGCACGATGAACTGGCAGACGGCGCCGGAGCCCGTGCTCCTCAGCCGGTGGCCCCTCCGCCGCAGGAACTCCCTCGCCTCGCCGCTGAGCTCGATCACCTCGCCGCCGACCACCGTCTCGTTCTCGTACACCACCACGTTCGGCACCAGCTGCATTATATATACCACCGACCAGACAGTAATTATGAGATTGATTTTTGTGCATGTCCGTTCGAAAAGTTATAAAAAAATTTAAAAGAATTTGTCAAGATAGATCAATATACAATATATCTTTTCACAAATATGTGAATTAAAATTCGACATATACAATTCGAAAAAAATAAAAATAATTACCATAATGTGTTCTATTTATAGTCAAATTTGTTATTTTTTTTTAATTGTATAAGTTAAATTTGAATTTGTATTATTTGTGAGGTGACATATTATATAACGATCTATTTCTACTAATTTTTTTAAATTTTTTTGATAACTTTTTAAAGCGACATGTAAAAGTGAGAGATATCCTAATTGAGTTTCCCAGTAATTAATTAATTGCTGTTTATTAATCGACGAGATTAAGGTAATTAATTGATGCATGCGTGCTTGCCTTGTGGTAGACTCTGGGATGCTGGACGGCGGCGAGCGGGTGCATGCCGACGATGAAATGGTTCACGAACACCTGGGCCGCCGTCGCGATGATGTTCGTCCCGCCACTGCCGCCGACTACTCCGGCGAGCTGTCCGTTCTGCACAGATAGCACTGCAGTGGTCAGCATCGGCGAGCTCGTCAGCGTCAGCGAAATGGTTAGTAGTTACTACTATATGCTTGCCTTTAGTATGATCGTCGGCGTCATGGAGGAGAGAGGCCGTTTTCCCGGAGCGATGAAGTTCGCCGGCGCCGGCGGGAGGTGGTCCGGCGTCCGCTCCGCCGGCACGGAGAAGTCGTCCATCTCGTTGTTCAGCACGATGCCCGTCGACGGCGACAGCACGTGCGCCCCGAAGTAAGAGTTCACCGTCGTCGTCATCGCCACCGCGTTCCGGTCGCCGTCGACGACGCAGAGGTGGCTCGTCCCGTGGTCATTCAGCTGGCTCCATCTGATCACACAAAAACCAAAATCTCATCACTAAAACTGCTCTAGCTAACTTCTGAAAGAAACGTTCATTTCTGAGATGAGAATTACTTTGGGAAGTAGTAACTGGGAGGGAACGTAGTGTTGTCGACGATCCGCTGCCGGATTTTGTCGGCGAACGCCGGCGAGAGCATCTGGGAGACGTTGCCGGCGACGTTGACGTAGTCAGGGTCGCCGAGAGCCATCCTGATGGCCAGCATGTGCTTCAGCGCCTCGATGAACCGGTGCACGCCAAGAAACCCTTTCAAGAACTCGAGCGATTTGTATCCATCCAAGATGTTCAAAACCTGCGATTAATCATGTCAAGTTTGATATGGATCGATCGAGGGATGAACAAATAATCGAAATTGACTGGGAATTTGATACTGACCAGAGCCATTCCGACTGTGCCGCTGGAAGGCGGCGGCATGCCGAGGAAAGTGTATCCCATGGCGTCGGCGCGCATGGCGTCGCTCACCTCGACCTTGTACGCCCTCAGGTCGTCCACCGTCGCGATGCCCCCGGCGCGCCGCACGTCGGCGACGAACCTCTCGCCGATGGCGCCGCCGTAGAACGCCTCGACGCCGCCGCTGGCGACGGCCTCAAGCGTGTCCGCGAGCGCCGGGTTGCGGCACACCTCGCCGGCGGCGAGGATCCTCCCCTGCGGCGCGAACACGGCGCGGAGGCCCGGGTCGGCGAGCACGTCCCGCTCCGCCTCCTTGAGCGCGCCGGCGACGGGCGGCACCACCGTGAAGCCGTCCCGCGCTAGCTTGATCGCCGGCGCGAAGAGGTCCTTCCACGGCAGCCTGCCGTAGCGGGACCACGCGGCGTGGAGGCCGGCGAGCTCGCCGGGGACGCCCATGGCGAGCGCGCCCTTGTACTTGGAGGTCGGGTTGCCCGCGTACATGTCCTGTCAGACACAAAAACCACCATTTCAGCATGTCATTTTGGGAAATCAAATGTAACAATTTCCTATTTTTGAATTTTGGCTCGAACATCCTTTTTGAGTGCCTCTCAGTTTGATCGAATTAAGAACATAATTTATCTTAAATTTTGAGTTTTAATGCTGAAATTTGGAGTCCATGGTCATGCGAATTTTCACCAACTTCAGATGGAGATTTACAAATAGAATTGAATAAAATGTATTTCTCCTTTTACTACTATATTGGAGTGTTAGACTTTTGTCTAATCATAGTTAGCTTCTATGAGCTCAATGTTGAGTGAACAATATTTGTAATAATTGGTTGTAGCATCTTTTGAAGTAACGACCAGATGTTATTTTCATTATCTAAAAAAATATGTATGAGCATAATTAAAATTTAATTTTCCACTTTTTAATTATGCTCTTCACAAAAAACATCATACTTGAAAATAGAAAGGTCTAAGGTTGCATTTGTATGTGTAACTTGCTTGAGCTTTTCACCTGTACGTAAAACTGAGAAGAGGAATTAGAGTATAATTAATTAAGTATTAATTATTAAAAAAAGTAGAGAGTTGATTTTTTTTATTTTTTAAGAAACTTTGATGTATAAAGTTTTCAAAAAACACATTGTTTAGCCTGTTTAGCAGTTCAGGAAATGCACCAACGAAAAATAAGAAAGTTGTTGTATAGAGTTGCTCAAAAGAACGCAACATAAATAATGAAGATGAACCATACCATACTAAACTATTTGTATGAAATTGTGGCGATGGAATCTACACTGTTACACCATAAACATTTCCCTACATGCCAACCAACTCGTGAAGCATGTGAGGAGATGAAAATGACAAATCTAGATCGAGTCTGAACAAATTCTGTCTTTTTTATTCAACCCGAACAACTGAACCTGTATTTTATTATTATCTAAAAAATCTGAACCTTTCTTCCCAACTGGCAACCGCAATGGGGTAACTGGTAGGAGTATCGCAAAGTGCAGAAAAAAAAAAGACCAATGTTGAAGCAACCAAATCAATTAGACCATGCTGATTGCCCATGTGAAACACAGTGTCTTACAGAAAATGACCATTTTTTTGGGATCAGATCACGGATCATGCTGTAGTTGATAATGCAATGCACATTGCACACTTGCACAGAGGCATGCCTCTCAGTGAAATGAATTTGCAATGAGCTAAAAAAAACTCAAAGTCAAATGCTGATTATGTCTTCTAGCTATGGTGACGTTTTACACGAGACATGCCGTTCGCTAAACAAAATGAAACAATGTGGTGTAATACGGAAATATTAGGGAGGGTCAGCTTAGATACCGAGTGAACCATAGTTAATCAGGAGTAAAAAAGATAAGTACAGTGGTTTTTGTGCAAACTGCAATATAAAGCCATTCGGAAAAGAACAGGATTGCTGATTGGACTTGGAGAGGAACGTCAGGTGCCTATCATTTGCGTAAGCAAGCGTGGCCCACCAGACAGTGACCTGTACCCAACCAGCGCATCGCACTAGGCCGTGGGCCCCACATGTCATGCACTCAGGATTGCAGTAAAAAAAGTTTTGCTTTTTCTTTTTTTTTTTAATTTTTACTGCGGCGCTCTAGTTGGTGACGAGGAGTAACGTACTCACCGGCGTGGCCGCGGCCGGCGCGGTCTCGCGGGCGTCGAAGGCGACGGCGTCGCCGGAGGCGGCGTCCCTGGTGACGATGAACGCGCCGCCGCCGACGCCGCTCGACATCGGGTGCACCACGCCGAGGCAGAGCGCCGCCGCCACGGCCGCGTCCGCCGCGTGCCCGCCGGCGCGCAGCGCCGCGGCGCCCACCTCCGAGCACCTCCCGTCGTCCGCCGCCACCGCGCCCACCCCGGCCTCCACCTCGTGCGGGCTCAGCCCCACGCCCCCGCCGCCGCCGCCGGACACCACCCTGCTCCGATCACCGCCTTGCTCCGCTCCCCCCGAGCTCAGGAGCAGCAGCACGACGCACGCCACGGCGAGCAGCGCCACGGCGATGGCGAGCGCGGTCCACGGGCGGCGGCGCCGACTGCCCTGAGAAGAAACCGGGCCGCCGCCGAGGAGGGGGTTCTCCAGGCCGCCGCGCGCGGCCATGGCTGGGTAGCTGCCGCCGGATAGCCGGAGATCCTGGTGGGGATTCCAAGGTAGGACAGAGAGGGGAGGGATTTCTTGGATAGCGACTTGGCGAGAGCTTGTCGCACTGTGGTGTTGGGTGGCTTGTGTGCTTGAGACACTTGGATATTTATATTTAGTGACTGTCTGTCCAGCTGGCCAATGATTCTATAGAGCTTGTTCTAACTTGGATTGTTTCTAGTACTATATTTTTAACGACTCAAAGCTGGAGTAGTAATTACTTATCAGATGGAAATTCAGAAGTTGAATGCTTGACGCAACTGTACTGATTGGATGGCAAGAGTAATTCTAACACATTAGAGTGAATCTGGACATACCTTACGTTCAGATTGGTTTATTTTAGAACGGAGGGACTATGGATAAAAAAAAATTTGAACTCTGACCATTAATCTGCTTGAGTGTCAAAACATCAAGTTCTCAAATGTGTACTACTAGTATTATTTTTGTTGCAAGGAAGAAACAGAGAAAAGAATATGCAGATGCAAAGAATATTGTGGCGTGGTGTGTGTGAGATGGTGCAGCAACCATTGGCAGAATCAGGAAAACAGATTCTTTCAGAGTTGTGACGGACTGATATTTATTACGTTTATTTATGCTTAGAAAACCCAGCATCTGAATATCTGATAAGCACCTTGGATCTCCGTCTGGCTATCACTATTTTAGCCTTTAATTTCATTTCCCTATTTTTTAATAAATGAAACTTTTATTGATCTCAAACAGTTCTCCGCAAAAAAATATTAAAGGCTAAAATATACTACCCATTACAAAATATAGCAACTTTTAGCTATAAATATACCTCATCCCACAATATAATAATTTTTAGCTACGAATTAGACATGCCATTTGAGCGGAGCGACCAACCAACTTGGCGAGGCGAGTGAGACGACCAGAGTCGGTGTAATCGCGTCTCAGCAATTTGTCGCTGTCAAGTGTCAACTACTCCGGTCCAGGGGCATGACTTGTTGGTAATCCATGCGTCTCAGCTTCTCTTTGCTGCACCTTCTGTCATTTTCTAATTAAACGGTTGATATGTGTTATTCCTTAATTTATGGGTTAGTTATTACTAACATAGTACGGAGTACTCCGTAAGTAGTACTAGTATTTATGGTTTTTGCGAATTGCAAGCAGATTTCTGGATTTTTCACATTTTGGTCCTTTTAAAAAACTTATTTCGCAAATAGACCCCTAAAAAAACTTATTCTAAAAATGGTCCTTTTTAGGCGCCAGAATAGCTGGCTCCCCCCCCCCCGGCCGAAATTTTTTATTTTTGTTTTATTTGTTTGATATTTTTTTCACGCTTAGGGACACACAAAAACCAACCATAGAAAAATTGAACTCAAATGGACGTAATATGTGACCTGTAGAATTTTTCCACTCCTCTCCTCTCTCTCCAAACCAGTGCAAAGGAGAGATGTGCAACTTTTTTATTTTTATTTTTATTTTTTGATATTTTTTTCACACTTAGGAACTCACAGGAATCAACCATGTAAAAAATAAACTCAAACGGACGAAATATGTGGCATGTGGAATTTTCCAAAGTTCTACCGAAAAACTTCTCCTCGAAAACACAATCTTACAAGCGGAATTTGGAGGTTTTAATATCGCCGAACCCGGCAAAGCGGGGAGAATCGGATGTAATATTTTCTGTAGATGTCCGTGCATATATTATTTGCCTGATTCCGAGTTCGTATGAGAAAGTTACGCCTATTTTAATAGATGACATATTTTGTCCGTTTCGATAGAGTTTTGGAAAATTCTACAAGTCACATATTTTGTCCGTTTGAGTTTATTTTTTATACGGTTGGTTCCTATGTTCTCCTAAGTGTGAAAAAAATATCAAAAAAATGAAATAAAAATAAAAAAAATTGCATCTTTATGTACTGTTTAACTTATATATGTCATTTCATGTGGTTATATTTTGAATTAGATTAAGTAATTTCATATAGTGGTAGAGTGTATTATGTTTAACATGCTGATCAAAGGGTTTTACTAAAGGAATTATGGTCTAATTTTAGTGAAGGTGCAAAGTAGACTAAGTGGTATGCTAGCTATTTTCAGACTTAGTTAAGTGGTAGTTCGAGTTTAAATTTTTTTTGTGGTTGGTTGTATCGTGATCCTAAGTGTGAAAAAACATCCGAAAAAATAAAATAAAAATGACACCGTTGCAACTCCATACAGAGAAACAGGAATGGAGGCGGCGGCGCCAGCATGGCTGGCGCCCTCCTCCTGCCACGTCGGTTCGCGTGCACCACGGTGGCAGGAGGACGGCGCCAGCCTCTCTGGCGCCGTCCCGTTGGATGACGGCGCCAGCCACTCTGGCGCCCAAAAAAGGACCATTTCTGGGATAAGTTTTTTCAGGGGTCTATTTGCGAAATAAGTTTTTTAAAAGGACCAAAATGTGAAAAATCCAGAGCAGATTTCCAGTGAACGACACCATGGTTTTTGTAACTTTTTTTTCCTTCTGCATATATACGTAGGTTACACGAAGGATTTGCGACACAGAACTCAAATTCTGCGTGAAAATTGCGTGCCAAACTTCTAGTTTTTGTTTGTTCCTTTCTGTATCAGACTATGTTCGTTTTGGGCTTGTTACCAAGCTGGGTAATGATTAATGAAAGTTGCCTGTTGTCAAAATTAAAAAAAATGCGTGCCAAAGCAACGGTGTGGAATTGATCAATCGTGCACACAAAGTTTGCCTCAAATGTGAAAAGTGCAAACAAAGTATGGCACAGACATCTCAGGCACAATAATTGTAGCCAGCAGATTCGACAAGCTGCAGTTGAGCTAATGATATATTGTCTCCAACCAAACCAAACACCTCTTCATCGAATTATTAGGATTTGGCCTTATTAGTATAATTGCTCAGAATCACAGAAATTGGCTCAAAGATTTAAAGTAGACGTAAGTTCAGCAATGTATTTTTTTTTCCTCACCTTTTCTAGGCGACTGGATTGTTCTAACTTCTGCAATATACTCCGCAAAGAATGTTATTAGGTTACAAGAGGGAAATAAATGCATGTAGAGCATGAATTATGCAATTCCTGCGTGAGTTTGGTACCCACATTGCAGAGTAGCACAAGAATAATTTGTGTACTACTCTTATGTTGTAGCACATACTCAAGCCATGCCTATCCTCTCAAACCTATTGTAGTGTACTGAACTATTTTCATCTTGCTGTGTGCCAGCAAAACACCTGTACCACTGGAATGTTTCGTGTCTGTCCTGCACCTGAAGATTAGCCTTCCCAACTGATCATCAAAATTGTGTCCGAGATCAACTACACAACCGTACTGGCCAACTGAATTAACCTGTATTTGTAAATGTACATGACATTAACACCAATTGATCAAGGACATATGATAAGATAGAGTATAAACCTTTCTTTTTTGCCACTTAAAAAACATGAACTCCAGAATTCAAATAAGCTAGTGAGCTTCTTTATAAAAAGGTGTTTGTGTGTTCATAGTACTTACCAGTAATGACAAAAATGAAATCCAATCAGGTTCTGTCACACCTACTGAACCATGCGCTTCCTCTTTGATCTTTTGCCCTTCTTTCCGGAGTAATTTGGAAGTTTCTTGTTGCTACTGGAATTGTATCTTTCCTCAGGTCCTCCCTGCTGTCCGTTTTACATCAGTAATTGAAATTTGTTATGATTCACACGGACTATTTTAAGGGGAATAGTGATTTTCTAAGATGACTAGCTTGAACTGTCTACTACACAGTGCTCCAGCAGGACAAATGAATGGTAAAAAAAGATTGAGTACCTCTTCAGTAGTCTCATCATCCGACTCTTCATCCTCTGATGTTGAGGCTGAAAGATCTGAATCTCCTGCAGCAAGCGCTTTGTTGCCTTTTCTCTTGCTCTCCTCTTCTTTCAGCTGTTTAAATCTATTCAAGATATTTTTGTAAAAATCAAAACCAGAATATAATAGGGTTAAAAGCCATGTGAGGTTCAAAAGCACCTTTCACCAGGTTGGGCTGGTTGAGCACTCGTACGTTTTGCTCGTCCTGCAGTAATTATCCCACTACCCCCCTGATTGACAACAGGCTTTGCTCCTCCCAGTTTCCGTAACCAAACTTGCTGGGCTGTGCTGAGGATATTATTTGTGAACCTGATAGCAAACATGGAGTCAATACACATATTGGATTTGATCAATTGCAAGAAGTTAATGAGCAGTGGAGGAGTCCCACAATCTCTATGAGGCATAGCACTATAGCATGGAACATGACTGAAACACTCATACAACTAATAGCAAATGCACATACCAATAAATGGACAACCCTGACGGCACTGACAAAGAGAACCACCCTATCATAAATGGAAGAAATTTCAAAACAAGCAGTGTGTTCTTCTGCGATGGATCATCAGTCTGCAGAAAAAAAGGATCAAATTGCCAGCCACTCATAGCTTGTATAGTGGCAATATGACAGATGATATAGTAATTTAGAGCACCGCTCGTCTGCTCACCTGGGGTGGCTTCATGATTTCCATAGAGACAAACTGAGAAGCAACAAGTAGCACAGGCAACACAAGATAACATATCGTGTCATGCCAGCCTAATGGAGGATGGCCATCCTGCACAATTCATTTAAGTTGTAAGTATGATTTACCATCTCAATATTATGCAAGTACATGAGTAATATGCTGTTTTACTATCATGTCTCTACAGGACTATAAATTGGTATGCCACGCCATTTATTTCAACCAGAGTTCTAAATAATAGGCAACAAAATGCGAGGTGCAAATAGCTAAGCTTCTTGTTGCTTGATTGCTTAAATGACTATGGGCAGAAACGTGACACTAATCTAACTTGACGGGTATGTCAAAGTCAAATAAGGGGGGAAAATGAGGTTAAATTCGCTCAAGTGCACTATAAACCTGATTTTCCTAGATCAGCAATGAAATTGTTGATATATGTTAACGTGTGATCAATTTTATTACCACAAAAGGCAAGAGCCAAGAAATGCCAGCACCACTTTGCCGAGCAGCAATTGTTGTAGGGCCTCCCAAAGATGGAATCCAGAAAAATCCTTCTGTCAGTAATCCCTTCAGAGAAATATAAGCCACTTAGAACAAAATCCTCTTAATGAAGCAAATATTAGGAAGCAGGATTTGAGTTTTACCTCGTTTGCTACATTTGAAAGGGCTTGGTAGAGGCCAATCCAGACAGGTATTGTTGCCAAAGTTGGAAAACATCCTGGAAGAGAAACCATAATATCAAAACACTATATCACAAAAGCAATCTCACTTAAAACTTTAAAAAGCCAACAATTGGTTTTGCAAGCACATGATGGCAATAGATGCATTATGTCGAGAAATAGAAAATATGATCAACTAATAAATAACAAACTCATACAAAAAAGATGCAATGGAACAATTCAACTATCAAAGTTAATAGGCTAAAGAATGGAGAAGTAAGCGACCTGCCAGAGGGTTGACTCCAGCTTGCTTGTATAACCGAGCAGTCTCAAGCTGTATCCTTTCCTAATAAGAGTTATGTAGGAGTGATAGATCAGAAATGCCCAAAGATATGTGCTTGAAAATATAAAACACAACAGTGAAATAAGAACATTTTTTGGGAAGATAGTTCTACCTTCTATCGTTAAAATATGCAAAACATATATCCAGAAACAAACCTCAGTGTTCCTACTTTAATATCCATGGCGTGCGTAAAAGATAAACAAAACAAACCTGATTTCCTGCATATCTCTGTTGAATTGCTTTGATCTGTGGCTGTAAATTCTGCATAGCCAGAGTTGATTCGACCTAAAAAAAGAGAGGAAAAACAGCACAACTCTCAACCCACCATATCCATGTTACTCATTAATTAAAAAATAGACCAGATTTTATCATTTACCTGTTGTTTCGTTAAAGGTAATGTTGCAGCCTTCACAATAACAGTGAGAAGAATGATGGCGAATCCATAAGAGTACGGCACATGAACAGCTGACAGGCCATCCTTCAGCACCTGTATGGTGATACTCACATAGTATCAGCATTCCGGAGCCGATGAATGCTATGCAATAAAATCCTAACAGTTCTTGAATTGTAACATTTCATATCAAAACCTGTGGATAGGAAAATGCTAAACAATGCACGCCTGGTCATAACTAGATATAAGTTACTTAAAAATAACCATGCCGGGTTGCCGTCTGCTCAATGTTTAGTAAGTTTCAGAGCATGGAGGCGTCATAATTAAGTGCATGCACATCTACTCCTGCACTCTCCACGAACTTACATGACTCCAAATCTCCAATTCCCCAACCAATTCACCAGACCAACTTTTGCAACTCAGGGATATATCCATTAACCAATCTTAGCAATCCTGAACCTGAACTCCTAAAGTGACTTGGATTCCTATAGGTTTGGGAGAAGACGGCGGCGCTTACCTTAAGCACGACCTCCAAGGCCTCGGAGATGAACCCGAACCACCCCCCGTTCTTCTGCGCCACCGACGCCGCCGCTTCACCGCCACCACCACCGCCACCCCCTCCTCCTCCCGCCGCCGCGTCCGCCGCGACGACAGCGGCGTCGGCGAGCGTGTAGAGCGCCGCCTCGGCGCGCTCCAGCGCGGCGTGGAGGTCGAGCCCCGCGATCGAGTCGAGCCCGTGGAGGCTCGCCCTCACCCTGCACGCCGACGCGCGGCGGCCCCCGTGCCTCCGCAGCGAAGGCAGCGTCAGCATAGGCAGCCTCGCGGCGGCGGCGCGGGGCTGCAGCGAGGGGAGCAGCGACGAGGAGAGGAGCGCCTTGGCCATCGCGGGGGGTGCGGGAGGGAGGGGGGTTTAGAGGGGGGGGGGGTCTAGGGTTTCATGCACGAACGCCGAGGCGGAGGAGGAGGAGGAGGGTGGAGGTGGGGGGTGGGGGGTGGTGAGTGGTGGTGGTGCGAGAGGAGGAAGAAGAGGTAGTCGTTGGAGGGGAAGAGGCGGAGGTGGGGGATGCTTTATCTTCTTCCTCCTTTCCGCGCTCTTTTGCTGTGGACTCGGTGCACAACTCCACTTCGCCACTTCATCAAAGCGGCTCACTACTACAGTGTACGTAATACTCCCTCTGTCCTAAATGAAACTAAAACTGTATGTAATATTTTCTATTATAATATAGAGTCTATTATGATACATTATACTTGAAAACGTCCCATCCAATTTTATATTCTAATATTTTAGAATAGGTAGTAATGATTTTTCGAGGTTTTGACACGAATAACGTTTCCGTTCCGTGTCGAAACCTCGAAAAATTTGTAAGATGGTTTTCGCCTAAGCACCGGATCCTGATCCATGTGGATATAACGGTTTTTGTCAATTTTTTTATAACTTTTCGTTTAATTTTGGTCAAATTGACTGTTTCAGATTTGAACCATTCTAAATTTCAGTCATAACACTATCAAAACCTCGAATTTTTGCGGTTTTCAATTGGTTTTTATCGAAAACATGAATCCTAATGTCTACACTTCTGTTCACTTCAGTTCGATTTTAGTGAAAAGCCTCCTTGGGGACAAAAATAAATTTTGAAGGACCTTCGTATACAGGAATTACACTGATCTATGCAGAAACCATTTGAAAAAAAAAATGTATTTCAAAGAAACCCCGAGTATTTCGCAACCAACCTTTTTGGCATATTTTTTCTTTAAACATGCACTATATTCAGATTCAACGATGCAATCGTAATTTCATTACAATCATACCCTACATATCAGTTTTCTGAACGTTATTATCATTTTTTTTCTAAACCCATTTTGACAATTGGGTATAGATCGACCAAATGTAAGGCCCCGTTTGAAACACGTGAACTGTTTCCCTGATTCTTGTGAATATTTTGTGTTTCAAACTTTCAGAATGTGAAATACAAACTGAATTGTGCAGCATTGAACAAAGACCGCACCGGTAATAGTACTACTTTGACAGCACGGTAACAGATGGTCAATGTCTGCTAGTAACAGCCTGGTTTCTGAATGATCGGCCCGGGTGAGAAGAGATTGTTTGCCTGAAGAAAATCGAGTGTGGTCAAGGGACTATCTGAAGAATTCGCGAACATTGTATCAGTGAAAAATTATTCACCATTCGTCAGAAAGAAAGAAAAGCACACGACAAACAATGAAACAAACATCACTGGGGTTCAGACTTTCAGAACAGAAGCTGTGATTGTTTCACGACCACACACAACCATCGGTCTCAAGCACATTACGCTCCTTTCTCCATGGCTACACAAACTACAGAACTCGTGAGAAGCAGGCCACGGTAGCATGGCTCATTGCTGGCCACACGCAAGCCCGAAAATATCATTTGCTACAGTCCAGGTGAAAAAAAGATCTTTGCTTCACCATAGCATCCAGGAAAGGTGCAATTTACTGTAGCAAAAAAAAAAAAAACAGAAATTTTGATCACTTCAATTCAGGATTCAGCAAACGGGTTCACCAAACGGAATTCGCATAGGAGCATATCGATCATGAAGTTAGTACAGCAATGGGATCGAGTTTTTGGTTTCAGTTGAAAGCGATCCAGCCAGTAGTATTGTAGTACAGCACATTGAAATGATTAAGACAGCGATTACAAACAATTGCTGAAATTGACAACACAGTTCCGAACTTCTAGTCGTAAGTAGCTGTCGACATTATTATGGAGTAATGAACCGTTGAACTTGATCATCAGATATATATACAGAATTTTAACTTTGCCATGTTCCATAGAAATCAAGATCTCCAATATAGTGGTGCTAGTGTAAAAAGTACAGGGGAGAATCAACAAAGTGGTAACTTTTTTGCCTAAATCACCAACACTACTGAGAAAGGAATTTCAGCTAAATGTTTAGCAGCAAAATATCCATGGCATCACTTGTTACTTTCCTGCATATCATGGCATGACACAGGAAGATCTAAAGACTAAACTGTTTTCTGTTCTATGATAAAAGAAGATCGTTTTCACCAAGGTGTGGGGGCCTCATGCAAACCTGGACTTCATGCTCTTCGGGTCCAACTCGGTGCTTGGGGACCATGATTTCCAGTCCAGTGCCAGTCTCGTCATAATACGCTTCGAGCTTTGCATCTTCTGGAATCCTTGTAGCCAAAGGTATCTCTCTCACAAATTCTCCAGGAGGGCAGTGCTCAGGGAAAGGATCAGTCAACTTGAATGTCCTGTCATGTCTCTTAACAAAGGGCATTCGAGCAGTGCTCACACACGATATCTTCACAATGCCATGTGTCAATGTGTTCCTCCAAGAGACCTTGACACTGTGAGGATCAGAGAAGAGCATGCTCACCATGATTAAGTAGCCTTCATCGTCCTCATATATTGTCTTGGCAGCCGTAACAGGTCCACTTGCATGTTTTGCTACACCAGTGAACTCATGCATCCATGACGGCTCACCTGTGTGAACTTCTATCTCTTGCTCTCTGTCAGAACAAGAATTATTTGCCATCACGCAATCCTCATCTGCACCATGAGCAAAGAAGTCCTTCCGTCGCTTGGCGCATTTTGGTGAAAGGTCCATCCCATCGTCTGATGATGGTGGCGTAGAAAGGTTAAGACCTGAACCATTCAGTGCCTTTTTGTGACTGTGAGAGCCATGTGTAATCTTTGATGACAGTGGCAGTGGCCTATCAAGTTCGAAATCAGTGCTTGGAAGATTCCTCCATGATTCAAAGTCACTTGCTTCAGGAGGAATTGAGAAATTAAGTTCTCTTCCTGTAAGTTCCGCCCACCTTTTCATTTCAGCTTCAGGAACAGCTGACAGATTTGGTGAACTCACAATCTCTATCCCATGAAGGCATTGTGGGTTGGACAGCCCTCGATAGTGCTTTCGTTGCATGCGGTGTGACCTTGCAAAGCCCTTATCTGCACTGAATGGAAAGGATGGCTCACCATGCTTGGAATGCCCATTCATGAAGCTCCGGAGCTGCATCTTCCCGAGGGCATTGTCAGGCCGTTCCTTAAAAACCCACATGTACATGTTCTCCATGTCATGCTGCACCAGGAAGACATCAAGGCGAAGATCAGACTTCTCAAAGCCCGAAACGCTCCCAGAAGAGTCCCGTGTCACCTTGCCCTTCGGCTTTTCCACAAGTGCAGGTTTGAAGTAGTGATTGAAGAAGAACCATGCACCCCAAATGCTGTCCCCCCTCTTGGCACACTTCCTCGCACCGACGCCAACCGCAGTGTTGCCATTGCCAGTCAACTTTGGAAGCGTGAGCGCAACCTCAGACTCATAAGTCTGCGTGCCGAGACCGACATCAAGCATGTCGAACTGGTCGATACCCCACGACGGCGGATGCGGCGGCGGTGGTGGTGAGGGGTCTGCAGAAAGGGGCAGGTTAATGTCCGGTGGTCCTGGATGCGCAGATTCACGCCGCGGAATGATGAACAATTCCCTGTCACCACCGCCACCACCACCACCACCACCGGCACCGGTGCTGCCGCCACCTCCACCGCCACCGGAGGAGTCACCCGAGGCCGCGTGCGACCCGGCGGGATCCATGGAGAGGCGGGTGCAGGGATGGCTGTTGGTGTTCTCCATGGACAGGGTGGTGAGGAGGGGCTCTCCCATGGAGAGCTCCCTCCTCTCCTTATCCTTCGTCCTTCCTATTCTCACCTACTTCTCTTCGCTTCCACCTCTTGCTCCTCCTCTATCTACTGCCTCTTCACCTCTTGCCCCATGGGAGGAGAACTCCATGGGAGCATCAAGGATTTCGCATAGCCTTGCCCCATAAAAGATGGAGTTTTCAACCCACCAAATCCACCCACAGATCAAGATTTGCGATGGGGGATCCTTCCTTTGGAGCAAAATTAAGATCTTCGGAGCCAATCCAGCGCTGCAAGCCTAGAAAAATCCAGAGACAAAAAAAAAGAAAAGCAATTTATCAGACTTACTACCAAATTAACAGCATGTTGATGCACACATACCTCGAAATACAGATCAAGTAAAAAAAAACACTTCCTTTCGCTAAAAAGGCCACTCGATTTCCCCACAATACCTCACTAAATTTCGTCACGAAAACAACAATATTTTCTCCAATCAAGCCGTACCACACCTCGAAAATCCCATTAAACACACAAAGAATCCTCGCTGGAAGGTGGAAACGAAGACAAACGAGGAAGAAAGAAAGAAGAAAGAGCAGCTGCCCTTGCTCTGATCTAACCTTTGGGGGAGGAAGCAGCAAGGTTCTAGAAGGCCCCTTGTCCCTTCGGTGAGGAGCTCTCCTGAAGGTTCTGGAGGCTTCGCCTCGCCGGAGCTTCTCGCCGGAAGCGAGGAGGAGAGGGGAGAGAAGGGGAGGAGGGGAACAATGGAGGAAGAGAGAGAGGAGAGAGGAGGGCCCAAAGAAAAGCGAAAACAGGGGTCGCGGGTGTCAACGGGTTACGGATCCAAAAGTCGTTTGCGGGTCGCAGAATGCAACCGTGTCCAGTAATTTTAGAGATATTGGGGTAGTGTATTGGATCCAGGGAGTTAACTTTAGTCCCTATATTTAGACACTAATTTAAAGTATTAAATATAGATTACTTACAAAACTAATTATATAAATGAAAGCTAATTCGTGAGACAAATATTTTAAGCCTAATTAATCCATAATTAGAGATTGTTTAATGTAGCATCACATAAGCTAATCATGGATTAATTAGGCTCAATAGATTCGTCTCGCGAATTAGTCCAAGATTATGGATGTGTTTTATTAATAGTCTACGTTTAATATTTATAATTAGTGTCCAAATATCCGATGTGATAGGACTTAAAAGTTTTAGTGCCATCTATACAGGGTCTGAACTACTCCCTTCTTCCCTAAATCTCTAAATGTTCGACGCCGTTGACTTTTTTAAACATGTTTGGCCGTTTGGCCGTTCGTCTTACTTAAAAACTTTTGTGAAATGTGTAAAACTATATGTATACATAAAAGTACATTTAACAATAAATCAAATGATAGAAAAATAATTAATAATTACTTAATTTTTTTAAATAAGACGAACGGTCAAACATTTTTAAAAAAGTACGGCGTCAAACATTTTAGGATGGAGAAAGTATATGCCACTTTTAGATGAACTATTTGCCACTGTAACCACATGTTATAGACACATGTGGACCCACATGTCATTGAGATAGGTGTGGCAAATAGTTAATTGCTAAATCTAAAAGTGGCAAATAATTAAAAGCCCCGTAATTTTAGCTTCCCTTGGGAAGGGGTTTGTATGTAGGTGTACTTATGTTTTCGACGAAAACCGATCAAAATTCGTGAAATTTTGATGTTTCAACGTTGAACGAAAGAAGATACTAATTGAAATGCCAAAATGGTCTTTCGAGAATTCAAGTTTGAAATAGTGGATTCGACCCAAATTACTTGAAATTTGTCGGAAACCGTAATACCGTTAGGATTTGGATCCGACGCTCAATCAGAGAGGTAAACCTTGCTTGAGATAATATTTGTTTGTTTGGAAACTTTTTTGGGAGGAGGGGAGCATTGGGGGGTTTGGTTTACTCCACATTATTTTTCTTGACGTTTAGGCTACAATGGAGACCCACGATTTAGCTTGGTTGGTGAGCAAATTCAGGTGCCAGAAGCTCTCCTTCTAATGAACTTTCTTTAAAAAAACAATTGGTTGGTGCAATTATCTTGAGAGGATCTTTAAAACACATGAATTTTATAATATTTTTATAGGATTTAGCTCAAATCATACACAAGTCCTGTAAAATCACTCCATTCAAAAGCCAAGTTTTACAATCCGGTGCTATGGACTCACTCAACCCACAAAACCGCACTCATTTAGACCCACAATTGAGTTAACAATAGACAAAACCATAGTATTAATTTGTACAAACTCACACTATTTTAAAATCGCCACTTAGCTAGATCTGCCGCCAGTTTCTAGGCTAACATTGGAATAGAACTCGAGTAAATAATAAATAATAAACAGATCATTACGTTTCCAAAGGGTCGTTTGCAACAACGTATTGAGCATCGACTAGAAAGATTATTCTAAGCATGGAGCATTAGGAAATTACGATGAAATGCGACCAAAGCAAGAAGCCAAATTATCCGACGACTACTTGCCGTTTGGAACGGCCAAGGTTGCAATTATTACTAGTATTCTTTTCTTTCTTTTTTTTTTCTTAAGACAGGTTGCAATTATTCAAGAGAAGATTCCCTCGTCAAGTGGTCAATCAGATCCCTTTTGTTTTCCCATTTCAAAGGTTTAGCCGTACATGCAATGAAGCAAAAAACGATAGATATTGGTCTCTTACTACTTCACACATATACTCTCCGTTCCTTAATATAAGAGATTTTGACATTTTGCCTGTTTGACTATTCATCTTATTTAAAAAAAATTGAAATTATTATTTATTTTATTTGTGATTTATTTTTTTATCCAAAGTACTTTAAGCACACCTTTTCATTTTTTATATTTGTATAATTTTTTTTAATAAGACGAGTAGTTAAACGTTACAAGAAAATAGTGAATATCCCTTATATTAGGGGGATAGAGGTAGTATATATTCTAGATATTCTTCTAAAAATTCAATTCTTCTCTAATGCTAAGAGGATGGTTGGAGGTGCCGTTTCCATTGTCGGAAGAAGGGACCGAGGGGCTGACAGAGTGGTGGAGATAAGTCTGGCTAGTTCTTCGAACGGGCTACAGGGACGCCTTCGACTTGTTGTATATGCTTGTTTGCCGGGTGATTTAGAAAGAAAGGAACACCAGGATCTTCGAGCACAAAAACTACACGGCAGCACAAGTTTAAAGGGCTATCCGAGAGGAAGTCCTGGTTTAGAGAGAAGACTGTTTTCAAACAACGGGAGTAAAGCTTCAGGAAGGTTTTTTTTTTTTTTTCGTTTTCGCTTGAGGCTTTTGGCTCTCAGCTGATCGATCCGTCTCCACTGTTTAAATTTGAGTTCTTCTCTATCTCCATTTCACATTTGTTTAGCGACTGCATACATACTTAGTTACATAGGATTTTTGTCAAGCACAAAAATAGACAATTAGACAGTTTAAAAAGATAACAGAAGATACCATGAATCAATCAAAATATCACACAAATGGTGATAACACTTAGAGACTCAAACAAAGAAAAGGTAAAACAAACAAACAAATAAACAAAATACTCCAGTATAATTCACCAGTCAGCATGTCACGCGTAAAGTGTAAACAGAACAGAAGATAAGTATAGTGATAATAGCTGTTAGGATGATGCACACATACTGCCAGTTGAGAAAGCATGTGGCATCAATGTAATTATGGTGCCACTAACTAGATGGCGAGGACAATCTGGAAAGGCAACACGGAGCTGATGAGAGAAAAGTACACCAGGCGAAAAAGAAAAGCATCACTTTGGCAACTTTTCAGCAACTGGATGGACTGATGAAAGGGAGAGGTGGAAGAAAGGCACAGCTTACCAACTGCAGAGGGCAAAATCTAGGTATGGAGAGATGCAATTGGCTTATTGGCTCCCTTTCAACTGATCTTCCTCTCACTTCATGTCATCCTTTTTCAGATGAGAACAGTAACTACACATCGACCTAAAGCAAATGACGGTACTAGTATCCTTCTGGGTTCTTGACAAGCACAACATCGAAATATAAAAGATCACCCAGAGTTTAAGTACAAGACCAGTACATTTTATGTTAGGAACGGAGAAGCTAGTCATTGGTACAACATACTATTAGCAAGCCATTAGCTGCATCCAGAAACAACACTAGATAATGGATAATCGGATCTACAAAGCTCATGAGCATATTATGCAATTTTTGCTTTTGAGAAGGCCTTCTTCCTTTGGGCCACAATATAGCAGAACATCAGAACATCAGGCCATGGAAATCCTGCAGTCATTCAAATAGAACAACAACATGGTGTCTTCAATCTTATCAAATTTTATGTTATATACGCTAGTATATATTATAATTATTAGTGTGTTATACTATACAAGCTAATTTTTAGGCTATTAGGTGTATGAACAATTTTTTTTTACCCCTGTCATTTCGAATATACAAGTTCAAAAAGCTAGGCCCACAATTTAGAAGTTCAAAAAGCTGAACCCGCCATTTAGAAGTTCGGGAAGCATGCACATTCATCCATTTATCCGTTTAAGTGTTAAGCAGAAAAGAACAGGGCCATCTGCATACTCGTATTATATAAAAACATAAGGGGCATTATTTGCATACTTCTTTATTGTGAGAGAACAGGGGGCACAATGCCCCGATAACAGATCTATTGTGTCCCAATAACAGATCTACATTCTTCAGACAAGATATGATGCTTCATTGCTTTTGCTGCTATACATCGGAAGGCCAATCTCATGCAACAACCAACTATATCTTTGACAATCTGCAAAGGCTTAAACATTTTAGCATTTGGATGATTCACGATATCAATGTGACAATGTCAGATGCAATTGGCTCCTTTCATTGATCCACCCCTACTTTCATGAAATAATATTCAGAAACAGTTACAGGGCACCAACATGAATCAAATGGTGATAGTAACCTTCTTCATCCTTGAAAAGCAGAAAATCTACACATCATTTTTTGGCATCGATACGGAGTGCAATTTTATTTACATATGGAAAAGCCAAAGTTTGGTACAACACACCATTAATTAGCAAATCATGAAAATGGTACTCGTGTACATTTTTATTTACCAAGGGAAAAGATAGTCCATGTATTTCGGCATTTCCATTCTAATACACTTTTACTTATTTGCTGAAGAAACGGTAGCAACCTGAGCTGTAGCTGCGAGCAGAAATCAGATTAGATAGCTCTTCAGTAGTTATGTGGTTTTGCTTTTGCCAAGGCCTTCTTCCGCAGGGCGATCAAGTAGCGAAACAAGACTGGATATACTGCACTCATCCAAATGAAACAACACTGCAGTGTGTTAACAAATCCTACTTGTTTTCCTTTATAAAATTCCTACAACTACCTTTTCTTAAAAAAAAAAACTAGGTTATAGCATCGATTACTAAATGAAGTACAATCCCATGGAAATACTACCTGTGGCAAACGAAGCCATGAAAAAGAGATTGGCATAGAAGTAGTTGAAGGAGAAACTCCATTTGTCGGATTTCTCAGATGCCTGATATTGTTGAGCCTGATATTGCTCATGCAAAAGAAAAGAGCATTTAAACAAGATTCATTATGAAATGGAGGCGTTGATCTTCCTTTCTAAGTTATTCAAGTTACCTTCATCTCCATGAAAGGAAGAGCAATGTAGATTAGGACAACCTCACAAACCATACCAACAGGAAAGCATACTATGAAGGTGCTGTACCTGCAAAGAAATCAGTACGGAAGTAACAGCAACATATTTTTAAGAGAATTCGCTGATCAGATAACGAGTTTCATTTGAAGTTTATG